GTGTGTGTGTGTGTGTGTGTGTGTGTGTGTGTGTGTGTGTGTGTGTGTGTGTGTGCCCCTTTCTCCTTTTCAACAAGGGTCCATCAACAAAAACACACGCCAAAGTCCCAAACCATGCCAGCAGGACCGACAGGCTGCACACAGAGCGCAGGTCTGCCTGACATAAGCCGGGGGCTTTGTTGTGTTGGAAAAACTATATGGAGACTCTGCCATGCCGCTTTCTCACTTCCTGGGTGGACTGGCCCAAAAATGTCTACTTTGTGCTTGCCACTAAAATGGTCCTCAAAGAGACCCAAATCGCCATTGGCTTGGTATGAAATTGGGAATGCAACACATACATTATGTCGCTTTTGGCCCTCTTCTGGTCCGCCATCCAATTTCCGGCCGCCGAACGGGACTGTTGCGTCTGGCTGAATTGCACTCTGCCAGCCTAAGAGGTGCACGGGAGCCCAAAGGAACCTTCCCGATGTCACACTGGTACCCTTGTCATTTCAAGTGTCCAATCTCCCAAGGCCACAGAAGCCGAACCCTGAAGCTCCACACCGGGCATCAGCTCACCCTGGTGCTCAATGGAGGTCACTTGCCGATACATCAGGCATGGCAAAGCTACGATTGAGAAACTAAAAGTTGCTTTTAGTGGCACAGGAAGGTAGTTGCAGCCTTCACCCGCAATGCCACGCGCCAAGGCCTTATTCTTACTTGCCCCCGGAAAGACTTAAACCCTGAGGTGTTCTAGTTGAATATCACCCTTGCGTTTAAGTCCTTTCTTGGCCCACATCTGGGGCACACGGAAAGTAAGATGTTCCCCGATTCTGTCTCATATTTGGTCTACCCCAAACCACCAAATCGTTTTGAAGGCCCCCCCCCAAAGCTGCACAGAGATGCTGCGCTTCAAGCTTGCTGGGATCAGGGCTCCCCATGTTTCTTTTCAACACCCACCAAAGGAACCTGTAGATTGGCCCAAGCTGTTTGGGTCCCAGTGAGTCGGCCCCGAGGTGAAGACGTTTCCCTTGGACAGGGGCACTGGAGTTACCCCGCGTGCCTCGGCTGCAAGGTCCATAGCGGCCAAGCGCCGGAAGAGGGAACTCCAGAGCGCGCCCTGAAAGTGAAGCGGGAAATGACTCAATGACCAAGTGACCATATTCATAGCACCCTCCCATGGGTGTTGCTGAGAAACCCCCCCCCCAATTTCTCCGTGGTAGCCCAATGTGATTCCCTCTACTGCGGCAAACGATGTCTGAACAGCTGGCATTGCTTGAGTGCTCACTTTTCCCCCCCCCCCAGGGAAATGAAACAAGGTACGGGCTTCTGGAGCCTTGACTAAGTATGGCGCAGAACATGTAGTCAATAAATGTCTCTTGCGTTCCTTCATCTTATTTGGCGTGGTTCAAAAGGAAAGCCAGGAGGAGCCCAATTCTTCGGGGGACTCACATATAAAGTCGCTCCAAAGGACCTGAAACCAGAAGGTTACCCTACAAACAAAGATGGGCCTGGTGCACAGGCCCCCTTTCGAACATTTCCTTTGGGGAAGGGAGCCAGCGCACCAAACCCATGTTGTGGGGTAATCATTGGAACCTTGGCTAAAAGCGGGCCGAACTTGTTTGGCGGAGTAACTCAAATGGGAACGATCCTGGCAAACCAGTCAGCCAGTCAAGGGTGGGCTCAAGGGGTGGGACGACATAGATCTTAGCTCCATAGCTCTACATGTCCAACTCTGGACGGATGGACCAGCCAAAATCTACCCCGGAAGCCCCGCTAATCTTAGGGTGGGCCCATCAGAGCGACATCCTCAGAGGTATCTCTGAATGGTGGCTTGAAGGGAACCCGGCCAAAAGTTAATTTGAAAACACCCGTCAAACAATGTGGGGAGCTTCGGGGTGATTCGTCTTGGAAGGTGTAAGGGGTTGTCCCAAAGTACCAAAAAGGTTCTAAACGCCACCCTGCACAAGACTACTTCTGAAGGCGGTTCTATTCTTCAGCGGTTTGTTGATAAATTGCTCAGTCAACCGTTTAGTGGAATTTCATAACCCCCTCTTATCTTTGAACATCTAAATGTTTACAGTTCTGGCGGGGAATCGCCAAGATTGTAGGGATGACAAGCAAGGCCAGAATAAGAAAGGCCTCAACAGTTGACAGAACCCCTATACAAATTATGTATGTCTTCAATCGTGTATATATTTGTCTCCACACAATATGCGCAACGGAGACCCACACAAAAACATAACTTTGATTAAATAATATTGCATCCTTGTCAGAATGTAGACTTAAATGCCCAGTGTCTACATTTCTATTTGTATGTTCACCTATTTATCGGCCCACAGACTATGCGTCCTGTAAAGACGTAGGTAGGCGTGCAAATTCCGAAAAGCCAAAACACAAACTCAAAGCCAGAACAAAGCCAACATCCAACAATTATTGCATCCTATCGACTCCCAAACGGCACCCCGCAATTAATGAACATCAAACACAAATGAATCCGGACAAATCTTGAAAGAACAAGTGAACAGTCCCCATTGAAACACCTATCGAAAACAATGGTGTAGTGTAAGTGTAAAATCTGGTCCCCACAATATAAGGTGGCAAGGTGGCTGCCATTCAAAACCCATTCCCATCCTCCATGAGAAGAGGTGAGTCAAGAACACGATCCCGTGGAGCACACCGAAAATCATGTTGTTCCCAGATGATGCTCCATGTTTCGTCTGAAAATCACGTCGTGTTGGAGACCCTCCCCTAAATACTTTTCGGGCGTTGGTCAAAAATAGGACACCCCCAAAATCGAGCCCTGGCAAATGGAAACATGGACAAATTAAAACCTGCATTTCAATTCCTGGTTGAATTTTGAGCCATCAAAGCTGCGGTCCATATCCTGGTTGAATTTTGACCCATACCATACTCAAACCTTTGGGTTACAGGAAATTCTACAGCAAAACAGCTGAGTTAGGGTGGTCTTTTTGGCCATTTCCGGTAGATTTTCCTGCAACCAAACCCTTTGACAAACCTTTCAAGGACCCCCGGTGGCCTCTCCAACTCCGCTCGGGCGCCTCAGGGCCTCACGCGCCCCCCCCCCCCCCGCCTCCTTGCGCCGGCGCAGCGCCGCCGCCGCCAGGCGCAGCTCCTCGAGCCCGGCCTGGCGCAAAGCCGCTACCTCCCAAAAGCGGGGGGGAGGGGGGGAGGGGGGGGGAGCACTGAAGGAAGGCTTTATTTAAAGGCCTTACTCAAGGAGACTTCTTAGTTGTTTGTTTTTCTTGGTTGTTGAGCGCTTTTTCTTAGTTGTTGAGTGGTTTTTTAGTTGTTGATTGCTGTCTTTTTGTTGTTGATTGAGCGCCATCTTCCTTTTAAGGGTCTGACTTTGAAGAAACTGGGGCAAGGGGGAATGGTGAATGAACCAAGGGTGACTCCCTAAAACTCAGAGGGGGGGGCAGACCGCGGTGTCCTATTGGCTCTCTCTCTCTCTCTCTCTCTCTCTCTCTCTCTCTCTCTCTCTCTCTCTCTCTCTCTCTTTCAGCTTTTTTTTTGCAGGTCATCGTTTGTCAATTTGATGCTTGAAGTGTATACCCCTCCCCCTCCTACAAACATAGCATCTGCGAGAGGGCACCTGGAAGGTCAATTTCCTGTCAAATGCCATGTTTGTAATCCTTCTCCCTTTAAAAGGACTTCATATCATTTTTTGGTTGCCAATTCAAAGTGATGCTTTTGCCGGGAATCCTCCTTGAAGGCAAAGTACCAAGTACTCCCTAACCCAAAGCAGGCCCTGTTTTGCCTCAGCTTCTGGCGTCATGCGAACTCCCCGGAGGAACCCTTTGCAGACTTGCATGGAACCCCAAAATCAAGGAGGGTTCATCTCTTTCTGAGGGTAGTTTTAAAGAGACACACCCGTGTCATAAGAATCTTGTTTTGAAAGCGCCTCTCGTGGAGTCTATGTAAATCTGCTGGGGGCTCACAGGAGCTGTTTGGAGTAGGGGTTCTCCGTCAGAGGGTCTCGCGAGTGTGGGGTCAGGTCGTGTTCTGAGCCTTGGGGTGGTTGATTTTTGCTGGTGGCCTGTCCCATTTCGGGGATCCTACGTTTTGGAGATGAGCCCCTGACTCATCTGCCCAGTTCTACTGAAACCCAGGGTCGAGGTTCAAAGCGGTCCATCAGCTCCCCACCACCGTGTCCAGCAACCATGGAAGTGGGCAAGGGACTCTGTCAGATGTTAGTCTTCCAGAACCTCCATTTGCTTAAGTCCCCAGGAACAAAATATGTCCAGTAGTCAGTAGTAATAGATTCCCTTTAAAACAACTGGGGAAAATAAACAAATGTATTAAGCAAATGGAAGAGAACCGTCCGGTGCACTTCCATGGCTGCAAAAAGGCTTGCGAGGGCGGCCGAGACTCTCCGGCACTCTCAAACCAAGCCGAATATTTGAGGGCCAACCAGTCTGACATGAAAGGGCAGCTGCTTTCCTTTTCTTTCGGGAGCATGCACGGCAGTTTCTGCGGAGCACTTTGTCTGTGCTTGACTTGGTTTGAAAACCACGTAACGAACGGAAGAGAAGGTTGCACCCATTCGTGGTTGGGACTGTCTACCCTGCAATTGTGATGGTTTGATTGTAGCTCAAGCTAGGGCTTCTTAGGTTTTCCCACAAAGTCAAGCTCATAAAATTGCAAAGTGAGACTCAGTGAGACGAGCTTCCTTCAGCCGGCTGTCTCTGCGATGAGTAACTGGCAGGACATTAATGCCCCTCTATGGAATCCTCCTATAGAGAGGTCAGACTTAGGGCACCCTATTTTCTGTAGTCTATTTTAGCAGGGGAACCCTCCCCCAAAAAAGGGACCTAGTCAAGGTGTCAGAGTCTAGTCCGCTGAGCTGCCGAAACATCACAAGCTTCGGCCGGGCCGAAGAAAAAGAGTCGGAACGGGCTCCAGCATCGCAACGATGATCCAAACCACTTTTTCACATAGACGTCAAAGCCACATACCTAGGAAAATGTATTATATAGCAATTTTTGACTGAAAGAAATATTACAGGAAACCTAAAGATCAAACGATTGGCACTGAGTAGTGCCTCTCCTCAAGAGTTGTGCATCGTCCAGTCTTGGGATTCGCAACACCTCGGCCCAACCTGCGGTTGTGAAGTACCTGAGCTTGCGCTGGGGCAACATGGCTGAGAGGGGCACCTGCCCCAAAGGGGGAGCCGCCCAAGGAGGACCCGGGGGGTGGGGGGCTCGAGGGTTCCTTATGTTTCCCCCTTAAACATCACCCTTACCCAAAGGAACAATTGTGTCAAAAAACCCAAAAGACGAAAATAGAAACCACCAAGGAAAAATGTAGGAGTGGAAACCCCTGCTCTGGAACCTTCGCGGGCATCATTTGCGAAGCCAAAGCGACACGCCGGGCATATGGCAGAGGGCCTCCGAACTCCGAACCGCCTGAACCAACCCATTGGATGACTCATCTAGAGGGGGGGCGGAAACCTGTGACAGGATCCTTGGATGGATTGGATGAGTCATTTAGGGGGATGGAACCCTGTGGCTGAAAAAGCCTCACGCTCCCGCTGCCGCTTTCAAGTTCTATGGTATCCACAAAAGGTGCTGCCGGATGCCTGAAATCCAACATGTTTGAAAAACAAGGGCCCTAAGGGCGTGCAAGGTTAGAGTGCACGAGGGCATTTGCAACTCTACGGGGCAAAATCATGCCATCAAGAGTATGAAAATTGCCATCAAGATTCCATCGAGATTCCATCCATCAAGATTCCATTTCATTGCATCCTTTGTATGACACCTGATCTTCAAATTGTCTGATCTGCTTAATGCACACGCCTACAAGAGTGCCAGTTTGGTTCCCCACGCAAACTGGCATACACCAACACATCTTGGTGATTTGTTGATCCGCCAAAAGATAACACCACAACATAGCTTGGTATGTGGGTATGTGTCAAAAGGGGAGGGTACCCCAAAACTGGCCGTTCTCCTGTTGATGTCCCTTGGAAACCAACCCCAAGGGTAGCCTCAAAAACGCGCCACGCAGGCACACGGCTGTCATGTATCCCGTTAAACTCTCAAAGTCCATGGCGGGGAACTCCAATCCCATGCCGCTGTAGGACTTTGAGCAAATTTCATCTGGGTGCCACAATTTGATGATCAAGTGCTCAATATGTTCAGATATGTAGAATTAATGGAAATAAAAAAAGAAAGGGGAAAACAAAACAAACAAGATTGCATTGCAGAAATACATGTATCTGTAACAGGAATTCAGCAGCCTGAACTTAGGCACGAACCCCAAGACAGGCGCCCTGGCCACTAACCCAAAGGGTACCCTCACAACAACGCACAAACCCAAATGGACTTTGCGAAGACTGACGGGGATGAGCCTGGCATGAGGGTCACCAGGCTGAAGATCCAGCGTAAAGCCCACTACCACAGTTAACAGGTTGTGAACTAGAAGTGCATAAGTTTGGACGCGTGTATCGTATTATATACATATAGATAGAGATACGTGTTTCCTCTAGGTGTTCCCACTACATGAAGACTTCCATGGGGACACCCGAAAAAAAGCAAGGTATCGAAGGTTTGGGATGGGACCGACGCCCAAACCAAACTAGATCCAAGCGGCCGCTCTACTCCGTCTGCGCCACCAGGCACACCCCACGCAGCTTCCTCGGATGCATGGGGCAACATGCAACCAGCGGGACGGCAAACACAATGCTGGACCTAGGCATCCAACTACTGCGGCTTGAGCCTTCCAACATGCACATGTTCAATTTGTTCGCTGCGCACCAAACAGGTAAACTCACGTGCCGACGGATTGGCCAGCAAACAAAAAGTCCAAAGTCCAGGGACTCAGGGAGTGAGTCAACGCGCTGTGTCGGGGATCCCTTGCAAAGGGGAGATGCTCGGCCCCCACAATTCTGGTTGGGCCCAGGCATCCTTAGTGCAGCAACCACGGCTTGTTTCAAGCTACACATATGTCTGAAAATGCGGAACCACCCAACACAACCTTTTCTTGGCTTCCCCTTGAAGCATCAGGAAGGGCACCTCTGTGTGTGTGTGTGTGTGTGTGTGTGCGTTGGCGGCCTTAAAAAGAAGGCTCCTTGGCCAAAGCAAAGGCCAGACACATTCAACATGCCATTCGTTTGGGCCCAATGATGTATTCTTTCACCAAGGGCCCATAACCATGTGGCGTGCAATCCTCTGAAAACAAAAGATCTGCACATATTTTGACATGCTCACCGATTCATGGGTAAAACCCGCTCACTCACGAAGGCTCCCATAATTTTGGCATTTCTTGCTTCAGGTTTGTGAATGCAGTAGTGATTTGTCCAGAAAGATCCTCCCATTCAGCGGAAACAGATTGTTTGACACAAATGCCGTCTGAATGGCCAGTGGAAGGGGTGCAGCTCCGTCCGCAGCAGCATGCGGAAGATGAGGTAGCGATCATTTCCTGGGCGGCGGCGCACATTTCGCCAAAGACGTTGCAAGGGAAACAAATTTCATCCCTGGAAAAGGAATCAAAAATAATAATAGTAATAATAATAATAATATTAATAATAATAATAATAATAATAATAATAAAACCACTTGCTATGCGTGGGGCTTGATCATACATAAGTTCAGAGCAACCCGGCAACATGAGTTGGTTTCGGCTGGTTTTTGTTGGAAAACCTGAGTCAACCATGCCCCTCCCAAACTGACCGCACGTTTCAAGAGCAGAGATGTAGAATGTCCTGCCCAATCCAAAAATCGGACATCCCACAGTGCCACCAATCACCGAGCTCTGGTTGAACTGCCCACCTTGCAATGAAGACATGTTTCTTATCTTGCGGAAAGGCCATATTGACTCGTCATGACTTGGGCTGGGCGTTTGAAAGTAGTTGCTCTGCTTGTCGATGACTGGGGGGCAAAGTTGCATCAGATGTTCAAAGTTGCCAGTGATTGCTCTTGGAACGTATCGCAGCCCAGTTCTCCTTCATTTTATCCTTGCCAATAGATAATGTCAGGCAGTCATTTCCTGAATCCAAGCCCCCCCTTTTGGGTCGTTGACCTAAAATGGAACTCCCCTCCAAAGGGAAAACAGTTGCATCGGAGGCGGAAAGAGCAGCCAGGCAGCCAGGCCTTGGGCCCCGCCCAGTACGAGTGCCCTTTTTGGGGTTGGCGGAAAGCCCAAGGTGTTGCACATGGAAAGCCACCCAGAATGCACACTTGGGTTCCCAAAACAGGGGAGCCCATCAATTGGATTCAATTCGATTCACCTCAAAGGTTTTTATTTTTTGTCCGGTTTGCACCCCCCTCATTTGGGTCTGTTTTGGAACCAAGCCATTTGTTGGGTCCAATCGCAGCATTGAGTGGCCGTGTCCCAGCCACCCTATAAAGAGACTTTGAAGAGAACCAAGAAAGCAAACAATGAAAAAGGTTGGGGTTGTCTCCAAGTGGGATATAGACCCCTCCAGAATGTGCTGGCTTCGCTTCTCTCTTGGCTTCTCTTATCGTTGAAGGCAACCCAGAAAAGGGCACCCTCAAAAGACGCCCCCGAAGCACTTTGCAAAGGGCCCTTCTTACACATGAACCAGGGTTCCTCAAACCACCCACAATCAATTTCCCGGTGTCCCATTCATGGGAGTTCTTCACTTTTAGAACCACCACCTCCCGGGTTTCTTCATCCGTCGATATAGCCCTGTTCGACCTGGTGGCGGAACTCCAATTTCAGCGCAGCTTGGGACATGTGGCAGCCCCAAACAATTGTCAAAGATTGACAAATCACCGAAAAAAGGCGCCCAAACCAGTTGAGATAAAACACATAACAACTCCCCCCCGGCCCAGCCCGCGCAGCCGATAGGCGCTTGGGGTACTTGTACACCGCCGTGTTGTAGGGCCCATTTGGTCCATGGTTCAAACCCATGGCCTGGCGAACCCGAAAATCCGATTCGAATTTATGGCCGTCTTTCTTTGTGGGCGAGGATCAGAATCCGGATGAATCAGCCCGGTTCTAACCAACCATTGTAACCATACGCGGCCAAGCAGTGATAAATAAGAAATATGTGCGCGTCTTTCTTGGGAGCCCCTAAAAAACACACACCCATTGGCTCAAGTTGCACCAATTGAACGAGGGAAAGGCCGTTGTTCAACGGCCGACGGAGCCATGCCGAATGACCGAAAACAACGTGGCCGAGCCGGACATGGTCCCGAGCCGTCACTCGGTATCTCATGTCTTACTAAGGGAAACCGGTTGGGAAAACCAGCAATTCCTTTGAAGTTGGCGTTCTTCATCTGGAGGCTCTTGGACCTATTCAAGGAACCCAAGGCAGGTGTCCCTTATTTTGGCTTATAGGTTCTTTGGGTTCCATTCCTTCGGCCGATTGGGCCAACTGGACCCCGTTTATCTAGTTGAAAGGGAAATAAAGGAAACCCAAAAGGCCTAAGCATAAAGATTAGCTAAGCTCAGGCATGCATATGTGTGTGAAAACCAGAGACGATTCCCTTGTATTCCCGAAAAATGCGGTAGGAACCATCCCTTCATTGGGGGTATCCCCCCTCTATACAGCACACCTGTGGCAAATCAGCAGATAAGGACTTCCCATCCCTTCATTGTGGAGGCCGCTCGACCCCGCAGCTATGATTTGTCCAGAAGCGATGTGGGTTTGTGTTTCTGAGCACCCTGGTTCAAAGGAAGCCAAAAGGACACCCAACATTTTTTGGAGGGTCCCCCCCTGAATGACTGAGTGTGGTCCTTTTTCAGGCTACTGGATGAAGGGACACCAAAGAGAACATAATATCCATAATACCTATGTGTGTGTGTGTGTCTTTGCTTGAGCGTACTGTTTGGGATGTTTAAAAGGGACACCGAAGGGGACATGCTCATTTTGGGGGCTGTTTGGAAGACCGCCTTGAACGGGATGCCAGCTGAGGTATGTAAGCGCCCCGGTTGCAGCTTTCTCCAAGGACAATCGCATTGTTGCGTGCACATATCGTTTTTTTCTTCTGGAGTTTGTGAATTGACTGGGCACTCGCACTATCTCATGTGCGCAAGGCAAACCCCCAGAGTGCTACCTTCCAAATGAGAACTAAAACAAACTCAATGCTTCCAGTTACCGCAAAAGGTAGGCAACCAGTATCTTTACCTCCAGGTTGTACATGATGACTTTCCCTTCCCTACAATTCTTCTAAGGGTTGATGGCCCATTCTTTGCTCGCTTTAGAAGCCACCTATTCTCGGAGAGTGGCAAAGAAGCGATGCCTGAATTCCCCAATTGTGTGCTAACTGCTACCCGTTGAGTATGCTAACTGGAAGCCCTGGGCACAAATCGGAGTCGGAGCTGATGCGTATCGCCTTCATCTCCCTAGCCGTGGTGGCGGTCACGTAGATGGCCGGCATCGATGTGAACAGCTTCTTGGGCTCCGATTCTTCGATACGGTTGTCCTGGACAGGCTGCAAGACCCAGGCTATGCAAAGAAAAAAACAAAAGGAGTCTCCATGGCCCTGAAAAATTATCCTACCCCAGACCAAGTTGCCAAGCACCAGAGAACACACACGCACACACTGTAGTCTCTTTTGGATAGGCAAGCCAGTATAGTAGATATCTTTCTTCCTATTGTTTCAAGGGTGGAAATCACCTTAGTTGCCTTATACAGAACACCGCGTGACCTCATACTAGTTACGAAGTTGGACCCTGCAAAAAGAGGCTCGCATAAATGTTGATTTCGGTTCGATTGCAACACCAGGACCAGGCAAGAAGAAACACACTCCTTTTCTTATGCTTTGTCAAGCGTGGTTGAACCCACCGAATGGAGGCCCGCCACACATGATCTGCTCTGGGGCTTCCTGGTTTCGGTTCCAAGTAAATGTGTACCAGTAGGGTTTTCTTGGGGCCTGAGTCTTCACCCCCTTCTTGGTTGAAACCCATTATCCCCTGCACGTCTGCACTTGGTTGGGGGTTCGACTTTTTGGAAAAGGGTCCACAGGCAAACCCGTTGAACAAGGACCGGGTTGCTCCCAAGTGCGAAATCGGAAATCGAAACATGACCAGAAACAACGAATTGGGTGCCAACATGGGTTCCTCAGCTACCTGAAACTCGCGCTGAGCACCCCTCACCAAGACAAGAGTCGAATCGAAGTCGATTCAACACAAAGAGACCCGAAATGGCGCGGGCCTGTTTGCTCCATCGGCCGCCTTCAATGAACAAGCCGTGGATGTTCCTGGGCGTCGTGTAGAGTTTTCGCCCAGCAGCAGTCCCGATTGAAGAGAGCTTTCACTAAGGCAGGAGTAGATTTGATTTCTTGGAGAACTTCTACTTGCCAGTTGTAGTACTGTTTGTCAAATAGTCAACCGGTGTGTGAATTGACAACCAAGCAAGACTAACCCTTCTATAGCTGGAGTCTTCTGCTTCCATCTGCGAACAACCACGGCGGGAAAGGCTCTGAAACGAATTGGACTAAGAAGCCTTTCAATGTTTTTTGGCCCGTGCTGGACAACTTTTCTAGCCGTGCCTTCCACTTTGTTTAGGGATCCTTCTTTTCAGAAAATTGTATGAGTAAAATCATTCTTGGGGCATGGTCGCTTCCTGAAGAGGTGAAGAGAATGGGGCACCAACCCTTAGATATGTGCCAAGCTGCTTGTTGATTTGTGGTAAGGTGCGTGAAGGGGCTTGGTAAGTTAGTAACCCACGGACAAATAACCCATTCAACGGGCACTTACAGCCTGGCTTCTCGGTTACAACCATAGCTACTAACCACTTCCTGACATACCAAATCGCCCCAAGTAAATTCCACTAGTATATGGTGCAACTACACTGAACCTTGTGGAATCCATCTATATTCAGAAGGAAGGGCAACCATAACCGCCATCTTTTGGGAAATGAAGGGGTGCCCGAAGGATCTGCAAGTGGAAGACGATCACCTTGTGGGATGACAAAAACAAATACAGCGCAGGAAACCCACATAGTTGTTTCTCAAAAATAGGGCTCCCTTCCGGTGGTTAGTTTCCCTTGGTTTCCCATGTCCACAATTTTGATCAACCCCCGCATGTCAAAAGCTGGGCTGTGCAAGTACCTTCATCCATTTGGGTCTGTCTTGTTTTCGGGTGACCTTCCAAAATGTGTTGGTGTTCCTTTTGGCTTCCCTTCCAAAACCAGCCAAACACGGGGTACCCCCCCCCATCCATGTCCCCCACCCAGCACTTAATAGCAAGGCACTGGCCCTCCTCTGGCACCTCCCTCACACGGTCCCAGTCGTGGGCAAGCCTCGGAGTCCAGCGATGAGAACACACCGGCCATCCCAGCTGTTGCCCCCAACCCCAACCCCAACCCGATGGACGAAATCCTGCATCACCTGACAAACCACAGAATGATGATTCCCCTGTAAATACCAACAAACAATGGCTTCCCATGGTTTTAAAGTGGCGCAGGATTTCGGCCAGCCACAGTATGATGTTTGCTAGTTTTGTTTGTCCGATTCTGGCCCATATTTGATGAAGCTTCAGACCGCACATGTCTCGAAAGGCCAGACCTTGGTCTCGAAAACCCTGACATGGGGAGGGAAAATGGAGTTGGCATTCAGGGGCCCGCACTTGCCAGCCAAGGACCTGGAATCAAAGGGTAACCTTTCTGGACCTAGGCTTAATCCAGGAGACCAACAAGTTAGATCGGATTTCCACAGCTGTGAGCTTGCCATCAAATCCGCCGACTGGTTCCCCGAGGGCCTTGGGATGGGCAACACTTGGTGGCCGAAATCACCCGAGACTCTTGGAGAAACCCTGAAAAAAAACCATCAACGGGGGAAACCACCTTTTGACTTTTGGCCGGGGGGGGAGGGGCGATTCCCCGCTCGGAGGCAACCACACGACTCGCCGGCACCTGGGCGCTGAATAGGGGGTACCCCTTCTTAGCTCGGTTGAAAGGGAAACCAAAAGGCAAAAAAGCACGCCTTTCTCTTTTTTCTTCGGGGGGTCCAAATCTCCGTTTTGATGTTGACTGACTTGCATGCCGCAAACCTTCCTGCCAGGGTCTCAGCCAAGACACACCTCCGTGTGAGAGATCACGTCATCCAATGCCCACTGATCCTTCTTGTGCTGCCGGGTCACCTGGCGACAAAGGCATGGGCTTCTTGGTGGCCAAGAAACCTCTGCCCAAAAGGCTTCTTGCAGGGTAGTGGGGAAATCACCATGTTCCCAGCTTTGCTGGTGTTTTTGCGGTTCTCTGGAGCCTGAGGAACCGGGAAGGGTGTGTTTGCGAGGACGAGAGTGATCAATGTTGATCTCCATTTGCTTATTGTCCGTCAACCATCTTTCGGGGTCTAGTTCCAACCGGCTTACTCTAGGTAACCTTAGGTCCTTCCACTTTCTGCAGAGACTTGATTCGATTCGGCCTCTTAGCAAGTTGATCTGCTGGGTCGAGGCTTGGCTTTTTGTTTCCACGTACTGTGCAACTCTCGGGCAATTGCGTCGGGTAGTCTCCAAAGTCGAAGGATGGTTCGATTGTACCTTGAAGTAACTACACTAAAGCGCAACACATGGTCGTCAAATGACCAGAGTTTATCTGGGAACAGCCCCAACCGACAAATGGGCCTCAACGCTCCCATAAGATCTCCCCCTGAGTCGTAATCAAAACTTGGTGAGGTCTAGCCAAAAGCCATGGTAGATAAGCAGCAAAAGGCCGGGTTGTCCACACCTTTATTGTGGCAAGCGGGCCTGTCCCCTACGATTGACCTGCTCCCTAAAGTGGGTCATCTTCAGCCTCCCAACAAACAGGATTCCTCCAAACAAAACCATATCGGTTCTCTAAGATCTATTTGAAACAAATCTACTTGCTTCTGGACCTGTGTGTGTGTGTGTGTATGTGCGGGTGTGTGTTTGTGTGTTGGTGTGCGCGCCATTTGTCGGTGCCCTTATTGGGTTGGTCAAACCAAAGGGCATCTCCATTTTGGCCCACACTCTATTTTGACGAGCACACACACACACACACACCCACACCTAACCTCCCAACTTGGGTCCCTCTCACTACCGGACCCCAGCCGGTTCCGCGAGTTCTCGCCTCCTGACGCATGCCCGTCAAGAAGCCCTGCGCGTTGGTGAAGCCGGTGATCCAATACACCTGGCCGTGGTACGCAAATGGGTATATATTTTGTTGAGGGTACCCGTTTTGTCCTGTTTAAAGGGAAACCAAAGGAGATTACCCATTTTGGCGCTGCCCTAGTTGGAGACAAACCCAAATCAACCAGAAGACTTGGAAGAACTACTACCTGGCCCCGCCCAAAAAGCCGGCAAAATCTTCCAGAGCTTCAAGGGGAGTCGAAGGGCACTTCTGGTTGCCTGGTTGATTTTGAGGGAGTTGGTCAAACATATCTGGGGATGCAAATCAGGTTGTTTGTCTTGCCAACATGCCAGGTTCTGGCTGCGAGGCAACCTGCATGTGACCCCGACCCCACGGCGTAAGCCCAGATGCCATGCTGGTCTCAAGCTACGAAAGTGTTCTCTTTTTTTTTGTGTGTGTGTCTGTGTGTGTGTCGTAGATGGTTGAACCCTTTGGCGAGCAGGGAGGTATGTCCACCATGTAGAGGGTGTGGTAGGCCAATTCAGCTGGCAAATGACCAAAAGACACCGAAAGGACCAACCAAACAACAAATAATCACTTCACGCAACGACCGACCAAACAACGACAAACAATCCCCAAGCAATCATGAAAAATCACCACTGAGAAACCAGAGACCGACCAACCAAAAAAAGAGCGAGCACCAAAGCGCACCAAGGTTCTCCATCCAGGTATTTGATCGTGGCTCACATGAGTTCCTAAGTTCGCCAGTGAACTCACCGCAGAGCGAGGCGCCTTCATGACGGCGCGGCCATTCTCCAGCCAATTGTTCAGCATCCTTGCAAAGATCGGCACACCCCGGCTTTTCGCGACAAAACTACAGCTCCCCCCAACCCCAATAAGAGGTTCGGCTCAAAAAGCAGCACTTTTCGTAGGCATTCGAACCTGGGCTGTCGAAAGTTGAAATATCTCCGAGTCAACTCTCGGGGACACAGCGAAAGCAAACCAGTCGACGGCAAGAGACGTTCATAAATTGGGTATGATAGCCAGCACATGCTGCTTCTGAAGGCAAATCCGTGCACACCACACCCCCATTAAAGCACAGCCCCACATGTGGCGCTACCACATGTTCGGGCCCCTTTAAAACTGTTCTTGAATCCTTATGGGGGCTGCAATGAGTCCTAGCCTACCAGGGGAACTGAGAGGAAGCCAAACAGTCTAAGGGGAGCTACTCTTTTAAGAACCCCCTCTCTCTACAATAAACTTCGTCGCCCAGAAGCAGACTTAAGAAGGCAATCCAAGTGGCGCTTGACGATCCGTCAGCCCGGTGAACCAGCCTGACGCACGGATAGGGAGACCTTTGCATGCAAAACTTGTTTTTTACAATGTGTGGTTGCACCACCAAAGTCGACCCAGGCAGGGTACAGATTTGCTCCAGAAGAGGATACCAAAGGAAATTGTCCATCCTTGTGGCTTGTTCATAGGGGTGTGGCAGGTTGTGGCGGCCCCTTTGGTGAACATCATGCAGGTAGGGATTCATGGCCCCCAACCACTTTCGAGGTGGTTCGCTATCAAAATCCACAGCTATATTGTTATTGCAGGAACAACCCTGCAGTATGTGTGGGATTCCGGAAGTTCCCCAGTGGAGAAGCATCTTAAGAGGAGGAGGGGCGAAGGGGCGAGGTTCGCACCAACAAATTGCGAAACATGGCTGGTTTCCTGTGTTGCCTGGTTGGCTTCCCTTTGCACAAAAAACATCAGAAGCAGCTGATAGTGCCGAGAAAGGGGGGGCACTTCGGGGCTGCGCTTGTCGAAAGGACGGTGACTTCCTCTGTGGAAAATATGGGAAGTGGCCCTTTTTAGGGGGGGCGAGTTAAGTTGCTTCAATTGGCAACCAAAAGGAAACCTTTTATTTCAGGATTTTCTGACTTAGAGACAGACAGACCCATATGCTGCTGCAAAGCACAGCAAAGCAATGAGCTTGCACCTTTCAGCAGAGCACTCCCAAAATCCCGTTGGGAAGGGAAAGTACAAAAACTAAATATGAGCCATGGTCAATCGTCATGCGTGCCCGCGCCTGTTCTCCAGTACGTGAACATGAATGCTGTCCGCTGCTCGTGTGCTGGAGGTAGGTTTCGGGCCTTGATTCGCCTAAAAGGAAAGCCGCCCCACATTTTGTCACCCAAATGCCGCAAGGAGAAGTTGCCATCTCTGGGGTCTTTTTTGCGGGTGTGGGCGCTGCCTTACCTGGACCCGCCCACGGGGAAAACACAGACCCATCGGCGCCTCCCAGGTTGGGCATGAGCCAGGAGATCTCCGCACCGCTGGGGTCGTTGGTCCAGCCTGCGTCAAGTGGGTGACGTGAAGGGAAGCTCCACCCCCCGAAAGGTGCGGGGGCACAGGTGGACATTCCAACCCTTGGGGTAACTCCAAATCACTTCTCTCAAAAAAAAACTGCAAAATTCCAGGGAGTTGGTGCTCGTTCCGCTCTTTCGGAATAACACCTTGCTGTTTGAGAACACGGAAACGACTCCGAAAAAAAAGTCATCCTGGCGTGTACAAACACCTTTGGACTGCATCTCCGCCTGGGGGGTAAGGCCTGATCTGTAAGCCAAGGGCCTGATGCATTGGCCCCCAAGACCTTCGGCTTGGAAGGCTTGTTTGCGGGCCCCCCGTTTGGGTTCCATGTTACTCTCAGGAGTATCGCATATGCTCACTCTGAGGTCTACCACGTAATGTCCGAACAACAGGAAATGAAACTATAAACGGAGATTGTACCCGCTTCGAACCACCCCAAACCGTTTGTGCCAAAACTCCGAATCTGAGAAGGAGTCCCTGCTCATGCAAACCGGTGTGAATACCCAACACCAAAAACCGATAGCCCAAAACTGATACCTTCAAAACCGATCGAAAATTGCGCAATACCCCGGCAATAGCACGTCTGCTGCTCATAGAATGACGAATCCCAGAAACCATCTAAGGACTTCCATGAAAGGCAACATAACTCCATAAGGAGAACCATAACTAGATCTTTCAGTAGAGAGGCCAGAATAATCATAAGGGTACCTTTTTTTTCTGTAGTCTATTTTAGTAGGGGGACCCTCCCCCCAAAAAGGGTACCTAGATAAGGACCCTCGGGAGCTGAAGTACTCCAAGAGCCATCGACGTCTCGGCTCGATCCTCGAGGCACTCGGCCGTCGAAGAGGAAGCCAAGGTCTTCCTGGGGCCAAAGCTCGGCGGCTCAGCCGTGACCGAACTCACCGGGCGTAAAGCCATGGCAAGTTTGGGCTAAGAAAGTGCACATAACCACTCAAGTTCAATACTAAGTGGGTGACCCTTAATGGGGTTCTGACAATAGGCCTTTTCGGATACACATATGTCGTCCTGTGGTGCAAGCTGGAAGCCGCCTGTTCGAAACCTGCTCAGGCCCCCGTGATCGGTGGCTCATTGACCGCTTCTTTTAACGGATATCTCATCAACCCCTCTATGCTCTGAACATTCAAAAGTCAAAGGCTATGGCTACTAAATAGCGGACCCCCTTGCACTGAGTGTGTTTCCCTGTGGTCTCCCGAAAACAGACCCAGAGATGCACTAGACTGGTGCCTGGCGCGGATTTTGTCCATCCACAGGGTTGCCTAAGTTGGGATGCTGACCTGCTCCGCCGCAGGTTGAATGGGCACAAGCCGTAGTTCAAGGGATTCGGATGACTCTTGCGGGAGCACACCCCGCATCAATCTGCGAAGTTGGTTGGTCATGATTAGTCCGGGTCAGAATTAAGAAGCACATCAACTCTGCACTTGAGACAACTCATAAGGTCCAAGAAAAGGTCGACCCCTAAACAAAAGGGAGTGATTTGGGATTCCATTGCACCATCCAGATGGTCGCGAGTCGCAGTATGAGGGAAACCAGGGAAACTTGTATCTCCAAGAAGCCATGAGCTCCGTCGTCATGACCACAGTGCCATCGATCGCCGCAGCCACACTCCTCGAGGTGAGAAGGAGCTGGAGCCCCCCTCATGTTTGAGGCAGCCAGGTTTGCCGCTGGCTTTCCTCTGAAAACCCAAAGTGCCAACCGCCAGCTTTAGACAAAAAAATACATACCCATATCTCAATCTGATGGCAACCCCGACGAGCCGTTTGTTCCTTGAAGGCGTTCCTTGGTCCCCTTCAAATCTCGATGACCTTGGATTGTGGTAGTTTTTGTGAGTGCTTCTGTGTTGAACGGGAGCTACTGAGCACACCCTCGGTCGGGTCGGCAAGTTGGCTCCCCAAGTAATTTACTATGTTTATCATGTTTACAAACTTAGCGGGGAATGGGCCGTTTGCATGGCGTCTACAGGCCCCCCTTAATCAGGGATTCTCACACACACACACACACACACACACACACACGCGCGCCTGCACAATAGGGGTTCCCACTGGAGATATTGAGCGGGCTTTGCTTTCCCGCCCCCCCCCATTTCGACTCCCTCAATGTGTACTTTCTACCCTTCGTCTGGGTCAAAAGGCAAACCCTGGCAATCATTGCTTTGGGTGCGGGGTGCTGTGAACTCAAGTAAAGCCACGATCACAATTGCGCATGGACAGAGTCCACCAGTTTGGTGTCAACATATCAAGGGTTGCGTCCATCCCAACTGGTGCCGAGCGTGGCCCCCTAGCCGCCGCCGCGTCCTCAAGTTGGTGCGCACAATGGCGATGATGTTCTGCAGGCGCTGCAGCTCCTTCCATGCTGAAGCAGGATTGGGCGTAGTTTCTTGAAACAACGAGCCTCTGGTCCCGTTTAACGGGAAGCCAAAAAGAGGTTCTTCAAACAATAGTAGTTCCATGTTTAAAGGCCCAACTCTGCTGAGACGTGTGGGGGCAAGCACTCACTCAAGGCGAGCATTTGCGTTCAGGCTAGACCCTGGAGGAATTGACTCACTGGCGTGAATGCCATTCAGGGTTCTGGCCATACTTCCCACCTGTCCGACCCTTCGTCAGCTGCGGTTGGTCCAACTGATCCACCCTGCGTTTGCTTAGCAAAATCGTGGGCTTTTGTGGTGAAGCGAAGTATCGCCGGTGTGTAAAGATTCCTTTCTGCCTTCCCACTCGTGCGCGATTCTCACTTGCCCAAAGGACCTGAAAATAAGAGGCTACCCTTTGGAGCATTTGGACCCAGCTGGGACCGAAAGGCCGAAACTTTCTGACCCTACCATGGACATACAGGTTTGTACAGGCCTCCCAATGATCCAAAAAAACAAGGTGGAACCTCGTAACCGACCTGGGTTCGGTGGAAGCCCTTCAAAAGGTGGACACAACTCCCTAGACTCGGAGGTCCAAATGGCCCATCCCGAATCAGCCGAGTGCTGCCCTCGCCTGGAAGAGGAAGATGTTCAGCGGCGCCGCAAAGCCCTGGCTCTCCGCGAGTGCAACGTGAGGCATTGGCTGGGATCGAATTCAAAGTGCTCGGGGTAGTCTGGGCTCGTGCCAGTCCTTTTGGGCCCCCAAACTTCCAGCAACTATCTCCGGAGGGTGCTGGTTCCGAGTGGGAAGGGTCCCAGTTTCCGTTGTCCATAGTGAGACACCATTGCAAAGGAGACAACCACCCATCTGACAGAAGGATTCAGGATTGATTGTGAGCAACCGCTGAGGTCGTACCCCGAATTGTACCCGTTTGGCCTTTCTGTAAGAGTACAACCTTGAGGATACGACGTTGGAACCTTTCAGACAGAACCTCGCAGCTACCGCGTAGGAGGGGCCTTGCAAAAGCTAGACATCACCACCCCCATTTGGCTACCATTGCGAAACATCATCCCGATTAGATCTTTCAAGTGGAGCAAACAACTTCCTAGGGGTCCTCCTGTAACCCAACCCTTTGAGATATTGGACCCCAGATTTATGCCTCGAGTTCTGAGCATGTCCAGCAACAGTGCTGTTGACCCCGAATCTCACTGGCATCTAGGAGATTCATAGGGAAATGCGAACACTGAGTCGCGGGTTGTCCAGTAATTTCAAGCACAGAACAGCCCTGTGAAAATCGGTCAGAAGGGTGCAGCGCACTTCTGTCTTTGGTGGGAGGGTAGACACCCTCGTGAGATTTCAGGAGCAAACCCATTTACAACCCATCTTAGCATCCACCTGGTCTGAAATCAGGGACCAACCTTCGGCCCTACTGCCACTTCGGGAGGTGGCTTCGATATTGGAAACAGCATTGGGCGCAAGCAAAACAAGTGAGTCGCAAACCCAAAACCCCTTCGGGCATGTCGCAAAGCACCGCTTGCTTTTGCTTTCTCCAACTGGCACAAGTTGGGCAAAAGTTGGGTTTCTGGCAAGCTAAAGGGAACAAAGGAGCTGCCGTTCAAACCATTGTGTGACAAACTGGAATACGTCTGAATCCGTTCAGGATTCTGGCCATGTGAGGACTCTTTCTAGACACCTTCGTTTTCGGGATTGTTTACCCTATTCCCCTCCAATATACATCTCATATTCGGGAAGCTAAAGGAAACCATCTACCTTTCCCTTGGTGCTTCATCGCCTCGGAGAACCCCTGTCAGGCACAAAGGGACAGACCTCTCGTTAGCCCAACCCTGCGGTTGAAGAAACTTCTTGTGACTCGGGAGCACCAGCTGGCGTTCTCACGAAACCCTGCAAAGAAACCACCCCAAGTCACCAAAACCAAACACTAAACATCAAATCAGTTCAATTTGTACCGCAGCAAAAGAACAAAAACAAAAAACCCCACCCTTCGCCAAGTGCCCGGATTCCTTGTCGGGGGTGCCCGGGGGGCCCTTGAGCTTGGTGATCTGTGCCCGGAAGACCTCCTCCACAAAGTCTGGCGGCCTCACGTCGGCATTTTTCGGGGGCGAAGCGGGAACCAGTTCTGGCACCCCACGGCGTGCTCCTACAGCATCGAGGGGTTTAGGCAGAAACAGCAGTGGGTTGTTGTTTATGTGTTAATTGTTTTGTTTTGTTGGAGGGGGATTGGTTCGTTCTGGTTGGTTCGCCACTTTGCCAGGAAACTGCGAAAAGGGATTTGCGATTTCCGGAAGGAAATTACCAGACAACAAGAGTGTGCAACCGGATTGGACAACTCAACCCCTTGTTTACCATGATTTATAAAACACACACACACACATGTTGACCAACTTTTTTTTGGTTGCCCACAAATTAAACTAACTGTCCAGTCCAGTTGAAGACTTGTCGGGCTGTGCTTTCTTCAAATGAATCCCTAGTCCAAGGCCTTCTTCAAAACCAAACTCAACGCGCCTTTTGACTACGCCATATATATATATACATGTTTCGTCTTGTTTCACATGCACCTCTAAATCAGTGGGTCATGGTCATGGTTCGGGCAGGAACCATTACAGTGGTTGTCTAAAATCCCAGTTAAGATGTGTCGCAAATGAATACTCGACAATATGACCATCTCAAATCAGACTCAGGCACCGAACCAAAACCGGCACCCATCTGATGGGAAATGGACCACCCAAATCCGATACCCTGGAAATGTTGCCCGTTGCTCACATAGGGGTCCTGAAATCGGGGGGTTCCCTCTGACGTCCCTTGGACGTAGACGCCCCAGTACATCCCACCGAATCCCCCACCAGCAGGAGGCCTGTTAATGCCTAACATCAAGATGGGAGCCCCTTATGAGGCCCCCTGCTTTGGGTTCCGTGTTGGAAGGGTATAGAAAAACCACGGTGCAGCATGCTCCAGTTGAGCCAAACATAGTTCAGTCCACTGGGCTGTTCCCACTCACCCGCGCAAACAGGTCGCCGCAAACAGCTTGCTGGTGAGGGAGACACTGCTTCGAGCGACCAAGAGTATCTTCTGCTGGACACATTTCAATCACGCCACTTGCGATCGCTTTTCTTTGCGGAAAAATAACACAACGAAACAGGGAATTGGTCCAAGAAGCAAACAAGCGGAATCCTGAATGTTCCTCATAGCATTCCTAGTCCGAAAGTGTCAAAACGAGTTTGACTCATGTCTCAACAAGCGTTCCCCAAAAGGATTTAAAAGGACAGCGATTCCTTTTGAACCAGTTGCCCCCAAGGTACAAGTTGTCCAGTTCTTCCCAGGGTCCTAGACTCCCCACCCTGATAAGCCGTTTAGAGGGTTATGAAATGAAGTAGCCACGGCAGGGTACCTAAACTTCCTTATAGGACATCAATGTGCTAGTGCCTAGTCCGGGCATGCAGCACACTCGAACCCGCTAGTTCGCTGTTGTTGTGGCTGGCGTTTGAAATCGTCATCCATGTGCTCTTTTGAAAGCTGGTGTTGTTTGGAGGAGGGGGATCTGGAAAAATTACAAAAATGCCCACGCCCCGTGGGTGTCCTTTTGAGGAAATCAATCATCGCCGGTGATTTAGCACAGGTTCCCGCACGCTCAAACAAATCAGGGCAAGCTCGACCCCGTTTGAAAACAACTTTGCGCTTGGAGCCTGGGGTCCTCTGCACTAGGCTTGGTGGAGCTCCAATGTTCAACAGCCGTTGTCAGCACCTAACTGGACAAAACAAGCCCCCGATAGAAGTCACTAGTCACTCGCACTAATAGCTACTACTTGGCTACAATAGCTCCCGTTCCTATGACTCTGAATCAGTAAGTTAACAGCAGTCAAGATGCATCTTGGCCAGGTAGTCCAGACCTGGGCGTGCACAGCATGTGCCAGGCGCACGACACGCGAGCTTTGCCTAACAACCACCGAATTCGGCTCCTGGGCAGGGGACTGCCACTGCGGTGATAACGCGGCCGCCCTTGTTGGAGGAGCAGAGCATATATCGCTTATGAAAGATCCTTGTATCAATCCTCATAACGCACAATATACATAAACTCATGGTTGTGTCTGTGCGCGCATATATACGTACATGCATTTTTCTTAACACAATATATATATATATATGATATATACAATGATATATATATATATATATACACGCATAGGCATAACATGCTATGTGAATCACGTCCAAATGATCCATGTCTGATTCAGAAACCTGGGCCGGATTCGGATCGAGCTGCAAAGGTCCTTGACGATTTCGTCCGTGGACTTGCCTGCCGTGGCCACTGCGAAACTCGCCAAAAAAGTTGAGAGACTTGGACCCATTGGATGGGGGGACCCATTGGATGGGTGTCCTGTTTTCCCAAACCAACCAAGCAAACAGCGCTAAGAACAAGCAGCTGGTGTCTGCCGGTCCAAAAGTGAGCCAGGTGTTTGTGAAGGAGTCCCCAAATGTTCGTCCAGAATTCATTATGTTGCTTCAAACAGGGTATGGAAATCGCCTGTTCCGGTGGTCCTTCCTGTTTCCCAAATGGGCGGCTTTGCTTTGAGGCTTCCTGCTTTCACCATTCTCCGCCAAAAGGGGTCTCTGGGTAGGGTCCATGTTGATGTACCTGGCCTACCAGTAAAATGATGCGCGGCACGCAGCGAGCGGTAAGCAAAACCTGGAATATTGGCCAAACGAGGGGACCACCCGCATGCATCCTCATGGTCAGCAACACCACCAGATGTCAATCGAGCGGTTAACTAAGACCTTGCGGCTGGTGAAAAGAGGAAACGGAGGAAACTCAAAGGGCAAAAAGGGGAAGAATATGATTTAAGCAACAGAACAACAGCTCCTACCTGGAGGTGCCACGAGGAACCCGGTCTAAAACAGGGACGTCCGGTCAGGTTTCATGTTGGAGGAAGCCCAGCCAACTCTGCTACCCTCCGGTGATCCGAGTGTTTGTGGCTCTTCTGGACATGCGAATCGCAGTGTTTCGTGAATCTGCCAGTGAATTGGCAAGAAACATAGCCGGTTTGCTAACTCCTGAAGCTGAAGAGGAGAAGTTGGGCGCCAAAAAGGATATCACTCATGTGAAACGTTCCAGAACGTTGGATCACAAACAAATCAATTCAAGCAATGCCAGTTGCCCAAATTTGGATCGATTGCTTCCCGTACGGCAGCCAAGCGCGACTGCACAGAGAAGCAGCCAGAACACCATAGTTGAAAACCGTCCGGCCTGCAATCAGTCGCACCAGAGAGCAACCAAGCGGCGATGAAATTGGAGCAATTGCAGGCCTACCCAAAAGGGAATCGGTACAACCTTGCAGTTTTGGTGGCAGTCTGACAAACTCCTTCATGTTTCTGGGCTGTTCAAAATGCAGGGCCAAACGGCTGGACAGTCCGATTTTGGAAAAAAAACATCTCTGGGCATAAATGTTCGCATCCCTAAAAATCGAATCAACGGACACTTTACTTTCAAAGGGGCACCCAAAACGGGTTGAAGTGCCCTTTGCTTGATTGGATACCATCAGTTGTAAGAAGATTTGTTGGAAAAAAACGCCAAACCCGCTTTGGGAAAAACCATTTCCATGGGCACCAAATGAGTTTGTAGGGCGACAAAGCGATCTTTCTGCTGATCATGCGCCATTGTGCAAAACCCTTGAACTTTGGGAAAAATATCGCTTCCCCCACTTAACTGTTTCTTTCAACATCGCAATTCTCTAAAGGGTAGATTAAAGTTCGCGTTGTTCGATCACACAAAACCATATCATCTTCCCAAAAGTTCGAATGTAGGTAGTCGGTCACAGAGAAGGGTCAGCCGAGTTGACAACCGTTTCCCCGCGCGCACCGCGACCAGCTCGCCTCCAGCACCCCCAGAGTCCTTCGGCTGAGTCTCCACGATAGTGGTGATCATCCTGGGGCAGTGGTTGGGAACTCGGAGTGGCTTTTGGGTCATGGGAGAAAAGCGGAAAAGACGAGACCCAGAGCAAACAAAGAGGAAACCAAGAGGAAACCAAGCGGTAGCCTTTTGATGGGGTCGGATCCTGGTTTTGACACGTTTGGGACCCTGTAAGTCCGCTGTCACCGCAATGAAGGGTGTCCAGCCTGGAGCTGATCAGAGGGCAATCCTTTGCAAGAGGTTGTGCTTGCAAACAGCCCAGGGACTGTCACTCGGGAAAAACGCGGGTCAAACTTAATGCATGGTTTGTGATAATTCTAAAGGAACGATGGCCTTTGGCGTTGAACCAGGCTCCATCGAGCACGCTGGCAAGCCTCCTTCATCCAAGTAGCATCGGGAAAGGCGCAAAGTCAGAACAAACAAGCGACTTACAATAGGGTCAAAGTAGACGGCACAAAACCTCCCCACTTTCACCCTGGATGTGGCTTTCCAGTTACAGTGACAGCCAAGCTGCTCTGACGCCTCCTTCATTCGGTAGGTGAGGTCGGCGTTTGTGTGCAGGCCTGAGCAGTCTCAAATGAGGCGTTGAATCGGGGCGTGGGCAACCCAGGAACACTCACCCCCCTGGTACCTATACATTTAGGGGGCTAATTGACTTGTCGGGGCAACACAAAAATTCATGGTTGTGGCGTCCCATTTGTTTCCAACCAACCAAACCAAACAAAAACGCATTCGGTTTCTCTGGGACAAACCCCAATAGGATCCACTCTGCGGTTTCCCTTAAAGCCTCAGGCAGTTGCTGGGGGTATCCTATGAATTAAACCTCCCGCGCGGAGAAAAAAACAACTGTTTGGATCTTGAAAGAAGAGGGGTGCCTCCGGCTGGTGGAATGGCCAAGGCAACAGTCCAAGCTTGTGTAGTGATCAAAACGATGGACCCCGTTCTTTTGAAGCCCCAAAAGGTGGGGTTCCAAACCCAGTGCATCCTTTTTGGGGCCCTGAATTTCAGCAACCGAAAAAGAGCAAGGTGTCTACTCAGCTTCCCTCTGATTGGTGGTTTGGATTGGTGGTTTGGTGGAGGGGTTTCCCTCCACTCCACAAGAACCACAGCTTCAAATGCACCAATCTGGGGACGCCTGATTTTACCGCGTAAAGCACTAGAGCTGCATCTGCCGCTCTCATTTTCGAGGAGCCAAAGATGTTCGGAGAGTCCACTGGCGGGATGGTGTCGATGGCTTCCTGCAGAGCTGCTGAGTTGACTCGGAAAAAGCAGCAAAATCTGTTTGGGGCCCCCAAAACAACGAAGAAACCGACACGAGGAAAAGTGCTTGCCAACTCAAGAGTGAAGCTAATGGTGCAAAGCCAAGATCAATCCCCCAAACATACCCTTTGAAACGCTTGGTTGCAGTTGTGGTTTTCGGAGACTCCTTGACTTTTGAACCTACCTCGGCTTTTGCTCCCGGCCACACGTGGGGCATTCTTAGATCATGGCAACCACAAAAAGTGAAACAATACGTACCATGCCAGCAATTGCCAGCGTCTGTGGCCCATACATCTTGGAACCAAGTGGAGAAGGGGGGGGGGAGGAAAACGCCACTGGCTGTTGCCTTTCCATCCTTGGCTTTCCTCCCCCCCCCACCCACAAAAAGAAGAGTGAACTTATGCTGTCAGAAAGAAAAAAGATAGAGGAGCTGACAAGTCGGACACGCGATTTCCCGGATTTGTGTCAGTCTTTCTGTCTAAGGATTACACCCTGGGAGTACACCCTTGAATGGCCCAAAATGGTCCAAAATAACACGACCTTATCCCGGAAATATGCCTAGGTGGGGTCAGACCATCATACATGGAACCGCAGATGAGCGAGGTCGGTAGCAGACCCGACCCTTTTGTGCGGTCGATCGCTTTATTCGCCACGTACCTCCAGTGTCTCAAAGGGAACCCCTCTCCCACGAAAGGGGCAACACGCATTAAGCCTTTCTTAAAGGGGTAGATTGTAACCTCCCCCGCCACCACAAATAAATTCTTAAAGGGAGCGTTGCAACTCAAACAAAATCAAGAAGCGGCGGGTTGTAACCCCCCACTGTAACCCCCCACTACTCAAAGGGCACAAAAAAAGCCTACTGTTTAGGGCTTTTTCCCATTCTCTATGGGAAGCTGCAAAAGGTCGCTTTTTCTTGGACCTGCCAAGTCCTTTGCAATTGGCTCCAGGCAACACCTCCGAAGTATGCCACAAGGCGACAGACCTACGAACCACAGTCGAACTATGTGGTAACGGACACATGGAAGCCAGCGCGAAGGAAAGCTAAACCGTGACCTTGTGATTGGGAAGCAAGCGTTCAAGACATCTGGACCGAACCTCATCATATCGCGCTGCGATCTTACATGATAAGCTTGCTTGTATGCAGCTGACAAAACACAAGGTCCTCTGATGGCTCTGTTTCCAGTCCCATGAGAGAAAACGGAAATTATTGGGTCGTTTCCAATTGGACTGGCTGGTGAATCGGGTGTCTGCAAAAAAATGACACAGTATACCCAGTCCGGTGGCAAAATTAACCTATTCTGACTGCTATTGAGCACGTGGACCCAAAACGATCGGAATCGATCGGGCGCAAATCGAATCGCTGAAGCCTTGTACTGCGAGATGTCCAAGCCTTCAGGGATCTTGTAGTTGTAGTCCGACCTCGGCCAAGAGTTGCGGGAAATAACCTTCGTGCATTGATCCCGTGCTAATGGGATATTATGTCATAAATAGTTCTAAAATCCCGAAACACTAAACGTCTAAGGGTGTGGCTGGGAACAGCCAAGTAACCCTATCTGTGATACGAGAGTGTGATTCTCCTCTCCATTTATTGCTTCTTCACCGAAGAGGGGAATCACGTGTTTTGGGAAATCCGGGGCCGGTTAAACAGCACAGACCTTTTTGAACCTTGGCTCTAAAGTTTTTTACTTGGGCCCTTGTTATGGGCTGCTAATGGCTGAAAAATACATACACTATATATATATACCCCTTATGTATTGGGTACGTAGCACAAGGACCAGGTGGCTGGATGTGTGCGTTTCTCAACTGCTGCCTCTGGAGTAGCAATCTTTGACGACAGCAATCTTGAAAGGTTCCAACTCCACTGGGACTCTTCGTGCCAAGCCCCCAAACCCCGGTCCCAAAAATAGGGGCCCATTCAGGAAACCCACTGGCACAGACAGTTTCCTGAATGGGCCCCTATTTTGGGAACTCAGATGTTTGGGTCCTTGGTTGCCCTTTTGCTGAAATCAAACTTGCAGATTTGCGTTCGTTGGAACTATCGTCTCTCTCGCCAGCAAACCACAAGAATAATGGCCCATAACAGTGGCCCATGTAAAGTTCTTTAGATTGGCCGCTCGACGATGGCATTCTCCATATGTCTCCCCTAAACACCGCAAATGGGCAACCACAAACTGGTGCTTAACACACCTGGTTGCCTTGCATGGAAGCACTGGGCAGGGAACTGCACTTTGCCCCGGGCCAGGGTGCGTCGAGGTGGTTGGTAAGTCCCGGTCACCTTCCATTTGCTCGTGTCCCCTGAAAAAGAGGAACTTACAACCAGGGTGAGTGGGCAATCGACCTGGTCGATAGCCACTTATTAATTTCCCGAGGGATCCCAAATAGTCGGTTCAAATGCTAACAGATTCTCATAGGGCTAGATATCTTCGCCATGTGTCGCGATCCCAGGGAGCTTTAGGCAGGCTGGAGAGCTGTAAAAGCGCTCGCCCTTCAGCTCGAGAAAGCGGGGAGAAAAAAAAAAAAAACAACTGCCAGCGCACTGAGGCCAAGCTGCTGATAGTTGTTGAAGGTGAACGACGGCTTCCAAATGTCGTCACCTTAGTTCGGTGGGTGCACCGCCCACTGCCCAATTTGGGAGGGGGGGGGAAGGGCAAGTGATGGTTTGAATCGGAAAGCAAAAAGGAACCCCATGTGAAGGGGCCAACAAATTTTGGGACAAACATAGACAAAGCCAGCACTGCCAGCACTGCCAGCACTGCCAGCACTGCCAGCACTGCCAGCACTGCCAGCACTGCCAGCACTGCCAGCACTGCCAGCATTCGTCGTCACACGCGTTCCCTGCGCTTTCCAACCAGCCCACTCGGGGGAAGCCTGGGCAAACCCAAATCGTCGAAGGCTTCGCGTTTTTGGAACTGGCCACTGCTCGGCAGGACTTGGTTGCCAAACATGACCAAACGTGTCAAACCTGGGACGATTCCAGCGCGATTCTACATGAGCCATTTCAAGGCCCGCCGTGGCACGGGACTTGTGGCAGTTCGGTCAGTGTTTCCACCTGAAGTAGATGGTGTGCAAAGGACATGCGCTCATGGTCCAATGCGGAGCAGTCATCCCGTGTGCCGGTCTTTTCCTGTTTCTTGAGGGCCCAAGTCCGAGATTGGAATCATTAAAGAGGAATCCCCGCTGATCCAATTCTTTTGGTCTCTCTGTGCCACCCATCGGCCCTGAAGGCCCTGCGCTCGACTGCTCGACTTGGCCCAGCGGCAGAACCACTTGGCCGTGTAGGTGTTGAAGAGCTCGCGGTCCAGGTCGTCAGTAATGCGGCCCCCGTACTGGGCCTCCGCCACCATGTACTGCACCGTGACCTCGAAGCGCTGAATTACGTGTTTGTTTTTTGTTTTTGAGGATTTGGTGGATGTGTCAATGAAGCTCCTGGGTGTTGCTCTGGGTGTTCTGGGTTTGTGTGTGAAAACCCAAGCCTTTCAATTGAAACGCCAAGCTTGTTGTTTGCAAGCTTGTGAAAAGGGTGATCGTCGATTGGGCTTCCCTTTTAAGCTATCCAACCCACATGCCTAGGCACTATCAGGTGATGCACATGAAGGGCAAGATGAATACTTGACTCAGCCTGACACATACGTGTATGTCGGCCTCTGATGGAGGGGGTTGTCCCATTTGGAGAGCAACCCATATTCAAGTCACGATTAAAAGCTGGTACTCAAAGACTCTACCCCAAACCGGTGGGTATGTCCCACACAGGGGAACCTCCAAATTGGGTGGTTTCCTCTTGTCTCTTGTCTTCGGTTTGAAGCAACAGCCGGCTGCCAGGAGGCCCAGGAAATCGGCTGGCCAGCCATGACCGTAGTGGAGACGTGCTTCTCCAAGAACAGCAAGCCTGGAAACCGAACCGTTAAAGGTCGGAGTCAGAAAAGGAACCTGAAGGGTTTGGAAGGAAGAAACCTACCAGGAGAGCTTCGGAAGGAACTTGAAGAGTGAAGGGCTCTTTCCTGGCCGGTCCGGGGTGGACATCAGCGTGCCATTTCTCAACAGGTTGTGTGTCTGATGGGGAAACCTTCAACACCGCTGGCTCACTTAGGCTTCCGTTTTCAGCAAACCCCAAAAAGGGGTGGTCCACGTTTACCATCCACCAGAAGACACCTGCAAGAATTACGAACAAAACTGTGAAAGAAAAACGGCAAAAAGGTGAGTTACCGTTAAAGCTCGCAATGATTTGGAGGGAATGAACATTGATGGTGCTCCCCTGCAAACATATCCAAGGGACCCAAAGATCCATGCAAAGCCCCCCAAAAGGCGAGTGAAGTCTGGCAATGGAAGCGGCTGGCTATTGGCTTCTTCCGACTGCGCCAAAACATGGCGCGCCTGCAGCTTGCAGGTCACTTGCTCCTCATATCTCTCACAGGCATCCAAAAAATTGTGGTTCTCATGTGGTTTCTCTTTGTCATCCAAAAAAGAGTACCTCAAAAACAACCCACCCCAAATGGAAGCTGCGACTATGTGATTGTTAGGCTGCCTGCCAATGTCCATTGTTGCAAGGGCAAATGAAAGGTACTCAACCTACCAAAACAAAAAACAAAAACATCTACCAGGAAAAATAACAAGCTAAAACGACGCCTTTGCCTCCATATCAAAAGACAAACACACCAGAATGTCCAAGTAGCAGGCATCCAAGTCGGAGTTGTTGTACTCGTAGGGGATGCACCAGCCAATTGGACCTCAGCTTCCCAGATCTGGCAGAGTGGGCGCCAAAAGAGGAGGTCGTTGGTGTCCTAGAACGAAATCCCAACTCCGGGGGGTATTTGGCGAGAGTACGTCCTGGGAGGTGGTGTTTTTGAATTCTGGGCAATTCTGTCCAGTGACACTTGCATGTCAACTTGGTTCTACATCTGGCTAGTCTGCCACAACGGCCAATAAAAGCTGAGTTGAGTCGTTCGGCAACTCTGCTTGAACAATACTGCATCCTGTCAATCATCCGAATACTCTGCATCGACTACTGAGCCTTTCCGCTTGGTAGACAACTCCTTTCAGTAAAATAATGAAGATTTCATGTGATCGGGACTATACGGGATTCTAGTAGAATTTCTGGCTTCAGATGGAATCTAAGTAAGATTTCTTAAATAGCATGTCCCTTTTAGAAGAGGACTCGAAATAGATTGTGGTTATCATTGTTGTTTGTTTCAAGTTAGACTTGAAAGGTGATGTCCCTTCCCAGGAGGATTTGTTAATGATTGCTTAATAAGAATTTCGAATAGAATTAACAAGATTCGAATTCTAGTAGATTATCTGATTTCAATTAGAATTTAAATAGGACTTCCTTCTGTAAGAGGATTTCAAACACAATGTCAAATGGGTGTTGTTCAAAGGTGGGTGTCCTTTCTCAGGAGGACTTGTCCATGTTTAATTAAACATTACATGGAGTTAAGTAAGGGAATCATCTGGTGGATTTTGATTTCAAATATAATTTAAACAGGGTTTCGTAGTGAAAAGGGATTTCAAGTCGCTTTATATTACAAATCGCATTGCAAGTTAGATTTTCGAACGAGTTCCTTTCACATGACGATGAAACGTATACTCAGCATTGAAAAAGGAGTTGATAAGCGTAGAAATCTAGGAGAATGTCTGGTTTCTGTTGGAATTTGAATAGCATTTCCTTTGCAAAGATGATGTCAATTAGGTGTCAATTAGAATTCCTATTTCGAAGAGAGAGGCCTCGCAACTAGAGATGTCTTCCCTGTTTTCGCCTGAGGAAAGGCCAGGAAGGGAGGGGGTCTCCCTTTCAGACACAGTTCCGGTGCTGGCATTCGCACAGGGCTGGGGGCCCGCCCTTCGCCTCAAGCAAACAAATCCCCCAATTGCTCAAGAAAATGCGCCACAGACCGCGGGCGACAAACCCACAAGGGTTCTCAAGTTGTCAAGGATCTGTTCAGGATGGCTCTTGCTTGGACGTTCAAAGCACCTCCCTTAGAAGGTACCAACGGCTGTTAGGGAACTGCGCTTGCGAATGGCAAACGAACCTCTTGCCTCTTGCTTGTGGTCCACTCCCCAAGAAAACGGAAGAACGGAAGAACGGGGTAGGGGGTCCATTGGGTAGGGTTTCTTGTGGTGGTTCAAACTTTGAAGGAAACCCACCCACAAAAAGCCGGAAAACAAGGGGCGAAAATTGTCCACTGAACAAGCGGAATTGCCTTGCCGCCTGAAAGGGCCGGAGGAGCTTCTAGGGATTCAACACAGGCTAAGCCCCGGCCGGCTTCGACACATATCAACTCCAGATTCCGGAGGATCTTACTCAACAGGGGCGGCAGGCCCTGGTTGGAGCAAAAGAACGGTTTTGTCAGGGCAGTTCCTTTGACTAGAGTAGTCCGGAATATAAAATTAAGCGCTCTGGACGCCCCCGTGAACCACATAATGTGCGGTGGTCCCAGCACAAGCGACAGGTTTGAGCTTCGGTATCCGGCGGGGGGAAGGGGGCGCAGGGGCCAAGGCACCATTCGGTGTGGGCCCAGGGAGCTGGTCGACCCAGCGTTTTCAACATTCTCATGATGCCCAGTAAAACCAATATCACACCCCTCCCGAGTTGACTGCAGATTACTGGATAGGTTGACTGGACTGGACCTCGAAAATGCCTGCATGTCAAAAGGGACTTGATAAAGGCCAAGCATTTGGTGTCACGTTGGTATCCTTTCACTCACACACACACACACACGCACACACACGCACACACACACACACACACCCACCACCACCACCGCCACCACCACCGCCGCCGCCGCCGCTGCCACCACCTCCACCACCACCAGACCTCCTGTGAATTGCCTTTTTTGGCTTCTTGAAGGGAAGCCCACCCCAAACATGACAGAGGAAACCTCACCAAATCTATTGGCTCTTGGGAGAAATCAACCTGGAACCCTGCTCCCCTTAGAGAGGAGCCAGGGTCTTCTCGTTTCAACAAGTTTGTCTCACCCTCTCCGGCGATCGAATCGCTCGATTGGGCCGCCGGGCCGAACTTGCGCCTCTCCTGGACGATACTGTGCAGGAAGGCTTGCACGAAGACCAGGGTGCGCCACTGCGGCAGGTCGATCCTCAACGTGGCCCATTGCTCGGAACGAGGGACAAGGGACGCTTCGTGTGTCCAACCAGAAACCCACCTTTTTGACTTCCATCTTCCGTTGGCGGGCCCACAAAAACGTGGGGGGTTAAAAAACCAGACCCCCCCCAAAAAAAAAGTTGAGGCGATGCGTGAACCGAACTGGGCTGGTCCAACTAACCCCTTCCAAAGTTTACAACTTAGGGCTTAGTCGGGAAAAAAGGCAGTCGTGTGGAAAAAAAACTAAATATCAAAAAGCCCGTAGCTCTCCTGATAAGCCTTCCAAATCCAACCCCCCCCGGGCTCGAGCGCTCGCGTTGCATCCGAGGATCTTATCCAAGAGCTCCTGCGAGACCATGGTGCTGTAGGTCCGGTAGAGTCCTGCCTTCAGCCCGGCAGGCGGCTCCAAAGTCACCTGGAAATTCCGCAAGACGCCATGCGACAATTCCTTTAAACATGTTCGAAGCAAAATGGCCATGGGTCAAAAGCCCGTACCCCCAGCGAACATCCCAATCCCCACAAAAATAGACTAAAATGGGTGGTGCACCTACCCCAAAAATAGTACCATTGGTTTTGACCCACAGCCAAATGGTTTAAGACAAACTCCTTGGGGTTTTCCTTGAAAGGGGAGCGGGGTTGGTTGTTTAAACAAAAAATGTCCAACCCTGCTACGTGCACAAGGAGCTGGAAAGACTCTGAGTGAGTGTCGCTTGCCCGTGTAAAATTTAGTGTAAAAGTTTTGAGCCCAAGGAGAGTCCCCAAACAAAATTCATTCCAGGCTGTCGCTTTTGCAGAATCCTCACCTTTTGAGAGACAGGGGGCATGTGCATGTTCGGGCATGATATTCCTTCAAGAAGCAGTGCCGAACCGTGAGTTCAGCAAACCCTGCGGCTGCGAGATAGAGAGGCTTTGCTTGCGGTCGTAATCACTAAGCTAGAACAGCAAGCGCTACGCTACAACGCTACAGAATCTGATCTAGGGGTGCATTGAAATAACGAATGCACCAAAAAAGCAAAAGCACATCCACCGCCTGGGCGTGCTTCACCAAATTGCTATATGCCACAGCTCTGTGAATTCAGAATCCTTTCGGGCCGGGAAGTCATGGACAAGAAACATAGGCGGGACAATTCCGCCGTGTGCTCCTCTTGGTCCCCGACAAAAGCTTGAGACATATTTGTCGAATTCTCGCCCCCAAGCTCCGCACGATTGCTGTCGATGGATTGATCAGAGGGGGAGGCAAGGTCCCTTTAGAAGTGGATTGATGTCTGTGTTGCTGTGATAGGGATCAATCCCATTCCGAAGTTGACATTCCCTTTCAGGGACCCAAGGCTGACCTGCTGTGACGAAACGTTCCATTTTGAACCTACCAACAAAAAGCTTTCAGCTAGAGCCTTGATGTGCATGATGCTTTTGGGCCTTGATCCAAATCAGGAAACATACCAACCAACAAAAAATGGGAGGTTTGCCCAGTCAACTGGTGCAGGGGGCATGTCTTGACAAGACAAACCTGGAGACACCCAAAGCGCGAGCCTTGATAGCGATCTGCAGCAAGCCGATGGGGAACCTGAGAGTAATCTCACCTCAGCGATCACAGGCCGGCCTTTTTTCAAGGTCCCAAACTTGGGCTCGAAGGAACACCCCACCCCCAATTCAAAATATTGACACATGCCCATTAAACAAATTCCGCCATTGGAAAATCGGCAGCCCAAAGGGTCACTTGGCTCCGTTTGAGCCTGATAGATTGCATTCTCCTGTACGAATTCCTTGTTGGTAAGGGTTGTTTGGTACATTCGGTAAGGGACCAGGGGACCAGGCGCCGGCCAACAAGCCTATGTGAGACAAATTTCCAAGCTCATGGCCATGGCATGCAAGAAATATGAGCATGGCCCATGTGGAACCGCAACGCATGCCAAATCAAATGTCCTTGTCTAAGTGCCGCGTTTCCGCTACCTGTTGGAAGTGTCTAAATGGTAACATATTAGATGGTGTTTCCAGAAAAGTGTGTGAAACTCCTGATAGGTGCCTGTTGCTGTCCTGCGGCAACGAGACATGAACCAACGAGGTCAAGCAAAAGGTGCCTTCCCAAATCGAGGTTCTCATGTGCACATGCACTGTGCCTGTAAGTCACATGTAAGCAAGCCGGTCTGAGCCGGATGTGTTAAAGTTTCTGCTGGCGGTTAATCTGTCAAACTTGCAAGTTGAGGCCAACTTGGACTTGGTCAAGCACGGGTTTGTTCAGAATGTGATTAGTGTCTGTCATGAGCCCTCACAGCGACCGTACCAACCTCCGAATTCGGAGGGCTTATGAATCCTCCAAACCGACCCTTGGTTTTGGTTCTTCTCGGGATCTTGATTTCTCTGGGATCTTCATGAGGTCGCAACTTTCCGGTTGTGAGGTTGCTGCAATTTGCAACCAGATCCTTGGGGTCTTGGGACCAAGCGATCCGGATCCCCTCTCCCATGAGTTGCAGCCCCTACGGATCCATCTTGGGTCACCATTCTCGGTGAGGTTTCCATGCAGTGCTGCAAAGCACTCACCAAGTTGCCCCAACCCATGCGCAATTGAACAAATGAAGAAGTTGTCTCTTCTGACCTGCGAACCGGTCATCTCTTGTCTGTTTCGCAACTGGCCAGCCTTTCAGTGCCGTTGACTTTTTTGGGGGGGGGAGCAACCGGGTACCTGGGACGCCTCGCCGACTGAGGGATGAGCCACAGTCGAGGGATGTTCCCGCACTTCGTCCTTCATTCCAGTGGAGTGGGGTTCACTTTGCCTCAACATGGGAGGCTCATGATAGCCATTCCGTCGGGACCGGTCAGGGAAGCCCGAGCCCCCACTTCTCTGAGGCCAGCGCAAGTGATCCACAGCCTGGCAGGTCCGATGAGATCCGCAAACACACGGACCGGCGCTCGTTTGGATGGATCTTCAACCTCTCCCAGACAAGTGACACCCAGGCATGTTGTGGGGATTCCGACCAACTGGACTAAGTTTTTTTTTTCCGAGACGATGTGTATGTGGGCGTGTGATCCAAGTCGTTGGCGATTAAAGAAAGTGACTCGTGGAATCACGCCGGCGGGGAATCAAAAAAAAGGATTGCCAAAGGGAGAGTGGTTGCACGGAACAGCATATCGGCGTGTGTTTTTTGTTGGTTCACCAACAAAATGTTGCGTTTTGCCTTTTTCAGCAGAGCCAAAGGGGGTACCCTAAAAGTAGACAACCCCAGAATATTGTCTAGGAGCAATGGACGATTGAAACTGCAGATCATCTAACTTGAGCGGAGAGAAAACAACCTTGGTGTCCTTTTGGAAAAGTAGATGGCTCCCACTGGATGATTGAAACCGAACTAAAACAAGGGCCATCTATGTCCAACCAAACTCAACAAAGAAAGGACACCTCTGGAGGTGAGCAACGTAAGGCCAACGAGAGATGACCCCCAGAAAGGCCCCGCGGGTGTCCAAGGAGCGGTTTGAATGACCCGGAGGTCTTGCGAACCTGACCTCTGACTGCTCCGCCTTCCAGAAAACTTTTGAAGCTTGCCAGGCGTTGAGGTGATACTTCGTGCGAAATGCTTGGACGTGGAACCCGCCTGGTTGCCTTTTGGCTTCCCTTTGATTGGAATTGCCCTTCAAGAGCGATGGTCCCTCTCAAGGCTTGAGGTACAGGAACCCGATTGTTTGCCTGGGGCTCCCTCCCAGTTCAGATATTTTTGGTGTTGACTGTTGGTAGTGAGGCCACGAAAAGAAAAAGCGCATTGAAGCGTGCCACTGAACACCTGGGCATATGTCTGCCTTAAACATCAACACACCAAAAGGGAACTCAGCAACATTGGCACAAAAAGGTGATACTAAAACGTGTTACTAAAAACTGCCTAAGGGACATAGAGGGAATGAAGGGGAAGCCCACACTGAGCGGTTGTCACTTCAACCAGGCTTAAAAAAAAGCTATTTCCCTGAAGCACATTGCCAATTTAGGGCTCGCCCCGTGGTTTTTCTTTGACACTTAGAGCTCATCGCCCCGAGATTTTGAGCAAAGCAAACCTGATTTTGCTCCACCAACCAACAAAACAGGCACCCTCAAAGGCATTACCCATCTGGCCAGGAAGTCCATGCAAGGATTTCGCGCATGGAATATTGCCCTCCCAACCATGTGGCAGAGGGGGATGGCGTTTCTATCTCAAAAAGGCCGGCAGCTGTCCACTTCAATGATTGGGGGAGAGTAGAGGCTATTTGCCCGCTTGAGTTTGGCATATCTCTAGAAATCCTACACTTTGCTGGGGCACATACATTCGGTACATTCTTCTGACAATCCGTCCGGAAAGGACAACCCCGACCCTCACAATGCAAAGGTTCCAGATTACAGCAGTGGGGAGCTAGGGTTTGCGGAGATTCCTCGAGCACTTCAAAAAACAACATCCCGGGAAGAACACTTGGGCGCGGCCGTGTTGAAATCTTGCTGTCGATAATGCGCTTCTCTCAGGCTCTAGCGGTTGTCTTTGCAAGGTTGCTGCCATAATATTTGGGCATGAATCAACCTGCTGACTGAAATTGGGCGAAACCAAAAGGACACCGTTCCAACAGTTCTCAGGACCCCGACAACTCAACGCTCCCATGTGCACCTGAAGGCCTCATCGATCTCAGGTGTCTTCAGCATCACATCCTCCAACTCGCACATGTAGCCTGGGCTTTTCAAAATATGGGTGCATGGTTTACTGTAACGGCTCGGGTGATATAAAGCTGCGCAAAGAGTTATGCCCTACCATTTTGAGGAAGCTTACCATTCAAATGCGCAGTCATGTGTGTAGTTGCGTATTGTGCACTATTGTACAATGTCAATGGGTGCCTGTTACCCACAAAGGAGACTCCCCTTAGAAGGTGTACACCCCCCCACCGCGGGGATGGTAATAATGGTGACCTTGATTCATGGCCCCCAAGTTGATTGTTGAGCAGCTGTAGCGGCAACTCCCCCGAAAAGGAAATCCAAGCACTGAATGGCAAACGGGCACCCCAAGTTGACGACTCTGAGAGGTTCTGAGTCAAACTCACTGATCCAAAGCACAACGAAATGAATTCTAACACCAGTGTTTCGAAGATCAGAAAACACTTGTTTTGGTTGGTTCCCACTTCCATCAAACAGGGCGCCAAACAACAAAACGAACAAAACATTACAGGTTTCCTTCTTGGAACTAAAACCAGGTCCCAGCACAGTGAGTATGGTACCGCTTTTTGGGTCCACCATGTTTGGTGACAAAAAAAAAATCAGCGTGAAGTGCCCTGAAAGGGCCACGGAAACCTCTGCCCCCGTTCCAGGAATCGCTGGAATCACCCTGTGGTTGGCCGAAGCTCCGATACCCAGGTGGGAGTTCTGGAGGATCACCCACCCACCGGTGACGAAGGCCGCGTTGTTCTTTTCCTGCGAGCTGAGACCCAGGAAACTGCAGGCGATCCCGGGCTGGTGCCACTCGAACCCATGGGCCACTTCTAAGGCCTTTCCACACCTTCCCCTGGTTGAAGGGAGTGTAATGTCGACGGGGTTCAAGCCCCCCAAGTGTGATCCAGATCCCCTCTAAAATGGGTTGAGCCCTATTGATCAACCAAAAATCAATTAGTGCCGCAGTCTACATTGAAGAGCACCGCTGCCTGGCCGCCTCGCCCGGGTCATTTTGACCCCGGACCAAGTATTGGCCTTGCCAGAAACACGTGGCGTCCGCCTTTAAACAAGCGATCCCAAATGATTCAGGGGCATGTTGTTTCTGCTTCCCGAAACGATTTCGGTTAGACCAAAACCGAAAGTCCCGGGGTTTGTCAACCGCCGAGGTGCTCGCGCCACCTTCTCTTGGCCTTCGCCCATGGACACCTGGGCAAGGGGGAAAATCCGAGAAAGAAATCCAACGCCCTCCGATCTAATCCGTTCTAGGCACGTGCTTTGAAGAATGGTGTCGAGAAGGACAAATTGCGATTTACACGGCCAAATTGAAGGAGTGAAGGAGTGAAGGAGTGAAGGAGTGAAGGAGTGAAGGAGTCAAGGAGTCAAGGAGTGAAGGAGTGAAGGAGTCAAGGAATGAAGGAGTGAAGGAGTGAAAAAGCAAAGGAGTAAAGAAGTGAAGGAGTGAAGGAGTGAAGGAGGAGTGAAGGAGTGAACGAGTAAAGGAGTGAAGGAGTGAAGGAGTGAAGGAGTTAAGGAGTCAAGAAGTCAAGGAGTGAAGGAGTGAAGGAGTGAAGAAGTCAGGGAGTGAAAGAGTGAAGGAGTGAAGGAGTGAAGGAGTGAAGGAGTGACGGAGTGAAGAGTGAAGAAGTGAAGGAGTGAAGGAGTGAAGGAGCGAAGGAGCGAAGGAGTGAAGGAGTGAAGGAGTCAAGGAGTCAAGGAGTGAAGGAGTGAAGGAGTCAAGGAATGAAGGAGTGAAGGAGTGAAAAAGCAAAGGAGTAAAGAAGTGAAGGAGTGAAGGAGTGAAGGAGGAGTGAAGGAGTGAACGAGTAAAGGAGTGAAGGAGTGAAGGAGTGAAGGAGTTAAGGAGTCAAGAAGTCAAGGAGTGAAGGAGTGAAGGAGTGAAGAAGTCAGGGAGTGAAAGAGTGAAGGAGTGAAGGAGTGAAGGAGTGAAGGAGTGACGGAGTGAAGAGTGAAGAAGTGAAGGAGTGAAGGAGTGAAGGAGCGAAGGAGCGAAGGAGTGAAGGAGTGAAGGAGTCAAGGAGTGAAAGGAGTCAAGGAGTGAAGGAGTGAAGGAGTGAAAGAGTGAAAGGAGTGAAGGAGTGAACGGAGGAGTGAAGGAGTGACAGGAGTGATGCAAGATGGCGTGAACAACTGTCGGGACTGCTATGGCTTTCGCTTTTGCGGCTCTAAATCACTACTGTACCATTCCTTTTATACCTGGCAGAAAGTGCCGAGTCACTAGCCATCCAGTGTAAAAGCTCTAGTGTTCCATCCACAGCCCGCAATCTGAGCATGTGCCAAAGTAGGTTGACCTCAAAAATTGTGGTTTTCCTTTTTGGCTTCCCTTTAAAGCCCACCAATACGGGGTTGCCCACAAAACGTCCGTCCCACCAATCTGGACAGAACAACCCTCCGGTCTGCGCCCTACCCCGTTGCCTTGTCTGTGGGGTACTTCTTCTTCTTCTTAGCCAGCTCGTCAATGCTGAAGGTGGGATCGCTGCCTGGGCCCAGTGAGTTCCTACTTCACCAACCTGCCAAGTGGAAAGCAGGTGCTCTGGGATCCACTGGGAAGGTGTTCTGAGACTAGGTTGCCTCCTTGTTCTTCTCCGAAAATCGCAACTGGGTTGTGTTTTGAAGCAAGAAAGCCTGGTGATTTATACATCGGACCAAGCCACCAGCAATGGTAACAGTTGCCATTCCCCAAGCCCTCGCTTGAGGGGGCAAGCCCCAAGTCTTGGGGGAGCGACCCTGCAGATGCTTCCGAAAATACTCGCTTCAGTCACTCGCTTCTCGGGTGATGGAATAACTCGCCCACCATTCCTGTCGCTCAGACAGCGGCCATGGGGAAAACCAATGCCGGGCTTTTTTAGGCTTGGACGAAGGGCAAACCAAGGTCCTTTTGAAATAGATGGATTCCACGGTTCCATGCTGACATCAATTCGAATCGTTTCATTTGGGGTCTGGGGAAAAATGGAAAATAACCCATCCCCTGTTGGTTTCCCTTTCGGGGAATGAATCACTACAGGCCATTTGGCACAAACACACCCATCTGGGCAAATTACTATAACTCCCAAGCTGAAAATGAGAAATCAAAAAAAAAGAAACAAGTTGCACGGGCGAGCTCCTGTGAGCTTGTATTTGACGCAGACCAAGCCAACAGAGGCCCCGGCCTGCGGTGAGCAGGTACAGAACAGGCTTTCGGCACTGCGACTCCTCGTAGATGTCCTCAGGGCTTTTGTTTTCTGGGCCAGACAAGGATCCGACCTGCAACAAATGAAGACATGTTGCCAAGGGAAAGTGAGAAATCCAAGAGGGCCAAGAGCTGCGTTCAGTCTGGCAATGTGCTGCGAGAGTAGATGTGTGATGGGTTTCTCGCTCAGTCCTGGATGGCATCAGTGACCGGAGCCACGAAGCGATAGTCGAGCATTGCCTCCCGATGCACAGCACATGCTGGGGGCTGTCTCGGGGTCTCAAAAAGGTTTGACCTGGGTGTCTCTCGTGAAGGCCCTCGGAAATGCCTCTTTGACTGGCCCAAACGGGTACCCTCACCAAAAAGGACACCCTCACTTGGGCAATAAGGTAAGTATTGGTTATGGAGGTATGGGGCCCATGTACCACCTATGGAAAAGAGGTATATACTGCCTGGCAAGCTTATATTGGTGGTATGCAAGCCTCCATCAAAATCCACGCCTGAATATGAGGGGGTGTTCCAACAAGGACCAGGTGTCCAATCAATAGAAACATCCTATCAAAGAAAGAACCACTTTGACTTGGCAACCAAAAGGAGACGACAAAGGAGTATAGGGTATTTTGGATTTAAGAACCCAATATCCAACTACAAATGATGAAGGGTCCTTCGTTCGAGACACAAAGCACCAGAAAGAAAACAGTTGGCGCACCCAAACATCCCCACATATGAGCCTCCCGTTTTGAGCTCACCGTACTACTGAAGCGAGATCGTCTAGCCTGCTTCAAGGATCTGTCTAAGGCTACCAACTCCCTGCGTAGAGAGTCTGCTTCCTTTCACATACATATTATATATATATAGTGTTTGTCTGAGTTTCATCCAGCAATCAGGTGTTTCCTTCACCAAACGTGGACCCCCTGAGAAAAGACATCTGTGTGCTAGTCAATAGGGAAATGAAGGATTCAACAAACCGAAAGGGCAGGAAGATGAGGCAATGTTGCGACCATATGGAAAGTGATTGGAGCGTACCCTCCAGGCAGCTTGCCATGCATTCGCTTTTCGCAACTCCGATGCGACAAGAACAAGATAAGGTCTGTCAGAAACCACACAGATTTATTGGGGTCCCGGACCCAGCCCAAACCTGCAGGGGCCCTGGTCTCCCTCCCTTGCATTCTGGGTATCTTCCATAACAAGTCTTGCTCTTGCTAGCAACTTTCCAAACATACCCGATTGCAACTTTAAGCATTTGTAATATATGTATGATACATGTACATACAATGCATATATATATATATATATATGTATACATACATATTTGTCAACTTGCGGCTTTCCTAGGTTACCCCCAAGGGAAGCTCACCTTCAACGGGCCAAAAAACGGTGACATGTTTCAAACGACCACGCCAAACGCCTTTTTCACATCGCCGAATCCCTTTCGACTCTCGACGCCGCGCGCCTCAATGAACTGACTGCAGCAAATGGTCATCCGGTCCTCGCGCATGCACCGCACGATCACCAGGCGCAGGAACGGGCCCAGCGTCCTTGGGCCAATGGGCCAATCAGCCGATGGGGAAAAGGAGGGAGTCGATCCCAGCTTTCGACTAGATCAGCCGTTCCTTCTTGCTTCTGCAGGTTCCCTTGGGTATCTGTACAGGTAAAATAGATCCACTGGAGGCGCCCTGGGCAAAGACTCTGAGGTACAGGCACACCAGACATCTAGCCTTCCTCTTGCTTTCTCTTGAAAGCCTCATCCCAATGCGCTGATGATTGTCCAGGGACCCGTCATTCGAGAAAAGGATCAAATCGAACGACTCACTAAAAAACAAAAGACGGAACTGGCGATTGCTTGCCAGGAAGGAAGGAAGGAAGGAAGGAAGGAAGGAAGGAAGGAAGAAAGGAAGCAAGCAAGCAAGCAAGCAAGCAAGGAAGCAAGGAAGCAAGGAAGCAAGGAAGCAAGGAAGCAAGGAAGCAAGGAAGCAAGGAAGCAAGGAAGCAAGGAAGCAAGGAAGCAAGGAAGCAAGGAAGGAAGGAAGGACCCCCTTTTTCAGCATTTGTCTAATCAATAGGCAGACGGTCGAGCATTTCCCGAGGGACCCCAGTCCAGCTGCTCGCCCCAAAAAACATCGGATCACGTTTTTGGGGGGCCTAGGCTCAACATAGGCCAAGTCCAGGAGCAGAACGGTCAAGTTCGTGGCTCCCTGATGCGTCGAAGGTTCAACTTTGGCTGGGATATGTCATAAATCCCTCCAAACTCTAAAAAGTCAAGGAGTTAAAACAAGGTGGGATTGGACGGCAGTCCTGTCCATGTTGATGCGCTCGTCGTAGTCAGGGATAGGCACCGACTCCGGCTCGTTCTCGTCGTACCACTTCCTCCAAGCTGGCTCGTTACCTCAGATGGCCCAGCGAGAAAGGCCCCCCCTGCCCAAAAAGTGTACCACTTTTTGCAGGTTGGGGGGTAAATAATCATGTTCAACCAAGGTCGAAGGTTAAAGATCCATCCCACTAGCATTCAAACTGGTTTCCTCCTGAAATTGCGCGTGGTGGGGTGTTTGGCGAATGCCCTGCAGGAGGGTCCGATCTGTCGCTTCGCTTGCCGGTTTCCTGGAGCTGGCAAGCGAAACGACAGATCGGACCCTCCAACAAAACAGCTTGAAGGTATGAAGAACGGGACCCTTAAAGAAACGGAGGGTCCGAGTAACGGGCCTTACCGAGGGGCACATGTTGAACCAAGGGAAGCGGTAAGTATTTGTGGAAAGCAAGGCAGAGGATGACAATCTTTGCAGCTTTAACCAAGAGGGAATTTCCCCCAACATGCGCCCGACCATTGGCCCAACCTAGCACCAAACAAACCCTTTCAAAGGCGGCTCGGCTTGTCAAAAGGGCCCGAAAAGGGACTCGATTTTTCGACAAGCCATTCAATGTGGAATTTTAGAAAAGCGTGTTGGTGAACCCGTCTGCGTGTGCGTCAACAAGCATGCCCAGCTGGCAGTATCCAGGACAGTTCTCAATACCAGTAGAGCCGGCGAAGCCGGTGGGCGCAAGAGTCAAAAATATAAAAACTACAGTTCTGTTTCTCTTTCTTGTCTTGAATCTTGTTCTCTTCTTCCTTTTCACTGTTTCTTTGTTTCTTCGAATCTATTTGTTCTTTCTGTCTTTCCTTCCTTCCTCCCTTCTTTCTTTCTGTCTTTCTTGATGTTCATTCTTCGTTTTCGTTCTTTCTCTTCTTTCTTTTGCTTCTTTCAATTGCGGATTTTGCGCCGTTCTTTCTTTTGTCTCTTCCCTAATATCTATCTATCTATCTATCTATCCATCTATCTATCTATCTATCTAGTTTCTGTAATTTCTCTATCTCTCTATCTATCTAATCTGTCTATCTCTCTATCTATCTAACCTACCTACCTACCTATCTATCTCTCTCTATCTCTCTCTCCATCTATCCATCTATCTATCTATCTACCTATCTATCCATCCATCTCTCTACCTATCTATCTATCTATCTATCTATCGGTCTATCTATCTCATCTATCTCATCTATCTATCTATCTATCGATCTATCCATCTATCTATCTGTCTATGTGCCTGTCTGCCTATCTATCTCTCTCTTTCTCTTTGTCTATCTATCTATCAATTTATCTATCTGTCTGTCTTTCTATCTGTTTCTTTCTCTATCTCTCTATTTCTCTTTCTATCTGTCTATCTATCTATCTATTATCTATCTATTTTTCTACCTTTCTATCTCTGTTTATCTATCTATCTATCTATCATCTATCTATCTTTCTGACAATCTATCTCTCTTTTTATCTATCCATCTATTTTTCTACAAATCTATGACTCAATCAATCGATCGATCGATCAAACTATCTATCTATCTATCTATCGTCTCTTTATCTATTTATCTTTTCTCTTTCTCTCTCTCTCTCCCTCTCTCTCTCTCTCTCTTCTCTTTTCCTCTATCTATCTGTCTATCTGTCTATGTATCTATATATCTATATATCTCTCTACCTCTCTCTTTATCTAAATTTCTATCTATCTATCGAATCTATCTATCTATCTATTTTTCTAGCTCTATCTATCTATCTATCTATCTATCTCTTTATCTCTTTCTCCATCTATCTATTTATCTACCTGTCTGTCTGTATATCTATTGTTTTTTGTCTATCTCTCTTTTCATCTGTCTCTCTACCTACCTATCTATCTATCTATTTGTCTATCCATCTATCTAGCTCTCTCTCTCTCTCTCTTTCTCTTTCTCTCTGTTCCTCTATCTATCTGTGTATTTATCTATCTATCTCTCTCTTTTTATCTATCTATCTATCTATCTATCTATCTGTCTACCTCCTTTGTTATCTATCTATCTATCTATCCATCTGCCTATCTCTTGTTTCTATCTCTCTCGCTCTCTCTCTCTCTCTCTTCCTTCCTTTTCCTCATTTATCTGCTTATGTACTTCTATATCTACTCATTTATTTATGTTTCTCTTTATCTATATATCTATCTTTCTATCTATCTATCTATCCAGCTATCTATTTGTTTATCTAACAATTTCTCTATCTATCAATCTATTGTTCTATCTCTTTATCTATCTATCGATTTCTGTTTGTTTATCTTATCTATCTATCTATCTATCTGTCTGTCTGTCTGTCTGTCTGTCTGTCTGTCTGTCTATCTATATCTCTATCTCTCTCTCTCTCTCTCTTTCTCTTTGCCTATCTATGTATCTATCTGTCTGTCTTTCTATCCATCTCTCTATCTAGCAATTATCTCTCTATCTATCTATCTATCTATCTATCTATCTATCTGTATCTGAACTTGCGAATGTGCTGCGCCTGCCACGCAATCTGCACTTGACCTTGCGAAAGTGTATTTGACCTTGCGAAAGTGCCGCGCCTGCCACGAAAGATGTCCTTGACCTTGTGAAAGTGCTGCGCCTGCCACCAAATCTGTACTTGACCTTGCGAAAGTGCTGCGCCTGCCACGCAATTCAACCCTTGGGAAAACTTGACCTTGCGAAAGTGCTGCGCCTACGCAATCTGCACCTTACGAAAGCACTGCGCCTGCCAACGTGGTCCGACCAGGCGCCGCGAACAGGCTAGATTTCTGCTCTCCGAAGACGCCAATTCACGCACAGGGCCATGCTTTTTGCGCATTTCTAGTCTCCCACCATGCGCGCCTGCATTTTTTCTCGCGCGCTTGTTCCTTCTCTTGTCATCTGTCTGTAAAGGGCTAGCTTTCAGTTAGTTGCCGTAACACGGAAGTTCCTTCTAAACTTCCCCCCCCCCGAAACCCTTGTCCCTTGCTGGGAAAGAGGGAGGGGTTGGTTCAGGGAGCAGGTTGCATGGTTCTTTACCACTATGAGTGAAAGCAAGCGAGACAGGGCGCCGCAACCTTGGCAAGATTGCACAGAACAGGGCTGACGCGGGACCCAATGAGAACACGCACAATTTTGGCCCGAGCTATTCAGCCCACCTCCACACCCAGGATTGGAAGAGCATAGCTTGGGTGGGACAACTCCAGCAGTGCTTTTGTGACAAACAAACTCCCAACCACAGTCAGAACCCCACCCCCCCCACCCCCCCAATTTAAAAACAAATGTGTGGGGCGGTTTTCCTTTGGTTGTTTCTCTTGGTTGTCCTCTTGTGAGCTTGACACAAGGGCACCAAAGGTCTGGCCTGCCAGAACTCCGAGCGGCGCTGCATGAAGTCCACCATCTCACGGAAGAAGACGATCCTCGGGAAGCGAGGCTTCGGTGAGTGTCTCAAACAGGGATCCCTACATTATACACCTGAACATTGCCTTGTAATTTGTTTTGCTGGAAAAAGCCATGTTTCAATTTGGCAAAGTGTATCTCTTCAGGAGCCCTCCTGTTAAAATAAGGGTGTTGGTATCCCTGCCAAACCACCCCGAAAAGGGTGCCATCTTAAAAAACAGAACCCACACACACATATGCACACACACATACCTACATCGACACCCCCACCCTTGTGGCTTCTGTTCCCAGGCGTGAAGCGCCTAGTAAAGAAGTGGATCACAAACTGCTTCGCCTTGTAGGCAACTCTTCGCCGAAAGGGTGGGAAAGACCTTGTACCTTCTGGCTGGACTTCCCTGTCATTTCCCTTTGGTGTCCCATTAAAACAACCCCAACTTCGGGCACCAAGTCTCCAACAATGGGGGGGGGTGATTGTTATCGGCGGCTCTTTTGTGACCCTCTTTAAAGTAATTAAAGGGCACGCTGGTTCAACATTGGGGTGTTCCTTTGTGACCAACCCTCATGTAAGGTCTGCTAGAAAAACCTCCCAACCATGGAAGATACTGCCAAACACACAACGGATGCATGCCAAAACCAGGGAACCCATCGCCCTTCCCCTCCCCCCCCCACCTCGGTCCAGAAAAGTGACATCCTCCAAATTACAATCATTATTCCCCCCCAAAAAAAAGAACAGTGGTAGTTTGAGAACCCTGCCACATGCAAAGTTCATTCACCCCCGCTTACCTGGGCAACTGGTGCCCCATGAAGCCAATGCGCAAGGGGCCAAGCCTCACCCCACACATGGCGTAGTGGGCAGCGAGGTGCTGCGTGAAACGGAGTGCCAACCGGAGTGACGTGGCATCAAATTGAAAAGCCGGCCCAACTGAAGAGGGCAGATCCCAAAATCGAAAGTATGCTGTACACAAGCAGAGAACCCGAAAGTTGAACAGGAATCCAGCAGCAAAGCCACATCCAGCCAAAGGAAGTCGGGGCCTCCGGAGCCATTGACCCAAGCGCACTGAGAAGTAAGGTAAAGCACCACACGGCAGCAGCCACTCACAGCAGCAAAACTGTAAGCTATCAAAGTACCAGCCCCGGTGGCAGGGAAGGCAGGAAACTATCCCGCATCTACCTTGCCTCCGACTGCTGCAAGCCTGCATCACAACTGCCGAAAGTCCCACAGTGACAAAAGGGCACAACCCAGGCTCCAGGAAGAACCACCCAAATATGCTGTCGCAGTGCGTGAAGAGGACGAGTCATCAAAGGGAACACATATCCGCAAGGAACAGCCCGCGGCACCTTCACCCATACCGGTGTTCAGAAGATGGGGCCAGCCCAAAGGCCAGGAATCTTCACGGGTACGGCGAGCCGGAAGCCTGCGCCACCAAGCGGAAAAGCAACCCATGAACGACAGATCACAAACACGGCCAAATAGAGGAGGGTGAACAGGAGGTTCACGAGGAGCAGGTTGAGGACGGAGCTGCCAGTCATGGCTTTTTGGACGCTGGACCGGGCTTGGAGCCCCAGCCCAGCCCCGGGCTCAGCTCCCTGAGCCGAGGGGTCTTAGGAACCCGGACGGCTAATAAGGGGTATCCTTTTTTCTGTAGTCTATTTTGGTAGGGGAACCCTCCCCAAAAAAAAGGTAACAGGGCACTACTGGGGGACCTAGTCTACATCAACTCACTTTGCGACACTCTCCGCTTCCCTCCCCGCTGAGTGCGGGGCTGGTCCATGCCGAAGGCCTGCTTCGACAGCGCGATGACGTTGAGCCACACCTGGCCAAGCTGCCAAGGCCCGCAAATCACGGACACAAGATGTGGCTAAGCTTTTGGGACATTGACAAGTAGACCAAACCAAAACCAAGAGGTCAAACGGTGTCTTGTTTGGGCAGGTGAACAAGTGGATTCCCATCGCCATGGCCCATGACTACTTTGTCACTAGATTCGTAGGTTTCCATGGTGCACCAGGTTGTCTCTGAACAGTACCAACAAGGTAGCATCGGAGGTTTGTTCCATGCTATGTGAGCTATATCACTCCCGTGGGAATTGCTGTCCAGGGCCGCTTGGTTAGTTGAACCTCCAAGAGGAGCGCAAGATTCCGGACCTGGACGGTTCCAAGAATTTAGGGAAGCCTGTTTAACTGTTTGGGCGGTTTGAAACGAAAACCACACGGGTAAAAGCAGCAACATGCTGCCAAGAGAACACCCAACGGAAGCCCAAGTACAACGTGTCCGACTTAATGTTCGACCCGACAAGGCAATCCTACAGTGTCTTACAAATGCTAAGCCCGGTCAAGTCAAGGATACTTACCTCCCTTTCGCGTGCGGAACATAGTTTTTCCGTTTACAGTATCTGCTGCATTTGTCTGGTGTACTTTGCTACTCAGCTGGTGCTTGCTAATTCAATCTCCGGTGCCGGGACTATATGCGGCAACATGTCGCTCGGCAGAGCATGCGGAGTACACCTGATGTGCTGGTACAATTGTTCTAGGGGCAACTTCGCAATGCTTTCGTATCCTTCTTTCCAGAAAGTCACCCACACTGCCAAGGAAACGGCTGGTGATGGCAAAGAGACGTGGTTGAAAAGGAATCGGGAATCAACCTCTGGGAATCGTGTTCTTGTTTTCTGTGTTCAATGGCGGGCTGGTTGGCCGCCGAAGCCACAGAATGCGGGCACCGCCGAGTCCTGACGCCTTCCTTGCTTCCTTCTTGGGACCCTCCGATCTGACCTGGTGTGGGGGATGTTAAGGTCACCCGGCTCTCTTTTGATCTAGTGTTCCCCACATTTCATGGAAACTGTGGGGTGGGGTGTGTGTGTGAAACTCCATCTGAGCTGCACAACTCATTATTTGATGTGTGGGTAAAATTACGACGATTCACCAATCGAGCATTCGGGATCCCCATAATCAAAGGTACCTTCATCATGGGTCGCAAACAGAACCCCTTCGCTGGGTCGCTATGATTTGCCCAGATTGAACTGTGAAGCTAAGTTATATTCCAAACGGCGTGTCCTCCATTCTCAGTCCAGGGGTCATTGCCATGCGTCTCCACATACCAAGCTTTCTTTGGCCACCTCATCTGCTCGAACCCCCCACCTACATGGCTTGTGCCCTGAGACTCTTGACTCCTCGAATCCACACCCAAAAGCTCTTAGGGACCCCACAACCGATCTGGATCCTTAGAGCTATTTGCTCACTTGTTCCTTCGTACAGCGCCTTTCCTCTTTTTCCAAGGTTAACAGGTGATTTCGGCCAATCGGGAGCTGCTGTAAACATGGACACGGCAGCAGGCTAAGCTTGTGGGACATTGACAAGTAGACCAAACCAAAACCAAAAGGGCAAAAGGTGTCTTGTTTGGGCAGTGGATTCCCATCGCCATGGCCCGTGACTACTTTATCACTGTGCGACTCGCGGTTGCGACTTCGCCTTGTCGGGCAGCCACTTGTTGAAGGGGTTCTGACGCTCGCTCTTGATGTCCAGAGCAGAGCCGGCCTGAAGAACTGGCTGGGTTGAGGGAATGACCTCCTAAGCATCCTGGTGTTTTGCGAGAAAAAACATCCAACTGGTGAATTCCTTAAGGGAGTCGCTGGGTGCAGCCTGAAAACCTAGTTGAGTTCTTACTGAGAACCAGCAAGAAAAAGTGTTGTCTGTTGTCCCAGTGCATCCCACACAAGCATCCCTAGGCAACCAGCCATGTTCCTAGCTGCTCAAGGGTGGTTCCCTTGGGTACCTACACAGATAAATGTACCTCAGGGTCAGAATAGGGTCGCTCTCAGCCTCGGGGAGCAAAGGACTCTTCCATGCTCTGCCCTTGAGGTTCGCTTTTAAAGACATCTCCCAACGGGCTTTGGTGTCATGTTGGCTTTTTTTTTAACACCACCAAACAAAAAGGTATAATTACCCTCAGAAACACACACACAACTCAATGTGCCAGGGTCAAAAGTTCTGACCGTCCCTGCCAACTGCAAGCAAAGGATCTCTTGACCATGGCTTTAGGGTGGTCCAAACAGTCCCTGATTTGGAGACACACACACACACCTTGAGCCATAGTCCAAGGATATGGAAATGTACTTTGTTTGTGGGATTGCGAGTGAGTTCCCTCACTTCCCAAGTGGACCATTCAACTACTGAAGATGCTGAACAAACTTCAGTAATTTGGACATGACTGTCTTGGGGCGGGGCGGCTGGTTTGTGGGGTAAAGGTTGGCAAACATCCCCTGCCCCTTTTGAATAGTTGGGGATGGCAATGTGCATGCGATTTGCCGAAAAAGGTTCGACCTCATTCCCCAAACCGTGGTTTGGCCCGTATGAAAGCACTGGGTAGCCTCCGGCACACACCCGCCTTCAGGAGCATGGACACGTCACCGGCATTAACCCTCAGTGCAAATGTCATGTCTCCTGTCATCTGCAACGTTTACTATGTTTTCGAAACCTGAAATCAGGGATCCCAGACAAGAAAAACTGCAGCATGGTGAGCTCGTTTCACCCGCAGGCGAGCACGCCATAAGATAGGCAGACTCTTTCCCCCGAAAGCGCTTGAGGCAACTGCTTCATTGGCTCCCAGCTTGCGCTCCCCTAAGCCTCCTCCCCTCCTGAGGCATTAGGCCTTATTCTATTCCAAGGACTCCAGGGGAAGGAGCTAAGGAGAGGATTCGGATCTTGTGTTCTAAGCTTGCCCCTCCATACCTCGTTTGGATCACACCAGTCACCGCACTCCGAGACTTAATGTATTCTGACATGCTTGGGAAAGCCCACTTAGGGTCATGCCATGCCCCAGAAAGCACACTTCGGGTGGAAACAAAACAGCCCCTTTCTCCTCAGGAAGGTTCTTAGAACCTTCTTCTTATTCTGGGGGGGGTGTAGAAGGATGTTGAGAGATGTTTGTGGGGGGTCGAGGGGCTTCCTGAGGCTGACTGTCTGAGTTTGGTGGCCACGAAAGGCTCTCAAGCTGTTGGGCCTTGACTAAACAAGAATGATGAAGACACCCAGCCAGCACCAAACATCAAATGTCAGTTAAAAATGTCTGCCAACCACCGCCGGCCGCCAGCTGGCCCCCAAAAAAGACATCTCCTCATGCAAACACAAACCCGCGGACACACAAACACGCTAACACACAAAAACACAAACCCGCGAACACACAAACCAGCAAAGACACAAACACGCAAACCCGAAAAGATACAAACACGCAAAGACACCACAAACCCACAACGAAACACAAACACACAAAACACACAAACACGCAACACGCAAACACACAACACGCACACACACAGAAAGACAGAAACACACAAACCCGCAAGCACTCAAACACACAAACCCGCAGACACGCAAACACGCAATGACAAACACCCACACACACACAGACACACACACACACACAACACAATCACACACAACACGCAAACACACAACGACATAAACACACAAACAGGGAAAAACACAAACACGCAAAGACACAAACACACAAACTCGCCAAGACACAGCCACACAAACTCGCAACGACACAAACATACAAACACGCAAACCTGCGGACACACAAACAAACAAGCACGCAAACAAACAAACAAACAAGCAAACAACCAACCAACCAGCCAAGCAACCAACCATCCAAGCAACCAACCAACCATCCATCCAACCAACCAACCAACCAACTAAACAAACAAACACGCACACTAACACACAAACCCGCCAACACGCAAACACACCCACATACACACACAAACACAGGCACACACACAAACACAAACACAAACAAAGGCACAACCAGACGAACACACAAACACACAAACACACACACACACACACAGACAACCGCACACACACACACACACCCAAACACACAAACACACCAAAACACACACAAACCGGCTAACACACAAACACACAAACACACAAACGCACACGCACACAAACACACAAACACCCAAACACCCAAACAGGCAAACAATCAATCAAACAAACAAACAAACAAACAAACAAACAAACACGCAAAAAACACACACACACACACAAACCCGCTAACAAACTTAAACGCAGAAACACACAAACCCGCAAACAGACCCCCACACAAACACAAAGGCACAAATGCAAAACCACGCAAACGCACAAACCCGCAAGCGGCAAGACACAAACACACAAACACACAAGCACACAAACACGCAAACACACAAAGACAAGCACAAAAACACAAAAACACACGAACACACAAACACACAAACACACAAACACACAAACACAAACAAACAAACAAACAAACAAACAAAGAAGCAAACAAACAAAGAAGCAAACAAACAAAGAAACAAACAAACAAACAGACAAACAAAGAAACGAAGAAACAAACAGACAAACAAAGAAACGAAGAAACAAACAAACAAACAAACAAACAAACAGACTAGTTACATAACTAATTAACTAACTAACTAACTAACTAACTAACCAACTGACTCACTAACTAAGTAACTAACAAAATAATAATGTAACTAACTAACTAACTAACTAACTAACTAACTAACTAACTAACTAACTAACTAACTAACTAACACACTAACAAACTAACTAGCAAACAAACTACTACGTAAGTAACAGCCTAACAACTAAACTAAGCTGTCTAGCGAGCTAGCGAGCAAGCAAGCAAGCAAGCAAGCGAGAAAGCAAGCTAGCTAGCCAGCAAGCTAGCTAGCCAGCCAGCGAGCAAGCGTTCAAGCATGCAGGCAAGAGCCAAGCAGCGAAGCAAACAAACACACCAACCAACCAACCAACCAACCAACCAACCAACAAACAAACAAACAAACAAACAAACAACGAAGTAACTAACAACCTAAACACTAAACAACTAAGCTCGGTAGCGAGCTAGCAAACACCGCATGTTGGCAAGCACCGCATGTTGGCAAGAGCCAAGCGGCCGAGCAAACGAACAAACAAACAAACAAACAAACAAACACTGGCCCCTTAAATCCATCTCCAGACTCTAAAAGCCCAAGAAACCCTATGGCTGGACCACCGGACACCGCTTGTTCACCTGTTCTTGTCGCGGCACTGGTTGGCCACAGTCATGATCTTCAGAGTCACAAGCAGCTTGAAGAGCATTTTGTCCCGCTCATAGAGGCCGCGGTTCATGTATCGGTACACCTGCGGCTTTGCCCGGGAAGTCTGTCATTTCCGCTTCCCTGTAGTTGGTGGTTTGGGTTGGTGAGCGGTGTCCCATCTATCCTCAACAACCGGACAATCCAAACCACCAGTTCAGGGTTACCAATCCGATTCACAGGTGTCCAACTGTCCAACTGCAAAACCACAACATGAAACCCATTGCCCCCCACAAAAAAAAGAAGAGCCGCCGGGATGTCCAACTCCAGCAGAATCTAACCAACCGCCTGAAACCCCGAAGGCCGGGTTTAGAACCGACCCGCCTGGTAGGTCAAGAAGTGGATGATCTTCTCCACGCGCTTGGAGGTGGGCTGAGCCTTCTCGGAGTTCCGGACCTAAGCCGCCGGACTGGAGCCTTTGACCCGGACCCGAAAGGTTGAGTGTAATTCCTCTCAACGAATCCACCAGTGACCCGTTGTGGGCAGAAAGGCTTGGAAGCCGTTGAGGTTGAAGTACCCCCTTAGGCGCCTGGAGGGTAGGGGAGGGGGTGGGACCGTCTCAAGGAATCAAGCGGGTTGGGGTGATTTGGTTCCCTCAAGTTCAACATTGTCTAGCCTGCCCAAAGAGCAACAGAACAATGGAATCCTGGGTTACCCACTCCCTCAACCACTTGTGAAAAGGGAAGACTCCAAATTCAGGCAGCCATGGGTAGATCAGGATCCCTAAGAAAGCTCTAGGGTTGATGACCATAGCCAGCCCCAAAGTCAGTTGGGCCCCCCCTGAGTGTCAAAGAGGCCTCGTTTCAACTCCAAGTGGCGGAGATCTCGAATTGCTCGAGGAACTGCAGCAGCGAGCAGTTGTACATCCATCCAGAGGCCTGGCGAGCCGTTCCTCTTGGGGGCTGTTCGACTGGTCGGTTTACCCCGTTTTGACCCCAGGATGAGTTGGTCTAGCACACGCGCCTGGGTGGTGATGGGGTTCACCACGTTGGTCATGTCCTCGGTTGCGGCGAGATCTGCCAAGTCCGATGCGAGAAAATTGGAGTCTCCGGGAGTGCAGAGTCATCGACCGTGGGGTGGAAGTTGTCGTATTTAAAAAAAAGCATAATAAAACCCATTTCCTTGGAAACGGAATTTGTCCAATACTTGTTGTTTCCCATCCCTGTGGTTTGGTTTGTTCGCACCCGGTAGACAGTATTGCCCACCCGGATCGATGCTGAGGCGGCGTCCGTCATGTTGAAGTACATGATGCTGCCTGGCTGAGCGGCTAAGCAAAGCACCGGCAGAGACTCGATCTGCGGGGATCCCAATGCCGCCGGCCAGGAAATGAAGGAAACTGTTCAGAAGGGGAGGATCAAAGGCTTCTATCAATCTTTCTGGGAAAGGTTCTGCTTTTCGGCAACCAGACCCCAAACCACAACTCTCATCAAAACATCCAACGATAACTCGGGTCCTAATGTCTCCCCTACAAAGCAGCACACCCCCGGCGCACCTCCGACCTATGGCTTCAGCTGTTCAGGGGGTATACAACCACCGGATGGCTTTTGGTATAGTATATGTGAAAACGGCCAACAAGCAGATGTCCATCTAAAGGGGGGGAGTTATTGATTGGGTTCCGACAAATGATTTGGTATGATGAGGGCAAATGGAGTTCTACACGATTTGCGCCCACATGATGGTCCGGGTGGCCTTTAAAACCCGAAGCACTTGGCCAGAAAAGCGGCTGAAGGCTGGCACAGCTTCTTTCCCTTGAGCCTCGCCTCGGGTGGCCACGGGTCGGAACTGCTCACGCTTCTCGTTGATCTCCACCTTCCTCGCAGAGTTTTCCGCCCGCACTGCATTGGACAAACAAGCGGACTGCGGGGCAAAAACGCAGACCTTTTGCGGTTTGAAAGGGAAGATGAAGGAAAACCAAAAAGGGCTAAAGGGCCAGAAAGGTTAGTGTAGTCTGGTACTGTTATTGAGGACAAAATCAGGTACTCCCTCCCAAAGAAAGCCTCTCGTAAGAGCGTTGGTTGGCGCTTGCTCGTGGAGAACCGAATAAAAAGGTGGCAAGTAGGGACCGCTTGGCTTCAAACAATCGGAACCTTCATGGTGGGCTCCCGCTCAAACCAAAATCTTCCCGAACAATACCGCCACAAGAAGCTGATTGGCAAAACAAAGGAAACGAGCAGGTTTTTGGGAGACAAGCAGATGACTTGCGAGAGAGTGCGAAAGATGAAGGGAATGAGAAATGGAATGACCCCATGAAAAAGCATCCAACTGGTGGTTTCCTTGAAGGGAATGGACCGAAGCACCAGCAAGATGAGAAGGGCTCACAAAACAACTGAGGAAACGAGTAAGCGAAGCCAGCCGCCAGATTGGGCCAAATGTAGCCGAGTCTTCAAGGATTGGCACTGCTCTTTTTGACCCACAGGAAGCCAAGCCAAGTTGTACTCTTGTGGTTTGGTCATAGGCGCGCCCTGGAAAAGTCTTCTGGACCCTCTGCTTCTCTCCCGTTTCGTGCCAATCCATCCTCCCTCCTTTCGTGACCCTTGGCCCCAAGTCGTCCAATTCGGCGTCCTCTCATCCGCTTCCTTCAGCTTGCCCTCCACTTCCTTGGCCTTGGCCTTGGTGTTGGCCAGCACCTGAGAGAGCGCCCCAATCCAAGCGGACACACCCGCAAACGAACCACAAAACGAACACACACATGGAGGAAAAACAGCAACAGCAACAACAAAAAAACGGACGGGACAAACAACAAGATAGAGCAAATCAACCGGAGAAACTCGAAATGGACACGTGGAACATGATGAAAATGGAAAATGGGTTACGCATAGCCTGGAAAATGGAGAATGGCCGACGGCTGCTTCCCGTGGCCAAAGTGGTGTCCAACCCAACCATGCCCTGGCCACCCACAGAAAAGCCTCTTTCCGCATTTTTTCAGACCTGGCGCCAGCCACTATTGCCTCAACCAGTTTTCCCACCACCTGAAGCCGCTTTGGTCGTAGTATTGGGGGGACCCCACTCAACCGCGGCAAACAATCAAAAGGGCGAATCTCCGAACCTTTCCACGGTAAGGTCCAAAGGCAAACCCGGCCTACCCTTTCAGGGACGGATGTCATCCTCGGACCGTCAATTTGGACACCCCATCGATGCCCACCAGGCCGGAAACCACCTGACCCATGGAGTGGGTATTACAGGGAACCACCAAGTTTATGCCCCAACATTGAGCTTCACAAATCCTTGCGCTTTTGGCACTCTCAATCGGGGAATCTGCGGGAGCATCCAAACAACCCTAGATTTTGCGCACCCAAACGACCAGTGACAGACTTTGACATGGCTCTCCCTTACAAACCCAAACAAGTGCTTTCCCAAGCCTCAAAAACAGGAAAGCACCCATATCTCAGACACTCGCCACCACCCCCGCAAGGGACCCGTTTCAGGCAGGCCAAATGGGGCTTCTGCCGAAGACTTGTGGGAGTTTCTGGTGCCGCGGTCGCCGATTTCGGTCGCCGCTTCGCCTCGATCAGCTCCGTGTCCTCCAACAAGTTGCCCTGGGAGTTGGACAGCCGCTCCAGGAGCCTGCGCCGACCCGCCGACCCGAACCCAAAGGTGCCGGACTTTCGAGGGGTAGGCACTGCGGATGGGTAACATCCAGTTCGCGCCAGCTAGGTGGGTTATTCCAGTATTTGTCAGGCTTCATCCATCCTCACTGGTGCAGGAGTTTGTCCCTCCAGAGTATGGAGGCTTGCCATTATGTTTACCCCCAATAGTTGTTTGACCGAAAAACAAATCCCGGGGGGATGTGGAGGTATAGAGGGTTATATAGTTATATACCCCTGGTGGATCCATTTATCTGCAAAGTAGATAACCAAGGGGGGTCCCAATAGCCCACCCTTTGGAAATAAAAAGGAACATGGCTGGTTACCTACTACGGGGGGAACTTAAATTCACTGCATACCACTTCGATATGGGCTCATACACAAATTATACACGTAGAATCCGGGCGGGTGGAGCAATCGCTTACATGGTGGTTTCAATCCTACCTCCAAAGCCCACACCTTAAAAACGGCAGTTTGAAGCAGGGGCTTCACTTTATCGTCCGCTCTCGGAAATGCGCATGGGGAACATGTCTTAAGCCAAGAAATATGATGACACGTCAGCTTCTCCACGGGGCTTACAGTATGGCTTTTGCGGGCTCCGCTCTTTCGTCTTGGTCCCCGGCTGCTTGTCCAAGAGCTGCAAGGACTTGGTGTTGTTGGTAACCTTAGGCTTCACTGCGCAAGCGGCAGTAGGCCTCATCTTCTTGGAGGATTGGTGTCGTTTTGGGGGTTGGTTTAAAAGCAAACCAAAGCCCCAATGTGCGCAACTAGCAAGACTTGGGCTGCCCTTTGACTCCCTTTAGTGCCAACCGCTAACAGCAGGCACAGGTAAGCTAGAGGACTGCTGTCAGGTTTCAGTGGATTGGAGGGTCTTTTGCTTTTGCACAGCAAACTGTTTGGGTCCCTTTTGGACCTGTTGTTCCCCACCCATCATTAAAAGAGTCTTCCAACTTGTGGTGACTGCTCCTTGGCCAGACTTAGACCCCCGAGACGAATATCAACTTGTTTCTTGGAAAGGGAACTTGAAGGGAAACCCAGAAGGGCAAAAAGGCAAGAAGCCTAAGTGCGTCAAGTACCAGTACTGAGGCAAAGCATCCAACACTGGGGTCACTCATGAGACTTCGCAAACATACGTCTCCACAGGACCAAAAAGGGAAACCGCAAGAAAGGATGGGCTCACTTCACATTCACTTTAGTTTAAGCTACCCAAACAAAAAGCGTACCGAGCCTCAAAAGAAGCATTGCCACCATTACAGTACTCAGTCAGAACCTCCTTCCAAGAAGAAACCATTCTCCCGTTTAGACAGGCCATACATTTGTCTGATGAGGTAGTCCGATGCAAAACAGGAGTACTATGACTACTTGTCATTTTGAAGGGGGACCGGCCACTCACAGAGCTGGCATTCACAGCAATTGGTGTCCCACGGTTTTTCAGCCTGTGCTGCTAATTTGCCGCTTGCCCCGAGGACCTGCCCGGCTGCTCCAAAAAAGCCAAAGACCGCCGATCTGTAGAGGGTACCCCGTTTTGGGAGTGTTTCAAAGAGAAGCCAAGGTGAAGCCACCCAATTCTGTTGGAGGGGCATTCTCTAAAGATAGCCAAGATTCTCTAAAAATAACCAAAGGCAAAGAAACCGGCGATTTTGGGTGCGGGGGTCCCCTTCTTTTTTTTTGGCACCAACCCCAAGCCTCTCTGCAGTTCAACTAAGCTCCTCGCATCCTCCTCCAAAGCCGCGAGGGTGTCCTCCAGGCTCTTCATCTCCTGCCACTGAGCCCATGCCATGAGCCCAGCCCCGAAGCGTTCGGCCAAAAAAGAAAAATACACCGGCGGAGAAGGGCCAAACTAAAAAACCAGCGGCTGGGGTCCCTTCATCAACCATGCCTCTGGTCTTCCGATTCCAAACGGAACAGTGGAGATCTCAAGGGTCTGGGAAGGAGGAAATTCGTGGCTCGTGCGTGTCCTACTCAGCGCACCATGTCCACCTCAAATTGGCAGATTGTTAGACTGCTATAAGTTTATAAGGGCTGAATAAATACGCATGTTGCTCATATGACCTGTGACGAATTTGGCTTCAAAACAAATTAATTAGCTGATATGATCGAATCTCATATGGACTGTGTGAGTTGTTTAAGTGCCAATCGGAAATGAGGGATAATGGGGATAACTATGCAAGGGACCGCAATGGAAGAGGTCGTAAATCGTTGTGACAAAATGCGCCCACAGAGTACGTCAAATAAGTGGCTAATAAACCTTGGCAAACGACCCATGAAACTGCGACATACAAGCATTTGGCGCATGATGTTACTAACCACTTACCACGTTTGCAAGTTCACCAAGTGGGCTCTTTCTCCTGGGTGACTTTTGTCACTTCCACGGCGTACCAATCGATCGCGCCGCAAAACCCGTAGGCTCGAGTGTCTCATCGGCGTGTCATTTTTCGAAAGAAAACAAAGAAACAAAAAAACAGCCACTTCAAATTGGTTTCAGAGGAAGCCGAAAGGAACACCGAAGCCATTTGGGGGGGGCCATACAGACTACGGTCCATACCGAGGCGCCATGCCAATGAGCTTCCCCAGCAGCTGCTGCTCCAGTCCCTTCAAAGTCACCGTGAAGTCGATGACCTCAAGTCACATCGGGTCCCGACGCTACGAATCGCTTCGGATCGGACGGGAGGACGGGGCACGGGGGGACGGGAGGACAGGGAGGGGGAGGGCGGGGGGAGGGCGGGGGGAGGGCGGGGGGAGGGCGGGGGAGGGCGGGGGAGGGCGGGGGAAAAAATAGAAAAAAGGGGCTAGCCGGGGGGTGACCTGTTGATGGTTGGCTGTTATGGTTTTTATGTTCATCTCAAATCTGTGTTCCCCCTCATTCGTTTTTAAAAAGGAGTTTTTGGGGAGCTGTTTCATCGTTTTGTTAGAAGTTAGACATTTGGGTTTGTTTCGCCTTGTTCATTGTTGTTCTGGGGGCTGACGTGTTGTTCTTTTGAGTAAGGTTAGGACTTTTAGTAGTTGTTATGTCTGGGGTGTTGGGTGGTGTATTTGTTTTTTTTTTTCCATTTCTATTTCTACAGTTATTTACTTTTCTTCTACACTCGCTACAATATTTATACCTTCTACCACTTTTTACACAACCGAACTCATCAATAGTATTCTCATAAAGACATATATTACATTTGAAGAATTCACCATAGTCTTCTTTTGTTTTTTCTTCGGTCATTCCATCATTCATAATTACTGTAGTTTTAACAACCATTCCTAAGTAGTCTTGTTAAATTGTCTTTATGTGATGTTCATGTGGTTTTCTGTTATAAGTTAAAAAGTTCACTATAATTATAACATCTCAGAATATAAATGTTATAATTATAATTATGGTTTAGTTTTGAATTACTCGGGTTCATCAATAATTAGTTTAAACCTTATGTGTTTTACTCCTTCAAAATTCATTCTACTTCTTTCATCATCCATACAACTGTATATTGTTTGATGCGCCACTCTCATTACATCAGCTAAATTATCTATGGTTGTATTATCTACAGCATCATCACTATGAAAATAAAAACTAAAAGTGGTAAATTCATCGTCTTCACAATAATTGAAATGATGAAATATTACAAATAAATCTACCTCAACTATTATCGTCGCTTCAGAACCTTCGTCGGTTTCAATTTCATCTAACAAACAATCTAAGTTTTCATGTTCATCAAAAACTAAATATTTGATGCTTTTAATGCTTGAAGGTATATTTCTTGAAATGTAATACTCAATTACGTGTCTCTTTGTATTGTCACCACCTACAACAGTCCAGTGCTTGTCTTTCTTTTTGCTTTAGTTCTGCTTATTTTATATCGTTGCTGTATTATCTTTAATGTACCAATATGATTATGTTTTATTTTCAAATACTCAGGTTCTCCTAATTTATATGAAATGATACTTTTTAATACTTCAACAGGTAAGTTGGTCCAGTTCTCAGCCAAAAAAATATTATCTGACATTTTTCCCTCTCTCATATGTCTCTTAATATATGATGTTATTGTTTATGTAAGTAGTTCTCGGGCGGGGGTTGCTGGTCGGCTGGTCTAGGTTTCAGGTTTACTTTAAATGTCTTAACCTTCTTCTTGGATTATAAAACAATGTTTAATCCTGTTATAATTACATAATATCATTAAACAAAATCACTTATGCTTTCCACCTTCCTATTCCATCCCACCAGTGTTCAATAATTCGCATCGGTTCATCTACTAAACTGTCTTCTTTGCTTAGTTTCCGCATCGCCCCTGATAGGATATAGTGGTTAATAATGTCCATCTCGGCTTAACTTTTTACCACACTCTTTTATGATGTCTTCGTCTATTCGGTTTTCATACATTTCATTAACGATGTCAAACCTAACAAATGAGTATTGTCATCAAGCTTAATCCACTATTATCCCTAAACCTGCTAATGACATCTTCCCAGAATTATTCGTTTTCATCAACTGGTGGCAAAGGGTGTCTTTTGATGAACTCCTTTATTTTCTTCAACTCTTCTTCTAGTTCCTTTCTATAACTGTCATTATCATCATCTTCTTCGTCTGATAGCGTCCAGGTTCATAAGTCGGCAATCACTCCAACATTTTCTAAGTTCAAGTCCTCTAGTCTTATTTCAGTAATATTTTCACTTAATATATTAAGTTAATAGTTCTTTAAGTCATTTTTATTCTATGTTGAGGGGTGGGGTGTATGTTCATTAAAAAAAAATCTAACAAATTAATATAGTGGCGAGAATAACGAAAGGCCAAACAATCAGCAACATCTATTATGATTTAGACGAGGGTTTCGGAAGCACACAAGAGACACACAAGAAGGCAAACGAAGAAGACCCAACAATAACATTAGACGATGCTAAGTTTTTCTTAAAGAAACAGCCAAATAAACAAATCAAACATTACAGAGGCACTAATTCCTTTACTGCTCCGTTTTCTAGATGGGAGTACCAAATCGATATCATGCGCATGACACCCTTAGCAAAGGTCAAAGATGTTCCACAGTATGCTTTAGTCGTGATTGACATCTTCAGTAAATTAGCAGATGTAATACGGATGGAGGAGACACCCCGAAAGCATGGAAATGTTGTTTGAGTTTGAGGAACTCGGGATGAGAACTGCACGGACTTCCACTTCGACTCGCCTTCCCAATGTCCTCACTCAAAACAGGTAACGCTTCCCAGGTCGCACGGCGAAAAACAAATATGCCTTCCCCCGGCCCGTCTTCGGGCACGTGTAGACAGGCCGCGGACTAGGTGTGGAACCCGGAGAAACAAAAGGAGTGACTCAACTTGTAGAACCTTGCTTTAGGGGTTGCTTCATTTTTCCAGAAGGTTAGAAGATTGACCAAAGGAAACCGAAGGAAACCAAAGGAAACCAAAGGAAACCAAAGGAAACCAAAGGAAACCAAGCTCTGCACTCCGGGTACTTGAGATAAAAGTGAATCAATTTAATTTGATGGGCCTTAGGAGTCAAAACCATTTGAGGCTCCTTCCATGTTGGGCAGCAGAACGCCAACGCTGCGAGGTTGGATCGGGGAAAAAACAACTCAATCCAAGGTATTGTTTGGGTGAGTTGGGGGGCAGCCAGGTTGATCTACCCTGGAATGGCAAGAATTGGCGGTTGCTCAAACATTGGGTGATTGTTCACAGGTTTCACTGGAGGAACAAATACATGTTGAGCATTTTGATTTGATCGGAGAGGTGTCAAAAATGGCCTTGATGTTACAAACATCATCTCAACACAGTGACAACTTTATTGTTTGATCCTCCCGACCGTTCTCACGCAAAACTGAAACGCGCTCTCACGCAGCACTTGGTTGACTTGCTTGCAAGCAACTCACAGCTAAACTGTTGGCTGTGAAATGCTGGGGCCGGTTCCGTTCCAGAGGGGGGCGCGGGGGGCGGTCCAAACTTTGCTCCGAGAAGCTGTGTTTGTGTTGTTTGTTTGGGGCGTGGGAACCCACAGCAACCAGGCGCTTCCGTTTTGGGTGCCCACCCTGTTCCTTGGTGGGGAATCCACAATTGACAACGAATACATTTTCGTCTTGGCAAAACACACACACACACACACAAGTCCAAAAACTTGAGACTCCCAAAATTGTGGTTTTCCCTTTGGTTTCGCTTTGAAAACCACCCCTCCAACGCCTATCAAAAATGACACACCCAATCTTGAGCCTCCCTATCCAATCAAACTAGGGTAGAGCCCTCTGTGGCCAATGGCGGTCTTGGGGGGCGTTCACTTGGGAACACACTCCCTACAGGTCTTGATCCATTGGTGAAAACCGTCAGCGCGAGCAAGTGAGCTTGATCCGGGGGATCAAGCTTGCACCTGTGAGTCACAAACAAAACCCGGTACTAGAGCGGTCTACCCAAAACCATGCAAAGAATCAAAAGGGCATCCGCATGTACTTCTGGCTGGGAGTTGACTACCCTTTTATCTACCGGGGTTATTGTGACTGCCCCGAGTGTCGGCTTGCATTTGCCGAGTGGCGGTGGCTTTGGCAGAAAGCTCCGGGCTGAAGTGGGGGTTGGGCAACCGGGAGGTGAAGTACAGACTGAAGTTGTCCTGCAGCACATTGAGCACTGTGGAACATCACCCTCCTATGATGCTGACGGACAAATCCACTTTGCTCTAGGTGGTTGCTGGTGTGTTTCAATACAGTCCATCCTATGTGCATGTGTTTGTCCATCAAAAGTACCAACAGGCACGCGGGCCGGTCGTTCCCTTCCAACTCATAAAGAAACCATGACGGACCAAACCTGTTGGGTCGTTTGACCATGGCCCTGGCCTTGTAGTCCATGTTCTGATCACTGACGTTGATGTACTTGTGGCTTCCTTGGCACCATGCACTGCAACGTCTCAACCCGTCAAGCAACAAAGGAAAGTCACAAGCCTGTCCGCTGGGCGGCCGAGCTGCTGCTACGCGCTGGCAGTCCCCAAGGGAACGGTTGGGGGCTGATCAGTGGCAACCAAAAATTAAACGTCAAAGCAGAGACTACTTGCGACTTCAAGTAGAGGGCCTTTTGAAAGGAAGCCATCGGCCGATGTCCGCAGGCCTCACTTGCCGCGACCAAACTCTCTGGGCCTCCAAAAGCAGCTGTCCAAAAGATCTAAGGGCCGCTTTCCGGCAACCTAAGCCCCTCCCGGCAAAGGTCCTTACAACCTTACAAGAATTCCTGGATCCTTTCTGGGGGCACGTGACCCCCAGAAAGCCACGCTTGTACCTGGGAGTTTCTCAAAATTGATTCCGGACCTCATTTGTTTGGCATGTAAGTGGTGGATCCCCTTTTGTTTGGCATTTTCGGAAAACTCCACGGACACCGTCGCCATTGTAGGAACTGGACGGACCCCTTGGAGGAACACTCACCTGAGAACCGAGGAGCCCTTCTTGATGATCTGCTTGTCCAGGACAGGGTCAAGCATCGGGTCCACCTCGTTCTCCACGTTCTCAATGATCAGGCACAAACCCTCTCCTTGGCTTAGTGGTCGGAGTGGTTGGTCCAGTCCGTTGATCGGTTGCGAAACTTTAGGATCCCTGGCAAAAAGTGACACTTTAAGTGAAATGGCTGGGAACATGTTGTGGCTTCTTTGACGGGAATGAGAATTGGTTCTTGTTTACTTACAAAGTAGCATGGAATTCAAACAGGAGGAATTCATTCCCAAAAGCAGAATTCTCTACACATGATGGGTTTCAGGAGAGCGGCTTGCGGTCCCCAGTTCCCTGCAAGGCCCAACCAAATATGGCAAGGCGTACAAAGCCACAAGGCCCGACATGAGACGAACGCTGGTCCAACCCCAGGTGTCCCTTTGGGAATGGAGTCTACCGGTAAATGAGAATCCAACCAAAATGAGACTGCTGGAAAATCCGCCCATCTTACAGGGCTCCCCACATTGTTGATTGCCATCTTCAACACCATCCAAGAGGAAACTCATCTAAAAATAAAGGTGTGATGTTTAAAATCTGCTAGAAAGGGAGGCGTAGGGACACGACTGACCTACAAGGGAGCCCGGAAAACTGGACAAACTCATTAGAACTCTTGGAAACCAAACTGGCACCCCATAAAAAAAAATCCACGTTCCCTCCCCAACTTGATCCCTCTCCTGAAGTAAAAAACCAAACCAGCAAGTCACAGAAAACAAAAACAACACCCAAAACCCGCGCCGGAACCTCGGGTTCTCTCGCGCGGTTTCGGTGAGGCGCCCATGGTGAACTCGATCTGATCCTTGAGGTTCTTGGCCGTGAGCGTGGTGACGCACATGGAGGGGTTCTCGCTGATCCGGGACTACCAGGCGCCAAAAAGGGACCGAGTTCCATGGGAGAAAAAAAGAAGAAGAAAAACAAGAAAAGAAAAATCAGTGAGCGGTTGAATGGCTTCCAAGGAATGTAGGATGCTACAAACTTTTGCCCAAGCTGCAACCCTTTTATTGGAACCCCATTTCGGGTCGCCTCATTGGAACGGACCAAGTAGTTGTTGTGTGCCCTTCCCATTCCGTTCAGGAGTCTTCTCTAAACAGAGCAATGGGTGAAGAGCGGGGTATGATGCTGCAAGTTGACATGGAACCCCAAAAGCGGGTAGGAGAATTCTCGAAAATGAGGGGTTGAGGGTGTTCCATGTTCATCTGCAGGAGCGGGGGGGGCGGGGGGAAACGGTAATTAACTGGTATAAACAGCTCGTTCCCACAACCATGACCCCCATCGCTCCGGAAATGCTTTAAAGTGGCAGGGGATACTGGTACCTGTACTCACGAAACATCACCCAGTCAGAGGTTAAAACTCTCAGAGGCTTCGAGTTGGCCCTTCAAGAAAGTAGAATGATCACAGCATGCATACGGTTTTTTGCAGAGGGAGGGACCAAAAGGAACATCTTCCCCCCCCCCCCGGGTTTTGGTCATGGAACGAGAATTGTAACCGTTTTGGAGACCACACCTCCGGGCCAAATCGCCGAAACCGCCGGCCTTCTCCCGGCTCTTGATCCAGCGGTTGGCCTGGCCCTGGGGGTCCACCATCAAGGGATACCGCGAGCTCCTGGTCACCATGATGGCGTTCTGGATGGACAGCTCGTCACCTCGCAAGGTTTCGCTACCAAACCTTCACCGGGAAACCAAAGCCCCTAAAGGGAAACCAACAGAAGATGACTGAAACAAGATCAGCTTGAACAAACCTAAGCTGAAACTGGCGATTGGCACAAACCCCCTATTGGGAAAGAAAGGCTTTGCACCTCCTTTCACCTGGGCATCGTTCCCTAGCCCCCCCTTTTTTTTGGGGGGCGAGGGGGGGGGGCTGTTGCTCCGTTGGGTAGTAGATGATCCATGATTTCTTGATACGTATATCAAATCAAATCTATTCATTGTGTTCTCATAGTTCTTAGTATTGCAACTTAGATGAATAATGAACCATTGACACTTTATACAAATCAATAAAACCTCCTCGTTCCTACCGGTATTGTTCTAGTAAACATGGTGGTACACCTCTTCTGCATGTTTGGTTGGCTCTCTGTTTCTTGCAAAGGCACCCTTCAAATTAGCATGGAATCCATCAAGGGGTCGGTCCTGTCCTCACAAGGACGGTGTTTTTGGGGTTCCTTCTGTTCATCACGGAGTACCCAAACGGCGCCGATAGATATAGGACCGAACTCAAACCAGTGAAATGCATCTACGTTCGATAAACATCATCTAGAAGCGTCCGCCCATCCTTCCACCATCGAAAATCCCGGGCATGTGTGTTTGTGCATATATATATTATATATATATATATACACATATGTGTATATATATATATATACATGTATACAGGCAGGTTTGCAGGGATTGCATCCCTTTCTCAGCTCCGGGTTGCCGGGTGCCCGGGTCCCGGGTCCCGGGCTGGGCAAGCCCTCAAGGGCCCACTCTCCAATGGTGCCCTGGTCCACCAGGAAGGACACCACCTCCACCTGAAGGACTGCATGCTAGGTCGCCAAGAAAAGCAGATATTCAATGTATGGGAAAGCTGGGCTCGCCAAAAGACGCACCATCCAAACATAAGGAAAACGGACATCCCCAACAAATATGTGCCCTCCAAAGCTGGTAAATGCTGATCTTCATCATAGCCAGCTTGGATCCTTGCTCAAACCCTGAAAAACCGACACGAAATCGGGAAGACTCCATTTGGGAGAATTGCATGTGGAGAAGCTACGTTAGAGTCGTTCACCGGCGAGTTTTGGTTTGATGGCAACTTTTGCTTCGACACTTTGATCCGACCAACAAGTAGAACCATTCGTAGAACCATTGAACTGGGACGCTGAGAAACTGAGGGCTCACAGGCTTGCTATTCATCCCATATCCTCTCCTCAGGCGGCCAATTTCCCAAGTTGCTAAGGGCACCAAGGAACCGGAACCCAAGGGGTACTTCTACTCTCAGAATGAGGTTGCCTCATCTTTCAGCGGGAGCAAGCTTCCTCCAAAAAGGGCACTTCAGTCCATAGCGCAGTGAGTCTTTTGCCATCAAGGAAAAATGAAACCTCTGGTTTCATCAATCCCTGGGCGTTTCTCAAAGTAGTCCCCTAAATGATTGATCGTCTTTTTGGCTGCCCTTTACATACAAACCAAGGTCCACGATTTTTGAGAAACACTCGGTTGACTAGTAGTGAGGCGGCATATTCATCGACAGCAATTGGCCAAGCAGATCGGCTGCTAAATGTCTTGTTCATTGCTGGCGAAAGGAACATGAATCAAACCTGACCGGGTAAAGGGGCGAAAAGTAAAGTCAAGTCGGTTAAGACATATTGTAGAGTCCTCCCTCCCGGTTTGGCCATATTCATCAACAATCGACCGGACAGGGTATTCTTCACAACCCCGCCTTCTCATGCGCCGGCACAGCGCGCTTCTGCGTATCAACCTGAACGGGGGAGGTCAGTCGAAAGGATGAACGCAATCCTGCACCACTTTGATAGGACACGCCGCCTATGAACTAGTGCAAAATTTGTCCATGCACAGTAGGGTCTATTTTGCAACCGCCCAAATTCTGGAGGATCATGTTGGGTGCCGCTTAGAAAAGGTACACAATGAGCTGCATAAAAACGGAAGATCCATGCACAAGAAAACATAGCGCCCCAATGCTCGGGAGTGCCCACAGGGGCAACAGAAAGGGTCCCGCCCATCCCTTCTTGTGCTTTGGTGGGCTGGAGAGAAACCCAAAGTGCCCCAATTCCGGGCACCAGTTCCATTGCCCTTCCTGTAAGCTTCACAGGCATAGCGATCCCAAGAGGAATCTGATGAGGAGTACTCTTCGAGGGCCAATGCCTTTGTCCAAGGCTGTCTGAACAGGACAACTCATTCAAGCTCGGGGGGTGGATGTTATTCATGGGGGGCCCTTTTGGACATCATTTAGGTAGGGATTTATGCCCACCTACCACTTTTGAGGCGGCTCCATGTTAAAAAGCGCCACCCCGAGTTGCCAGGTGCATGAGCGCGGCACACGGGCTCGTTGGGCATGATGCGCAGATTCACAAAGCCTACAAAAAGCATCCCTGCTTAGAGAAATGGAAATCCTCTTGTCGTTGGGGTCCTTCTGTTCATTTGAAGGGGAGTCGTCTCTGACTTCCTGAAGTGAGCGGGCCTGGAGCCCAGGTGCATTCTTGGACGAATAGATGGCACTGGTGTATGATTAGAACCATACTGAAATGAGTGGAATCCATCTGCTTTCAACCACACAGACCTAACACGAGCGGTTCGTTTCCTGATTGCGCAAACACAGTCTAAATGGTCCCGACCCACAAAAATATTACACCAGCCTCGACCCCAAACAGCAAAAAAGCATGACCAGTCTGTATAGCCCAAAAAAAGGCTTGTCTCCTTCATGTAAGGTGCGAACTTGTGTAGCTTGTGTGAGCAACGCGTAATTACAATCATTCCATGTATGTCCCTGCAGGAAGTCCATTTTTTTGGGATGAGGACACGTCGGGTCCATCCATCTCCTTGACGCCGGGCAAAAGCATCGATGTTGTTCATCGACTTCGAGGAGAAAATTCCATGTCAATGCCATGTTCGAGAGTGAAGGCCCCGGGGATTCGGGGTGAATCAACCTAACACCTGGCATTAATCAAAGGAAGCTTCGAAGGAACTTTCGTAGTACGGACACTCAATGCACTTTTCCATCACCGCAGCATTTGGTGGCCGTCGCTACTCTGCTGAAACTTGCGCATCAGTCTCAGCAGCCTGCGGCCGAGACTGGACACATGTCACTTCTGGTTGCTATCTTCTTCTCGAGCTCGGCTAAAGGTCTTGCCACAAGCAAAGCAAGAGAGCACTTGCATAAACTTGCAGACTGCGCCTTGGTAGCGTTACGGCCGGGACATCCTCGCCTAGCAACGCAGACACACGCCGCGCCAAATTGGCAAGCGTCAGCAAACGTGCCCGTTTGGCGCGCACCTCTGTCACCCGGCGCAGCTCCAGAAAATCCTCAGTGTTTGAGCCGGCAGTAGCTTGGTCATCCAGGGTCTTCATCTCTGTCGCGCCCAGCGCGCCGCATGCTCCCAAGATGGCCAACGCATGGCTTTGCTCCATGCGCCCAACGGCGCTCCATTCCGGAAAAAGCTTGGCTTTGAATGTCAGCTCCAGCCCTGCTCCATCGCGGAAACGTGTGAGAACTTTGCCCCAACCTACCAATGCTGGCTGCACAGTGGACACCACCAGCCTGGCTGGGTTCATCTTGGAGTTGGCGCTTATGGTTCGCAGATTGGTGTTCACATGTGTGGTGAACGACCGGCGGCCGTCATTCCAGTGCACGCCGCTGGCAACAATTTCTGGGCCTCGCGTTCACTCAGCTCCAGCAGCACAGTAATCAACTGGCCGGGTTCATGAACTCTTTCCAAGTTGTCAAGGTCAGCAAAGTAGGTTGCCAGGAAAAGGCTCCTATGCATCAACCAAGTTTTTCGGGGAGAACTCGACAAGCGCAGGGACGATGCGAACAACTCTTACAAGCTAAGGTTTGGTTGGGGACCCGACTCACACAGGCTTTACGTCCAGGACCATTCTTTCTGGAAACCGGTCAGAAAAAACCTTGGAGCTCGGACCCCCCGTTACGATGCAGCAAGAAGATAAGCACGCCTGCTTGACTGTGTGTTCGCTCGTCCCTCTCTGTGATAGCACCAGATCTCCAAGAGCAAGAAACCAGGAAACCACCAAGCCACTCTGCGATTGGCGAAACGGCTCTTGTTGATGGCCCCAAAAAGAAACCATCAAACACGGTGGCGGCGTTAGCAACTCTTATTATAGACTATACAGCCACCGAACATGTGTCCAAACATGGCCATGACCGTGTGTCCTTGTTGCAATCACCACATTGAGCACCAGAGCCGCCATTCCGTAATGTTGCTGGGCAGTTCGAAACGCACGCAGAGTGTCCAGCAGCACCGAAACCTTTTGCTTGAAGGGGTCGGAATCGATGTAGTGGAGGCGAAGCTGTGTCGTCAAAGAAGAAATGGATGGACCATGTCTGTAGCATGTGTTGGTCTTGATGCTATCAGCACATCCCTCCAGCTTGGTTTCCCGACAAGCCACGTATGCCGCTGCGAGCAAGTAAATCAGAATCTCGCCCGGAGCTGCCAAATTCAAGTCGAGATCTCGGAAAAGAACGTTGATTGCAAGAATGAAATGGAATTGCTCGGATTTCCAAAAATACCCACTGCGGGAGGCTAGCACAAGGGTAATGCAATACAGCTCACGTTGACCCCTTTCGTGTTCCATGGGTCCAGAGACTGTAGAGAAGCTAGTGCCGCAGAGAATAGCACCTTACGATGTCCCGCCATGAAAACCCTTGAGCCCTCGCACTTGCAAGCCCTGGGCACTTTCGGACACCTGCAAAACAGCAGCGTCCATATTGCGGAATATGTGGAAACAAGGCTGAGAAATCTGTTTTCAACCCTTCTGTCCGGAGGCAACGAGATATGTCAAAGCTCCGACCTTGCCATCACGAAGGTGTGAAACGCTTCAGCAAAATGCGTTTGTCAGTGGGACTGGATTACATAGGTTGCAATGAGGACAAAGCGTCGCAGGAGCAGCTAGCGAAGCGAAAGACTGGACATGATTTTCAACTGAGAAGGTGCTAAATACTGGCAACAAGATAGGAGGCAAGGTTTGCAACAGCACTGCCAACAAGAAAGGGTGCTCGAACTACAGTGATGCTACCAAGAGGAGACTAGAAGATGGGTGGCCCGAAAGCATGTTCCTCTGAGCAAGTTGTTGGCGCGAGTTCCTTTGAGCAAGTTCTCCAAGCAAGTTCTTGGCACAAATTATTTGAGCAAGTTCTCTCAGCAAGTTTCTCTGAACAAGTTTCAATGAGCAAGTTGTCTGAGCAAGCTCTCTGCGCGCAGCGCTTGCCGCTGCAACTTCTAGCCCACTTGCTGGTGCTACTTGCTAGTGCCACTGGCTAGCGCTACTGGCTCGTGCATCTCGCTAGCGCTATCTTGCTCGTGCTCCTGGCTTGCGCCATTTTGCTAGTGGCATTTTGCCAGTGCAACTCGCTAGTGCTATCGCTAGTGCTACTTGCTAACGCAACTTGCTTGCGCAGCTTGCTGGCGTTATGCGCTGGAGGTCTTTCCTGCAGCGCCGCTTCATACGATTTTGGCTAAGACGGTTGCTGACCCGCACAAGCCCTCTGGCCACTTGGCTGGGCTCTGCTGATGCGCCACAAGGATGCAAACCAGTCAGTTAAGGCCACTTGGCTGGGCTCTGCTGATGCGCCACAAGGATGCAAACCAGTCAGTTACGGCCACTTGGTTGGGCTCTGCTGGTGCGCCAGAAGGATGCAAACCTGCACTTGACCAAGAAGCGCGGCACTGGCTTCCAAAAAGCAGCGCAGTATCCTGAGCAAAGCAATCAGCCGGATGTCCCAGAATATTTGTTTGTCGAGAATACAGACACATTTAAGGCTCGACAGGGCTCTGCTCATGCGCCAGAAGGATGCAAACCTGCACTTCCCCGAGAAGTGTGGGACTGGCTTCCAAAAAGCAGCTCAGAATCCTGAGCAAAGCAATCAGGCGAATGGCACGGTATTTGTTTATCGAGAACAACAGTACATATTTAAGGCTCGGCAGGGCTCTGCTGATGCGCCAGAGTGCAAACCTGCACTTGACGAACAAGTGCGGAGCTTCCAAAAAGCAGCTCAGAATCCTGAGCAAAGTAATTGTTTATCGAGAACAAAATGGACACATTTAAGGCTCGACAGGGCTTTGGTGATGCGCAACACAAGGATGCAAACTTGCACTTGGCCAAGAAGTGCGGCACTGGCTTCCAAAAAGCAGCTCAGAATCCTGAGAAAAGCAATCAGGCGGATGTATATTTGGTTACCGAGAACAAAATGGACACATTTAAGGCTCGACAGGGCTCTGCTGATGCGCCAGAAGGATGCAAACTTGCACTTGGCCAAGAAGTGCGGCGCTGGCTTCCAAAAAGCAGCTCAATATCAGCCGTATTTGTCTATTGAAACCAGTCTACATATTTAAGGCTCGACAGGGCTCTGCTGATGCGCCACAAGGATGCAAACCTGCACTTGACCAAGAAATGCGGCACTGGCTTCCAAAAAGCAATCAGCCGGATGTCACTATATATTTGTCTTTTATCGAGAGAAACATAGACATATTAAAGCCTCGACAGGGCCCTGCTGGTGCGCCAGAAGGATGCAAACCTGCACTTGACCAAGAGTGCGGCACCGGCTTTTAAAAAGCAGCTCAGTTTCCTGAGCAAAGCAATCAGCCGGATGTCACGATTTGTTTGTTTAACGACAAGAAAATAAGGCTCGACATTGCTTGTGTCTAGCTCCAACGCTGCTCCACAAGGATGCAAACCTGCACTTGGCCAAGAGAGAGGCACATCCTTTGCACGCAGGCTATCAGCAAAATCTGCGACATGCCCTTTCCCCGTTGCGAAACATTGTTGCAAGTGGTTCCTGCTGACTTGTCGAATCTATGTTTCTAGCTTGATGCTTCTCAATTGCGCTTGCGAGCTGCTGCCACGTGAGCCGAAGGGAGCCGAGGGGAGCCGAACGTTCAGTTGGTCTTGCCCGACAGCTTCATTTTTCCTGTTGAGGGCTGTAAGCAGGAAAACAGCCAGCTGGCAGCAACGAGCGCAGCGACTGGGAGAAACAGGGGGGAGTCACAGCGTTGTCGGCCTCGGACATGTACACCGCGAAGTTGGAGGCCGTGCCGAGGCGATACCGGCAGGCGAAGAGGAGCTCCCGGCCGGGGGTCAGGTTGTAGGTGCGCACGATGTTCCAGAGGTTCACTGCCAGGGTCAGGGTGTAGCCGTCCACAGCATCTGGCATCTGACCACAGAGACTGGGAAGACAGGCGGAAGACACGACCCTGAAACCAGCATCGCAGCATCCGCAGCTTGCAGAGGCTGGGAGATACGATTCGGAGACAAGCGGGAGCGTCTCAGCATCTGGCATCCGACGGCAGACAAGCGGGAAACACAGAAAGACAAGCGGGAGACACGACCTGGGAGACATGCAGCTGGCGTCACCGCAGAGCCAGCGTCACAGCATCTGGCATCCAGATACAGGGAGACAAGCGGGAGACACGACCCCGGAGCCAGCGTCACAGCATCTAGCATCCGACCGCAGAGACTGGGAGACAAGCGGGAGACACGACCGAGGAGCCAGCATCACAAAAACCCGGGGGTAGGGGGAGACACAGGGAGACAAGCGGACCCTGGAGCCAGCGTCACAGCATCTGGGGGAGACACGACCCCTCAACCCGCTGGCAGCCGACCGCAGACTGCAAGACAAGCAGGAGACACAACAGCATCACAGCATCTGGCATCTGACCGCATAGACTGGGACACAAGCAGGAGACACGACCCCGGAGCCGGCATCCGACCGCACAGACTGGGAGACACAGGGCGACAAGCGGGAGATATTATGCTGGAGCCAGTGCCCGCAGAGAGTGGGAAAGCATCTGGCATCTGACCGCGGAGACAGGGAGACACGTCACAGCATCTAGCATCCGACCGCAGAGACTCGGAGACACAGGGAGACAAGCAGGAGACACGACCTGGCATCCGACCGCAGAGACTGGGAGACAAGCGGGAGACACGACCCCGGAGCCAGCGTCACAGCATCTGGCATCCGACCGGAGACACAGGGAGACAAGCGGGAGACACGACCCGGAGCCAGCATCACAAAAAATGGAGATGGGAGACACAGGGAGACAAGCGGGAGACACAACCCCCGGAGCCAGCGTCACAGCATCTGGCATCCAGACACAGGGAGACAAGCGGGAGACACGACCCCGGAGCCCGCGTCACAGCATCTGGCATCTGACCGCAGAGACTGGGAGACACAGGGAGACAAGCGGGAGACACGACCCTGGAGCCAGCGTCACAGCATCTGGCATCTGAGCGGAGAGACTGGGAGACAGGAAGACAAGCGGAAAACAGGACCCCGGAATCGGCGTCACACTTTCCTATTCTCTATACCTCAAGTTAGAACCCCAATGCTTCGCTGTTTGGGGAATTAAGTCCAAAAACTCGGGAAGAGCGAGTGTGAGTGTGAGTAAAGAGATGGAGAGAGGCACACACAGCTATGGCCTGGAACTGTTGGTAGAGCTTGTCTCTGAACTCACTATTGAAGGGCCCGCAGTACACCACGAAGGCACACACGCAGCCCACATCGCCGATGAGCCTGGGCGATTCGGCCAACTGATTGGCGGTCGTTTTTGAGGCGCCATTTTTGGGGGTGTGACGTCTTTTTTGGGCTTGGTACCCAACATCAGCAACCAAACGGCTGTATTGGACGGTACCCTCAAACTGTAAAAAAAAAAAAAAAAAACTTCCCGAGAGGCAACCCCCTTGCTCCACCGAGACAAGTGGGGGTGGTTATTTTGCGTTGGAAAGAGGACGTCAATCATCTTGAGGGTTCTCGGGCTCTGTGAAACGAGCGAGAGAGAGAGGGAGACATCTACCGCAACCCGATACGCATCGCGAGAGGGGGGCGGTCGTCTGATGTAAGTGAGTGAAGCAACCCGATACGCATGGAAGAAAGAGAGCCGGTTGTTTACACACCCAGACCCAGTGGCCATGGGATAAAAGGGCGCCCCTTTTTCTTTCTTGCAGGTCGATTTGTTTAAGAGGAAACCCTCAAAAGCTGGAGACGTTCCCTCTGCCAAAAGCGTTCCCGCCTCTTCCGCCGCAGGGCAAAATTCTTGGAGTCTTCTGTCCTGCACTTCGGAAAGGATTCCCCTGTCCAAATGCCCTCACTGTCTTATTTTGGGAAAGGTATGTGTCAAAGTGGTTGGCATACCCCGACAAATGCGTGGTTTCCTTTGAAACCCAACCCAAAAAGGGGACTCGCCGCCTGGCGAGTCTAAAAAGAGTGCTTCTCAAAATGGATTTCGGACCCCCTTTTGGTTGGGATTTAAAGGGAAACCAAAAGGAAACCAAACAGTTTTAAGGCTTCACAATTTTGAGAAACACCCAAAGAAAAAGCCAAGGGTCGCCAAAAGAGTTCGGGGTGCTCTCATTTGACCGTGTCACAAGGGTAGAGATCTCTCTGAGTGATTGGTTCTGGTGTTGAGGTTCGGAGCAACGCAAATGTTGGCGGCTTGACAAAAAGGGGAGCTGACATTGAAAGGGGGGAGATGTGCCGGCCAAGAAGGCCCGAGGCGAGCAATGGGGAAAACAACGTGCGGAAAAGCAGGAGGGTCCAAATGGGAGTGATTCCCACGGAATTCCCGCATGTTTAGAAGTTTAAAGGTTAGACCTTCCCAAATAGAGCTTTCAAACCTCAGTCAAATGCATCCCGGACAAAGTTGCACGTTTCTCCGACAGGTTATGGGGAACTTGGGCGGCCCTGCAGCCTTTGGCGAGAACACCGGGGGCGAGGGGGCCCCTTGTCTCCGAACTTGCATGTTCCAGTATTTGGTGAGTGCAAGCCACGGAGCCGAGTGGGTTGATGGACCGAAGCAACCAGAGATCGGTCCCTTGGGACGGGAACACTGTAGAAAAGGCCCTTTTTTGGGCTCCATGCTTCATTTCTGTGCACCAGGAACCGGTGCTTGAAACAACCAGACCCCCCCTACCCAAAATGCAAGTCTAGCATGTCCTGTAGCTGGTTTCTTGGAGAAAAGGCAACCAAAGGAGGCGGACCAACAGCTGGCCGGACATGTTTTAGGGAGTTGGCTCAACCCTGGTACCACCCCGTGCCATGAAGTCTCAGAGTCTATTTTGCAGACTCAACCCCCAAAACTTAGACCTTGCAAAAAAACGCAGATTACTATCCTGGAACCCAAAAAGGGGTCCCAAAAAAAGCTACCTTTAAAATTGATGTCTTGTCGGGCTCCATGATAGAACCCACGCGCCCATATGGCCTTGTCTCAAATTCGGGGTATCTCAAAAATGAGTCAAACTGTCCTCTTGATTTCCCCTCAAACCAACCTTGGCCAAAAAAAGAGTACAAAAAACCGAATCCATATCTCCCCCGCCCCTTTCTTGCAGAGCAAACGTTGGGACCAGTCCAGCGCAGGTTCTCCCCAGACAGCCCGGACAGCAGCTTGTTGGCGGCGTCCATCTGGCGCTGCATCGCCGCGGCGCTTTCCTGGCCGCTGCGGGGGTCCCCCCGCAGGGTTGAATCACACCCTGTTACACGGATGGAAACATGGGCCCCTGATACAAGGTGACCAAAGGCAACCAAGCCACGTTTTCCAAAGTTTCTCTAACTTGTGTAAAGGTGTCTCCCACAGCAAACCAACAGTTCAGCTGTCCTTTGAATGAATCAAATACTCATGACTGCTGCATATACATGTTCTGAAGGTTGCTCCCCGTGTCCATTCACCCATCTTGCGAGCGAGCAGCCGCCCCAATCTTGTGGGGGTTATTTTCCAGAAAGAACCATGTGAGGAAAAAGGGAAAAAGTACCGCTGTTGGAGCAGGGCTACAAGCCGCCAGTGAGAATGGGCTCCTGATACTAAGCATGCGGGTGGGATTCTCATAAGCACATTGTTTCATGACAGGCAGGCCATGAAGCCTACCTCAGCATAGTGAACCGTCAAATGTAAATCTGTTTCAGAAGAGGCCCCAGGAAGCGCCACGAGCATGCTGCAACGCCAGCTCTCGCTTCCTGAAAAGAAAGGTGCCATCCATCAGGCATCAATGCAGGAGCCAGGGTTCCATGAATCCATCCCTCAAATCCGGCCGGGTGCTTTCCATATGCTCAACATGCTGAATTGGGATCAATTCGAGATGCGCGGCCCTCAGCAACCCTCAGTTTGCAACGAGTACCAAACCCATGAATCAGAGTTCCCTGAAAACTGAATGGACGCCCAAAAAATGGGCGTTCCAAAAACGGAGGACTTTATTGCGGGGATACCCCTGTGTGATGGTACAAATTGGGACTGTGTGTTTAAGGCACACCAGTGCCTCTCTTTTCGCACACCACACCAGTATGTGGAGCGTTTCTCGATATCCTTGTTCTTGGAAGCCGCGCGACTGTCCCGGCACTGGGGATGATCAGTGTCCATCGATCATCCTCTGTGATCTGTGTCCATCGACCGGGGGCGGAACTCCGCAATGGCCCTGACAAAACTGACCGCCCGAAGTGGCACGTCATGCTCTGAGCTAGGCGTCTGGCTCAGGCCTTTCTTCCAAAGACATCTGATCCAATCTGGAGTCATCTGCTCTTCCCCCCTGAAACCGGCTATGTTGAAACTGAAATGCCATTCTAAATCTTTAGGACCAAGGCTGGTGGCCTTTGATTTGTTTTTTGAAGGGGCAAAAGGGTCCACAAGAGGCATCATCTTCTTGAAAAAGCTTCACATGCTTTCAAATGGTTTTGTCTTTAGGCTCTGTACACCCTGTTCTTGTTCGGATGTTGCATCGTTTCAACCGTCCAACTGGAGGGATCCAATCGAGGTCCACTCGAATGTCTTCCCAACCAAGGAAGATACCCGGAGTTGATGCGAAGACGCTCCTCAGGTGGGTTCGATATGGCTTCCTTTAAAACCACCCCCCCCAATCTCCCCCCAAAAAAGACAACTCCCCAGCATACCCTTACTCTCCTGCACTTGTACATGCAACCCAACCAGAATCTCCTTCCGGGCAGAAACTCTTGTGGGTGTTAATTTGAGTGTGAAAGTACCCTTTCCAGGTTGGTTTAAAAGGGTTTCCCAAAGGAAAGCCACCATTTTGAGCGTTCCGTCCAAATCCCAGATTTGGCGAGCCACACCCAAACCAATCTTAACCCCACCCTAAACCAACCTCAAACCAACCCTAAACCACACCCCCGTGGCAGACCCCTTCGGCTCGGGCCGCCACCCCGGCGCCTTGAGCTGGTTCATGACCGCCTGGGCCTTGGCCAGCTCTGCGTCCAGGGCGGCCACCTGCGGCGCCGGAGGGGAAACAAACCATCCGGAAGGGTTGGACCTCGGCGGCTACATGATTCCCCACCCAAAAAAGGGTGTGAAAAAATTGGTTACCCAAAATGGCACCTTGGCAAACGGAAACAAAAGAATAGAACCTGCATAACCCCAGCTGTTTATTTTTGAACCACACCTAAATGTCCAAAGAGTTCTTCACTTAAAACACCACAGTGACCTGAACAGTGAAGGTGCTCTCTGATTTGCTGTGGGTACACCGCCCCTTTGTGGCAAAAACACCCAACCGAGGACCAAAAAGACAGGGGTTCCTAGGGGGGCGGCGATTGAAGATTCTTTTGAAATGAATGGTTTGCCCGGGTTCCAGTTTACATCTGCAAAGGAAAGTATATTCGCCGAAATGTGCCTTTAGGCGAAGGTCTCTTCCAGTGGCGGTTCCCACCTCCCCCAAACTCAGCATAATTTGGGGCAACGAAGATGTTTGGAGTAGAAAAGGCCTGGCGAATCGTGGATCTGTCTCAAATTTGGGAACCGCACAAAATGGGCCTTTGTCTGAAACAACCCTTAAAAAGGGCACCCTTCACAAAAAGGAAGCCACACCGGGCGCTTCCAGTTGCCCGCTGACCCTGGTAGAAATGGGGAACCCTGTGTTTGGAGCCTCAGAAATTTCAGAAGTCAAGAAAGTCACCAAAGAAGAAACCGGAAACGGGCGCCACTGAAATACTGCGAGTGGCCCCCCCTCTGCGCGTGCCTCCGCCAGCACCTTGTTCAGCTCCGCCTCTGCAGCGTCCAGCTCAGCCTGCGCCTGCGTCGCGGCGGCTCACCCCGCGAACTTGAAGCCAGGGCTCTTACAACCCGCGGGGGGGCGGGGTCTTTTTGAAAAGGATTTAGAGGGTGCCACTGAGCTCCGGCCACTGAACTCCACACACGCTCAGTGTGCAAACGGAAAGCCTCCCCAGACAGCCTTTCTTGTATTTGCCGGCCAAAGGGCAAAGTCAAGCGGCTGAAGAAGAAAAAAAGAAAAAACCTGCCTTGGACAGCTTCGCCTCTGCCACTTTCAGGGCATCCATCTTGGGCTTCACAATTTTTGCCGCCCCGTGGTACATCACCTTGGCACGGAGCAGCAGCAACGGGGCACCTGCCGACCGCTATTGACTGACTTGACTCCATGTTGGCCTTCTCCTCGACGAATCTTGCACGGCCAAACTCGCTACATGCGCGCTTTCCAGGTAAAAGACGTATGTAAATCCTGGATGGATGGACCTGGGCTGCGGCTTGGACTTGCATTGGGGGCTCTGCCCTTGCCTTTCCACCCCTTCCCACCCCTTCGCAGCCTTTCCCGCCCTTTGCCACCATTGACACACACACACACACCCTACCCCAGCGAATGTTTTATTTGGTGTCGGATTTGACATGTTTAGGTAAGCCCCAAACTTGTTCGGAAATTTAATTCGGCAAAATCGTTAAACCATAAAAAAGAGCCCGGAACCGGCCCCCTAAAAAGCAAAAGGGAGGCCAACCATTCTTTGGTTGGCTGCCCTTTTCGTTTCCCTCTCGGAACCTGTCCGAAGGCTTCTGGGTTTACCATTTGGACACACCAAGGTCTGCCTCAAACTGGGGGGCTGCTATTTAGATGGGTTTGACAAAGGGCAACCACAACAAAACCAACCTGGAGGAATCTGGGGTTGGTCCTCCCCCTGCGCAAAAGGTCGTCAGACCTGTTGTAGGATGAACGGCAAAGCGCCATTCTTCCAACAGGTCCAAGGGGCGAGTTGGTTGCACCAAAGACCAGCCATGAGATTGGGCCATTTTTTTGCGATACCTCCGCTTCGTTTTTTGGCAATTACCCCCCTTTTTGGGGTTCAGGAAACCACAATGCTAGTATTCAGGTTCAAAGGGTTCCATAGGTGATCTATAGGTTCTATCCAACCCTGTTCCGCACCTCAAATCTTAGTGCTTGCGGCTACCCCAGCCCTACAGTAGGGTAGCCCAAAAAAAACATCAGATAAGACCTGGTTGGAATTTTTAGCCCAGGCGCCATGGCGCCCACGAACTTGCACAGCCCCGCCGCCGCGCCGCTCGCCTTGCCCGCCAGCTCTGGGTCCAGCACCTCCGGTCCAATGCGACGGCTCCGGCGAAATCGGGAGGGCCCTGGAGTACGAGGAGCCTTCTTTCAGGCTCTATGTTGTGTATATGTCATATTATGTGTACATTGTATATATATATATATACGCTTACTTGTGTATGTAGTATATATGGGGATATATATGTATATATATATATATACACATGTGCTACATGTGTTTCGTCTTGGTCTCCAGGAGGCAAACTTGTTGTAATCATAGGCTAGCAACAAGCATATACTGTCCTTTTCACCCCCTTTTAAAATCCCAAACCTCCAGTGACCAGAGGAAAAACAGGACACGATGCCACTGAAAAGGCGACAAACATCGGCATGTCCATTTTTTCGGGCCAACCTGGTTTGGTTGGGTTTGTTTCGGGAAACCTGCCGGAAAATAGCCAAGCAAGCTGGAAACGCACACTCCCCCCCCTCCTCCCCCCCCCAGCGACATAGCAGCGCGGGCCAAAGGCTCTTCGCCCGCCTTGAAGGGGAAGGGGCTCCAGTTCTTCGAGACGTCCTGACCGACTCGAACTGATGGCCGCCTGGCCAGGGAGCAGCAGACCCCCCCCCCAACTCCTACTGGAAGGGTTGAACGATTCGGCACGTCGAGTAGTTTGAAAGTAACCCACTGAATGGGGACTTAGACCCCCTTGCTTTGCTGGGGCCATAACCATCGATCGCCTCTTTTCCAAACGGTGCATTTGGGCCTTCCCAGCTGAGTTAGAAGATCCGGTTGCAAAGCACCTGAGACCCTTTCGAACCTTTCGGAAGGGGAAAGAGGCAAATGAGTCTGATTTTGTCTTATGGCAACAAAAGGAAAATACAGGGTGACTTGTTCAACGCTCAACCCTGAACCTAAAATTCATGGAACTCGCAACAGGCTCTAGATGGAGATGGTCTTCCAGGACCCCCCAGCCAGCTTCCATATTTCCAGTGGGTAGCGGGGTGGGAAGGTAACTATGTTTTACCATCGTTTCAGAGGCAAAAAAACAAACACCCTGAAACGTCTTCCTTCCCTAGAAAAATCAGCTGACTTTCTTGGGCTTACCTGTTTCTCCTGGCTCCTCATTTTTGCACCTCGAGCTGGAGGCATGGGGCTGTCACGTCCTAATGTGACCTACGCGAGTAGGAATTTTGCAACCCTCATAGCGCAAAATTGAAAGATGGACATAAGAAAAGGCACCAAAGTACACTGAACTTTGGAATCACCCCCCCGAAAAGGCATTAATACGTTTTGCTGCTGTTCCGTATTTCGTGGAACTCGGAATATCAAATAAAATCAATCAAACGAGATCCGTTTACGTACGATTGGAGGGACAAACAATTAGGGAATCAGAATCCCAACACGGCGCTCGGATGCTTGGGGAGGGCATGGAACCTGAGGGAACCCTTCTGGATCAAACTGTCTTTTGACAGGCACCTGGATGGGAGGGTGTCTAAGACCAGAGTGCCCTGCTCCCTCTAAAGGAGCAGCTTTAGTGAGTGTTAAACCCATGCCCATGATTACTTTATCACTTCACAGAATTCCTTTCGCTACCAGAAAGTGGCAACCCACCGAGTTCTCAGCGCTCCCAAAGTCTCGGGGAAGCAACTTTCACCGGCATCGCGCAGCAAATTTTCGTCCAGCCAACTGGACTGACGCGATCTCACATGGGCCCAAGTATTCCCAACCCCCCGGATTCGCTGCGAACCGCTCTGGAGATGTTGGCGAAAACAATAAAGCTGTCGGCTGTCGAGCACCATATCCGGCCAGGGGGTCTCTGAAGCGGGGAGTCGAGCCCTGAAGAAGGGCTTAAGGGGTTATTAAGGCCATGGATATACAACAACACATCCCCACACACACACACACACCACATACACCCTGGTGGGGTTCCGTCAGAATGCTTGTGCGCCTGTTCCGCAAAAAAAAAAACTCTCCTCATCATAGCGCAAATACGGCTCCAGAAGCTCGCAGGTCTCGTCATTGATGTTGTCCTCGCAAAATGGGACCAGCTCTGGGGTTTGCGGATCCTTTGCTCAAAGCCAAACTCTGCTTGGGCTTTGAACCCCTCTAAACCTCCATATAAACTCCAACTAAGGCGCGGTGCGGCTGGTATCCAACAAAAGTCTGGTTGGCGCCTGGAAGCCAACCAGAGCCATGGCTGTGTTCTGTTTGAGGCTTCCCTTTGTAAAGGTTGGTCCAAAGGGAACCAAAAGAAAACCAACCATTTGGCACCCACGCCGTTCATTCCCCGTTGCAAAGCTGACATGCTGGAGGTTGATGAGAGCTCTTCCGGGCCTGCTCCAGAAAAACCTGCGCCAGCTCATACTCATTCGAAGCCCCTTCCAATATCTGCAATTTGGGATCCCTTTTGTTCACTCAGTTGCCAGACCTGGAAATACAAGGTGATCTGTCAACTGAACCATTGACTTAGGGAATCAACAGAACCAAGCTAAGGATTTGATGGAGCCCATGTTGACCAGGGGAAAGTGTCTTTTTGTGGTGGCATGCTCCTTCCACGTGCCCCAGGCTTCCTCATGTGCATGAATGCCGCGAATCGAACCGCAAACCGCGAACCGAACCGGAACCGAACTGCTCCACCACGAATTGGTCCGACACGTAGGAACCGCGAACCGGAACCGCGAGCCGGACTTGCGAACCGGAACTAGCACAAAAACCGACAAACAAGGACCCAAAACGTTGAGACGGGGAAGCGTGGAGCCATGCGAGTGTGGAGCTGGGAAGCGTGGAGCGGGGGGACGAGTGTAAAGGTGCGTGTGGAGCTTGGAAGCGTTGAGCCGGGGAAGTGTGGAGCCGGACGAGTGTGGAGCGGGGGAAGAGTGGAGCTGGGGAGGTGTGGGGAAAGGGGAGCGTGGAAACGGGAAAGGGCTGAGTTGGGGATGGCACCTCACCTGGAAGCGTGGAGCAAATCATTTGGGAAGTAGTCTAGGAAGCGTGGAGAAAAACCAAACCGAACCGAACCGAATCGGGGGGGAACCGAAGCGAACCGGAAGAATGATTTCTGGATTGCGCCCGAATCGAAACGAATCGAAACGAACCGGGGCATTCATGCATATGTCACATGTAGACACCACCCCAACAAAGGGACACTGAATTCGAATTGGCCGAGACGGTAATGTTTAACCCACCCACCCACCCACCCACCCACCCACCCACCCACCCAGCCAGCCAGCCAGCCAGCCAGCCAGCCACCCACCCACCCACCCACCCACCCAAAGCAAATCACATATTCGGACCTTTGTGGCATTGGGCAAACACTATGAGGGGGGGGGGTTCCTTCTCGTTGGCGGCGAAGTCCAAGATGTTGCTCAGGAAGTTCATGTCCTTCCAGGGCCCCACCGGCCCTAGTTAGCTGTTGAACCCGAAAATCTGTGCCTCTGGGTAGGGCCTACCTTCTGGCTTCGAGACCCTTGTGAGCTCCGGGCGTCGGACACGAGACAGGTGGAGGATCCCATGCAGATTTCCCCCGTTTGGCAACTTTAAACATTGCCCTTCAGGATCCTCTTGGCCCTTTGTGAGTCCCCCCCAATGGGAGAGTGATGTTTCAAGGGGAAAATCTAGACCCTGAGACATGGCGTGTGAAATGTCCTTGCAAGGACCCCTTTCCACGGAATCTGGGAAAAGTACGCAAAACCACTGCCGGATACTGCCGGAAGATCTAAAAACCGTTCCTTCTGGTTTTGCCAGGGCTGGCAAGTTGCCCCCAACAAACCTTACTAAGGCCTTGGTTCATGAATATAGATGATCGATGCTGCACAACCCTCACAGTCTTACTTGACAGTCCCTTTCGCTGCTTGCAGTTGTGACAATGCTACAATGTTAAGTGCAGATTAATCCGGACCATACTCATGAAAGGATCCCCAAAACTGAGGCCCCCCCCAAATAAATGGGAAACAACCCCTTAATCGCACGATCCGAAGTTGACATTCAGTGAGCCTCTTGTTTTGCTTGGCTATGTGGTACTTCTAAACCAAGCACGGCAATGGCACGGCTGGCCCTTCCCTGTGAGTGCTTTGTCACTTTATCGGGCATTCCCTTGCACCGTGTCAAATAGGGGTCAGGGAAAAAGCAAGAAACAAATACTGTTCTCTTCCCTGCTGGCTTTCTTTGTGAAGCAAAAAAGCATTGTGGGCCATGTTGCACCCAGCTTGGTCTTACAGCAAATGGCCCTAAAACCCATTTCTCTAACCGTGGATCTGCTATGTGCACAGAGGATCGCAAAAAGGAGGCTACAAGTAGGCAAAAAAATAACAAAGCACCCACACCCGCCCACCCACACACGCACGCTCGCCCGCCCGCTGCTGGGCTGTGCCCTGGTCTTCCAACGGACAAAAAAAGAACGGAGATTGGACTTCCAGGATTAACCCCCATGCTCCAATTCCATTCCTAGGTCCTCTAGTAGAGAGGTTAGAATAAAGGTATCCTTTTTTCTGTAGTCTATTTTAGTAGGGGAACCCTCCCCCCGAAAAAAAATGGTAAAAGAGCACTACTGGGGGACTTAGATGCTGTAAGCTCACTTCCTGATGGACTGGCCAAACAAAGTCCTGAAGAAAAGTTAGTTCCGGGGGGCTGGGCATGCCCTGCATCTGGGATGGTCTCCTGAACCTCCTTCTTGGCGAAATCCTCGTAGGAGTCGGCGATGAAGGATGCCGTGACCTTGTTGATGAACCTCTCCTCCACCTGCCCCGACTCAGACACAACTGTCTGTTGCATCTGATGACCCTTTGCGGGGCCCGTTAACACCAACCCAGTTACAGGAAAGCCAAGAAGAAAACCATGTTGTGCACCGATTTTAACACGCAAACACACACACACACACCTAAAAGAAACGAGCTTTTCAGAGCACACTGATGGAGCGTTGAAAGATCCGTTTGTGACAACTTATCCTGGCGTCGCACATAATGTGCAATAGACTCAGTTGGAATGTCCGATGGTGCCAAGGTCTTTGCTTGCCAGGGCTTAATGTGATATGAGGGCTAAAATAATTAGAACCAGGTCGTGGGGTAGTTTCAACTAAATTTTGTCAGGATCACAAGACAATAATATGTGTAAGTTGCCAGACATTGCGCCATCCCTCCCAGGCTTAGGCTGTCTATCACTTGCAAGTTCAACAGCTGGCCGGAATCAGATCGCAGCAAGCGAGGGGGTGTCGTGCTTTTGCTTTCTGTCATTCCCTTGGGCTCCTGATTCTTTTGGGGTCCCCCCAAAAAAGATGTATGAAGGGTCGGGGTGTGCAAAGAAGCGGTCACGAGCCAGGCTCCAATGTGGCAGTTCAGCTTTTCTTGGGTGGTTTTCTGGAAAGATTCGAATGGTTGGAAGATATCCTCAGGACCGCATCGATTTCATAGGGTTTGCCTCTTTGCCCCCTTGGGTTTCGAATGGTTGGAAGTTACCTTCAGGACGGCATCGCTTTCATAGTTGGAGTTCGACGCTTGTCGGGAAACGTTCCTAAATTTGCTCAATAAAAGGGTCAAAAGGCAACCCCACCTTATAGTCAAAGTTTTCTGCGTGAGAAGGTTGAGTGTGGCACGGAATTGCTCCTCCAAAATAGCTACGGCGGATGCCCTAAATACTGCAAGTAGTGGAACAAGGGGAACCCCGAATTACCGCGATTCTGGTTGGTAATTGTTGGGTCACTTGCAACAATTTAACACATTCGCCGTAGCAGAACAAAAGTCACCATCAAACACGGAAGGATTCCACCGCTTCTCATTTACCCGTGTAGAATGTCATCTCCCGAGATGTCCTTGCGAAAACATGGGTGGATTCCACTGGTACATGATTTGAAGCAAACTGAAATTGGCACCATCCATGTTCAGCTTTCAAACAAATTGACCCAAAAGGACAAGGATATGTTGTGCTAGTTGGGGGAACAGGCAGTCTGACAAAGGTTCTACTAGTAAGGGCAAAAAGGTTCAGGCTCGAAGCGAAGAACAACCCAGAACCCTTTATGAAACACATATTAGCTTATGGGGGAAGGAATGCAATGAATCTTCCATTGCTGGCTGCATCGAAACTGTCGCTTGACGGGATCTTTGTATGGCTTCCCATTTGCCAGCAGCAAAGTCTCAACACTTCAACAAACTCATAAACATTCAAGTGCACAAGGGACCCTCACAACAAGGTTGGCTGCGCTTAGGGGGCCTTGAGCAGAAGCTGAGAAAAGCTTGCGCCTGCCTTCACCGGCAAGACCGGCTTGGACTGCAGGAGCTGCAGCCCATCGAAGGTGAGCTTGATGATGTCCACGGGCTTGTTGTTGGTCTTGATCTCCGTGATGTCCTGTCCAGCAGGCCCCCCCCCCCATGCCGGTCCAATGGAATAAGTGACCGCCGGAAGAAGCTATTTTTGGCCGCGGGGCTATTTTGGGTGCCATTGAGGAAGGGGGCGGACATCTGTTTTGTTATTGTCCTGTCCGTCTCCGTTTTTGTGGATAGGCAAGCATTTAGTAACCATGTCCCTTTAGTGTTACCGAGAAGGATGGTTCCCTTGGTTGCCTATGCAACTGGGTCTGTTTTGCGGCACCTCTTGACCTTTTGACTGGCCTCCCCAACTTGCCATACTTCAACTCAGAAACATCTGCAACACGGGGAACCCTGGAAACCCCCCTTTGAGAACATTGCTTGTTGGCGTATCGTAAAATGGCTGCATTGCTAGTTTGTCCTGCCGATATGGTTCCACCTCGATTCGATTGAGAGGCTGAGGGGTGGTGTCCCCCTTTGGCAAGGATGCGTTCGTTCGAGAATCCGGTCAACATTCTGCAAAGCCGCTCGACTTAGAGAGCCAGTCACAGATCTGAGCCTCGACCTGCACAATATGTTGAGAGAAGAACACCCAAACAGATCCCCATCCCGCATGGCTTCCCCCGCATCGCCTTCTTGGTGATGGAGTTGCAGGCCGACTCGGCCTCGTGGAGGAACGGCAGCGCTTTGTCCAGCTCCACCTGCGCCGCCTGCTTCTCGCCTTGGCCGCGTATCAACCTGCAAAACCAAGAGGGACCCACAAAGAACCACCCAAAAGAGATCCTGGCAATGTCGGTTGCTCATATGGATGCTGGGTGGGTAAAAGGCATCCGAAAGGAATCCAAGCAGTTGTTCTTGGGCCACATGGGTTTAAGGTTCAACCCCAGGTCCAGGTGGTTCCTTTTGGTGTCAGTTTCAACTCAACCAAAAGGGGAGACACGTGAAAACTTGGGGGAATACCAAGTAGAAAAAGAAAATCGCCGGGCGTGGAGCCACGGAAACCGACCCCCCAGTTCAGTGGCCTTCGATCTTGGCAGCCTCGGCCATGCAGTCAGCCTTCTGGGCGTTCACCTGCCGCTGAGAATCTCAGGGGGCCCCGTTTTGGTCGGTTGCAGAAAACAGTTTGGACACCGCCCAGTTTGGGGTACCCCATTTGTGGGTTTTTTCATGTTGACACATGCCCAGATGGCTGGAAGGTGAGTTGGCAAACGAAGGGCCCCAGTTGATCTCCCCTATAGAAGGCAGGCAGAAACCCATTGTTTTTGGGGCGGTAGTGCACCCAAAGGCAGCTTCACGAAATGGGTGGCTCACTGAACTCATGGTCTCCTCGGGGCTGCTCCCGAAAACCAGGTCAAAAACTGGAAGACTGGCTTTGGGAAAGAGGAAACCAAAGAAAACCTGTCCAGATCTCTCGCCTTGTCGACTTACGCAGCAACCAACCCTTCTCCTTGTTGTGTGTTGCTCTCCTCTTCGGGTTTCCTTTCCCTCCCCGAAAAATGCATTGCGTCCTACGAGCCGCTGCGGTGTGTCTGCTCAGAGCAATGGTGTGCGCCTGCGGCCACCCCCCGGCTTTCGGGAATGGAAACCCATGGCAGGAAATCCGCACTTTTTGTTTGGCTTGGGCCATGGTCCCTCTGCTTATTGCCCTTTCGGATAACATCGACCAATCGACCGCTATGGACACTTCGAGGCCATGTTGCAGCCTACCCAACCCTTAGTAAAGTGTTTAAAGCCTAACGTTCGCCAAGAAACCAATATCCTGAACCTGGCAGGCGAAAAACAGGTCCTCCCGCAAACGGGATGCACCAGGACGCTACCAGTAGCTGGAAGACTAGCTTCTTGAAACGATTAGTTCCTCGTAGACTCTGAGTTATATGCTGAAAACCTCGGGGGTTGGGGTTGGGGGGGAGGGGAAATGCGGGTTTGCTCAAACAAGCCAAATGGGTGTTTTCGGGTCTCTTGCCTTGTTTGGGTTAAACACCCTATCACAGGAGTCCCACCTCGCCGGCCGCGCCCCCTTTTACTAGAGCCTCCGTATTCACCCCTTCACCCCGAGTCGAAAGGCGGCCCAGAAGACCAGCATGTGATGCTGAAACGGGCACCGGGAAAGATGGGAACCGGGAAAGATGCGCTTGGAACTTCGCAAGTTCCGGGTAAGCCCCAAGTCCCGGGTATGCCCACTGCGCCTGCTCTGCCTTCTTGTCGGCCTTGGCCTTCTCGGCCATGACCTGTGCCACTTCGAAGCTTTGGGCGCAGGCCAACGCTAGCGCGTTGGAAATGTCCGCACTTGAGTCACCATGAAAACCCGGTCATCTGCTAGCCTTCAGCTACCTGGGTTTTGATGGCTACCTTCTGCAGAAACCCTTTTCAGGTGTCCATGTGATTTGCAGGGGGTATGGTGCCCAAATATGGGTGCTGTTCCTGCTGGCTTCCCTGAAAAAAAGAACTGGTAAAAATGGGCTCTCCAAACATAATATGGTTGAAGGACAAATTAACTTCGCAGTTGGTGGGTGATACAGCTCAAAATAAAGGTTGGTGTTTTTCTTTTGGCTTCGCTTCAAAGCATGTTGGGTGCTCTCTAATAAACATGCCCACACACACACACACAACGATATGCAGAAAGCCAAATACAAGGAACCTTCTGATCGAAAGGTTCTAAAAAGCTTTTCTGGGGGAATAGTGTCTCTCCTACCGAGCGGGGTCCTTAGATGTCCGTTGACACGCAACTTGACAGAAAGCTCAGTGCAACATGGCATTTGAAGGTGCTGTTCACATAATCCAGAAACGAAAAAATATGATTAAACACCTAACATACACACACACACAAACGGAGTGTATGATATCATATGCATTCATCGATCGACTTTAGTATGCACACATACATATTTACATACACACATACACGCACACAGAGGCACACACCAAAGCGGGAAGGATCTACGCAATCAACTTTCGGATGTTTCTCAAAATAGGGCTTTAAAAAAGGAAGCCAAAATACAGAAACCAACCGCCTGAAGGAATCTCTGTCCAACTCTTATCGTCATTTTGCTGAGGAAAGTAACCTCCTTCGCGTATGTCCGGGAAGAAAAAAACCGTTGGCCTTCTCCAACAAGGCCGTGGTCTTCTTCTCCTCTGCCCTCAGGACAACATCCTGCTCCTTGAGCTCCACCTGAAGGCGAAGGACGACACGACACGAAGACACGAAGATCCATTTCCACACCCCCCCCCCCCCCGGCCCGAGAAACGACCTCGGCTTTTATGGGGGCCCCCCCCCTCTAAAAAATAAAAGAATCGAATCGGGCCATAAAGGAAAGAGAATGATGTGTCAAATGATTTGTCCCCGTATATCATTTGGAGACTGGTCCGTATTTGGTGAGCTGGAACAAGCTTGAACATGACAATTCTATTCAAAAGAGACCCCAAATCTTCCACTCAAGAGGCTCCGAGATCCCTGGTAATTGCATAGGAAGTTTGACCATTTAGCAAGAAGCAACCCAGCTGGAGGGGGTGGAGCATCGCTTTCGGTAGATTGCCCCGACTACATGCAGGTTTTCCTGCTAGTGAGCAAAAAGCTCGAATTTCAGGGTCCGTGTGTTAAACATCAATGCTAAGACTTCAGATTCTGAAAGACCCTAATCAGAGGAACCCTCAAGATATGGGTATGAATTTCAATTGCGGGCCCTTTGGTGGGGATTTGTGTCCACCAACCATTTGGGAGGTGGTTCCCTATTCAAACTCATATCCATATCATTCTCAGGTACGATGCTCCGGAAGCCAAAGTTGACGAGTACCTTCCCCCCCCCCACCGAGGCTTGGTTTCCCCTTCCATCGAATCCGAATCGCCTTCAGCTTCTCCACGAACTCGGAGGCCTGGCAAGGGTCGGACGGCCGGGGGTTGTTTTGGGGTCTTCCTTGCAGATTGGTTTAAAGGGACGAAAGGAACACAACCCATTTTTGGGTTGCCACCCTAGTTTGGCAAGCACAAACAAACAAACAAACAAACAAACAAACAAGCAAACAAGCAACATCAAACAAACACCCAAGCACACACACACACACACACACAAAACATCAAAAAGCACACACACACACACACACCTGAAACTCAGAAACGGGGTCTGCCGAAAGGTAAGGACCCAAAAACTTGGGGTGTCTTTCCTTTTGGTTTGCCGTGGAAAGAACTCAACACAAGCGCGCACAGACAAACAAGAGAGCCAAAGACCCCCCCCCCCGCCCCCAATTCACCAGGATGGGTTGGCCGTTTCCAACATGGTTCCACCACCAAAGATTCGGCAAGAACCTTCTGATCGAAGGAGTTCAAATGGAAGGGTTTCGGATTCGGATTCGAATCTGTCTGGGGGTGGGGTTACGGGTCACTTTTGCCTCTCCTGCACCATACTATCAATAGTTCAGATCGGCAACCAAAACACCGGGGAAAAGAACACGTCACCCCACAGAAAACATCTAAAGAGTGTTGGACAAATCGAGATACTACAGGGTTCATTTCGCATGGCCTTCAAAATGAACTTGGGCAAAGCCTAGGAACATCATCCTGTCTGGGTGTTCGTTCCCGTGCTTCACGATTTCAACTCATGTCTAGAAGAAATGTCAGTTTCGACCCTTCCCTATGACCTAGCTGTGGATGACAAAGTTTAGATGCCCAGCCACCCACCCACCCACCCACCCACCCACCCACCCACCCACCCACCCACCCACCCACCCACCCACCCACCCACCCACCCAACGACCCACCCACCACAAACGTCCCCTCGAAATCCATTTGCCACCAGCTCAAAGGGCGCAACCGAATACAAGTCAGGGCGAACCAGAGCCAGGGGACTTGATTTCATCGAGTCGATTCGACTTAAAATCAAATCGCCTCCTTGAGCTTTTGCAGGCCCACGTTGACGCTCCTCTCCTGGACATTGATCTCCTCGTACTTGATTTGCTGAGCGCGGAAAAGGCTGGAGCGGCTGTGTCCAGGTCGCAAGGCGATGTGGAAAGGACTCCACGTTGATGGGTGAACATTGCCCATTAAAAAAAAAAAAAAAAAAAAAAACATCTAGAAGTCATGGTTGTGCTGCTTCCCCACAAGGCGGTCGATCCAAGGATTCAAGCAAAGGATGGAAGCACCTACACAGCTGGCTGCTCGCTGAAGGAGGCGTGACAGAAGCCAGCCCCAATCTGTTTCATTTGCTCCAAACGCTTGCAACTCCCGGGCATGATGTTGAACTGGGTGGACTTTGGAAACATCGGATTTGTTTCCCCGACCAACCATATTGAGGGTGTTCACTGCCATCATCCAACTGATGGGAAGGACAAGGAGCTTGAACCGGAACTTGCCCTCCAGTTTGGGCCAGACACAAGAATGTGCTCTGTTGCATGGCCATGAATTAAACAACTTCCCTGACCAAAAATAAGGACAACCACCCATCAATAGGACCTTCATGCGTGAACTTGGTCGCAAACCAAAATACTCTGAGTTGTCGCTCAAAGTTGGGCCAGACTCCACGCTTTGTGCCTGTCCTGCATTTTATCACACCCCTTTTTGACCGGTGAAGCCCCAGAGTCTGCGATGCTTGCAAGCGCCCGACATCCTGCAGGCGACCGCCTGTCGGGCGCATGTCGTGGTAAGGCTCCCACGTAGAGCACCTTGTAGAAGTCAATGAGGCACAGGAAGCTCTTGGGGGTGACGTACACATTCTTGCGCATGCCTTGGGACCACTAACGGATCCTCTAACTAGGGGAGGAGCCACAAAACGGGTTCGAAATTGAGCAAACTCAAAGTGAGCTTCTGTTTTGCTTTGGTCTCCCTTTCAAACACAGACATCCGGAAAATGTACCCTCAAACAACGTCACACCAAAACCGGTGCGGGCATCCGCTTTCTGGAAGAGACAAGCTGTGAATTTGAGGTGGTTCCTTAGGAAAAATCAAATCCATGCTGTCTTTCAAGAAGACCCTCCCTTCCCCTCGCCTCTCCTCCCCTCCTCTCCCTTCCCCTCTCTTCCCCTCCCCTCCCCTCCCCAGCCGCATATTGAGCCAAAGGGGCGGGCATAGTACACGTCGCACAAATCCCGGGTCAGCGCCTCACGCCAATTGGCAGCTGAGATAGCCAAAGTCACCCGCACCACTTGGTAGGCGGTTGATCCCGGTAGGGCCGAAAATCCTTGACTGGTGCAGAGTTCTCCAGAAAGCTCGTTGATCCCTTTCAACGTTCAAAGCTTTTTGTGGGATATGTATCATGCGAATATCATATATCTATCTCAAATTTGCATCCCTAACTCCAGCAAGCTCCAAGTCTAAGGCTGCGGATGGAAACCGCCTGGCCCGAAAAACCACAGAAAACCAACCCCCAACCAAAAGCGCCTTTCGCGCCCTTCGTAGCAACCATCTCCTCGCCTTTGAAAACACAACACCTTTCTGGGGACTCTCAAACTGACACACAGCCATGCACGCCTAACCTGGGTGCTTCTTTTCTTTTGAGGGCCCTTTAGCGCCCAAAGCAAACAACCTGCCTGGAAGGATCCAGTGAGAGCAAAGAGCTTGCCCTTGTCCGACTCGGAGCAGTCCAGCCTCAACAACCGCGAACGGAACAGCGGGAATTGGTGCAAACAGTTGTGATTCCTCCAGATTGGCTTCCTTGTGGCATCTTGAAGAACCCCTTCCAACAGGAGGCCTCCCAATCTTGGGACAGACATTAACCCCCGGGTCACAAATCCGCCATGGAGTTGGTTCAGGAATTGGGCGTTGCGTTTTTGGAGCTATCCATGCCACCTTGAGGGGAAAAAGGAACAGCGCGAGGGCCCAGAACTAAGAGCCAAACCCGTGTCCGACGTGGGACCCTGAAAAAGGAGAACCTCGGCCTGTTGGCTTAAGGTGTGACGTCACTAGGCCCAAAAAAAAACGCGAGAGGGCGTCGGGACCTTCGGTTGAATTGACCTCATCGGTTCATTGAGAGTGACTGGAGCTGCAAGGTGCGGTGTTTGGCATGTGACATGGGTACTGCTCAAAGGCGGGGGTCCTTTGGGCTCCGTGCAAAAGGGGGGATGTGGGATAGTGTTTCCCACCATACTTTCCTGCCAATTGTTCTGGAACCAACACATGGGGGCATTTCTCTCACAATGGGCGGTTGTTTTTTCTACAAGGACTCTTGTGTTGCACCTGACACTACATAAGGTAACAATATCTTACTTGGAAACGCATTTCAACTGTTAACAGACCCTTCCGTGGATATCATTTTACATGGGCGGTTGTGCAATCACCAACCGTGTTTTTCCGGGGTGTTCCAACCATTGCACATGGTATGCCTCCGATCCCCAAAAAAGAAGTCTTGTTTGGTTTCCCTTTGCAACAAGAGTTTTGGGGTATCCTAAGAAAGCATGGACGGTTTCCCTTTGAGTTCCCTCGAAATCCACTAGCCATAAAAATGGGCGGTTGCCCTTTGTAGCAATCTCAGAAAGCGGACCAGCCATTTGGGCCCCAGAAGAAATCAAAGAGCATTACGAAAGGAGCCCGAAAAGGGGTGTGGTGCCCTTTGATAAGTTGGGTCACAACCTCCATCTGTGGTTGACACTACCTCAGCTTTTACCCCTTCAACCAAAAATACATATGCTGAGAGCCGTCCTCCCGCGTGAGGTGGCAAACCGGAATCACCCAAACAGGGCTCTCCAAATATCCTCAAACCACAAGCGAGCTGCGATTTTGTTCAACCCCAAGAGGGGAAGCATAGGGAGGCCTGAACCCGATGCAAGGAGCTTGTAGTTGCTCAGGAAGGCGCTGCTTACAGCCACCAGCGCAGCTTCCGGCCAGGGCATGAACCTCAGACAAGGCACTTGCATTTTTCGTGGGTTGTGTCAGTATCTTGCAAAAAAGAGTTTGGTAGGTAATTATTAAAAACAAAAAAATGTGCGCAAGATTGCAACGGTCAAAACTCCGAATCTGTGAGTCAGGATCCTAAATCTGCATGTCAGGTTACTGTGAATCATAGATCCCTCAATCTTTACGCTGTTGGTTTTTGGCAAAGAAGCCGCGCATGTTCAAAGACCATCTGGAAGCTTGGAGTAGTGCGGCGGTGCGCTGCCATTGTTCCACAGCTGCCCTTTGGAATTGGGTGCTTCCAAAAGCTCTATCTAGCCACCACACCTGTGCGGGACCCACCCAAAACCCAAAACCCACGTTAAACACCTTATCAAATTAAAGCCCCATCAGCAGACCTCAAAAAACCAGCGACAGCCGACGTGCATCATCTGGTTCGAGGCGCCAGTTGATGTTCACGGTGAAGACTGCCGGGAACTTCTGGGCACGGATGGGGAACTTGGCATTCACCTGGGAAGGCTCTGAGCAATGGTTGAGTGTGGGGACGAGGACCAAGACCCCAGCCGCTCGGACAAGGATTCCCTTTTGGATAGATTCCCCTTGCCCGTGCATTCACCAAGACAGCGGAAGGGCGCATGGGTTGGCTCGAAATGCTGCACCCGCCCCCGCCCCACAAAAGAAGTAGTTTCCCCTCACGGGAAGCGGAACCTGCACACCCATTTTTACATGAGAGCAAATTGTCCTTCGTCGGTTCCTTGCAGCTGCGCCACTGGAGAGAAGCACAAGCACACGTGCAGGTTGTCGCGCAAACGATCCATGAGGTAGTTGTACATGTTCAGGAGATTCTCCTACGCTCGCGGACCGAAATTCCAGGGAATTCTTGGGAGTCCGACCTCTTCGGGAGAACAAGGCAACTCGTGATTGTTCTGTGTGGGATGGAAGCAAATGCAAGACATGCCTGACAGATACACATCATACATCTCGCAAAACAAACGAACACATCCAGGCGAATAAGCAGGCACGACTTTCTCATCAGGGCCTCACAAAGCAGCAAGGACCTACTTTCAGCAACGAAGATTCGGGATTTTCAAAGGAGTCCAAGGAGCACCGCCTGCTGGCTGCATACATTGGATTCCCATTGCCCCGAACCACCAATCTCCAATGGGAGGGCATACCTCTGAGATCAATGCCACCAACTGCCCAGTTGCTCGGCCTCGTCCCAAAGCGTCACCCTGGATTTCGCTTGCGACGTGGATCTCTGTTCATGGGAACCTGGTTGATTAACAGGCGGTGTTCCAATTGAGACAGGTTCCTTCACGTTTGGAGGAAACACTGTCCTGCACCAAGTTCACTCTCGAGTCAAAACCATGATGCACGTCACTTCATGACATCCCCCCGAGGAAATATGCTTAAAATAATGTTTGAAAAGAAAGGAGGGTGTCCAAGCCCTTCTCCAGGGGTGCCGTTATTTTCCAAACCGCGAATCCATCTTACGGCCGATTCCCTGGTTAATGTCGCGAGCTAGGGATGCCTATTGATTCAACCCGCGGCGGAACGAGATGCGCCTCTACTGGCTAATGTTTTTTGCGAGACACCTACAAAGAAAGGGGAAAGAGGGCACCACTGGAGGGGTGCAAAATCTCCGTCCTCCATGTTGGGATTCTCCCGCACGAAGTCGTTTCGCACATCTCCGCACATCGCATCCTTCTCATCCTTGGCAAAGAGCCCCACCACTTCACCTGGCAGGTTGGAAACGCCTCGTCCCTTGCCGTCCTGTGTCAAACACACGTGGGTACCATTGGCAAGCTTGCCAGCCCCCGTTGGTGGGCTTGGAAATCATCCATGTGACCATCTCGCCACGTTTGTGGGCGAACGCCAGTCACCGAGCCGGCGAAACGGAGTGGCAGTGAGGGGCCCCGACCCCCAGGGCGTTGGGTCCCGGAAGGTCGGAAAGCTGCAAGGCAGGCACGTCCATTCGCCACATTGTTTTCTGCCATAACGACCGGGGGGGCTCCTTTTGGGTATCTCTAAGACCCCCCCAAAGGACTGTTGGACAAATCGAGAAGCTGTGAAGCACAAAGCCAAACAGCCCATGGAACCGCAGAGAGCCAGGCCTTTTCCTCGTTTAAATCGGCATGTTGGCTCGCCCTCGCCGTGTCCTATCTGGGTGAATTTCAATATTCAGCCTGAACTGAGTACAGCATCCCCGGGAAAGAGTCTGTGCATGCTATTTCTCCAAAGGAGATTGTTTGGCCCACGTCTTGAGCAGGTCCCACCCTTTTGTTGTGTTTGTTTCTTTCTCTGTCTGAAACAAGGGCTTGAGTTGCCAACCTATCTTGAATCAACCGCAAACCCACCCCAAACCCGCGCTAGATCCAACCGAAATCAACCCAACACCCACCCCAAAACCCATCCTATTTAACCACTCTAAGCTACCAAGAATCCACTTGAATCAACCCTAGACTCTCCCTACCACCCTGAATAGTTCCAAAAACCGACCCCAACCCATCCTAAGCTCACCTTATCTCAATCCTTAAGCTCTGAAACCAACGCAAAACCCACGAACCCGACAAACGGCCCAGCCACAAGATTTGGGCCATGGGCAACAACTGCACCCTGAGTAAGGACACTCATGAGCTCGCAGTGATCCGCGGGTGAGCTCGTTGTTGCCCCCAGTGAGCTCGTCATTTGTACAGGTCGCACATCATCATGGATCATCGTGAGGGTAGACATCCCATGTCATGCGCCGCTTCCGGCCGTCGAGCTATTCCTTTTCGTTTGGTTCGTTTCTCGGGCCGACCACCCCTACACTACACCACTTAGGCAAGGGGAACCTCCACAAGATCAAATCGCCATCTCAAATGAGGCCAAATCAGGCATGCTCACGGCTCAGGTGCACACTCACGGGGTTGTAGGTATGTTCCTTTGGGGCCAATCGACTCTTTCCAACTTCCCGCTTCGAGCCCCCTTTTTGGCCCGTTCGGTGGAAATTCCCCGTTCACCCGCAAGCCCTTCCAAGCCTGTGGCCAGCAGCGAGTTCCTGAATGCACAAGGCAGGGCTACCAACTTCCCACGGTGGGAAGCATCGCGACCCGAAGGGAAACTCGCAATTCAGCAAAACTGTCCGGACGACGCGGCTCAAAATCGCCCTTCCAGGGGGACATGAAGTTGGACACTCCCCTTGTCAGAGGGGGACCAAGAGGGAAAATAATGGTTGGGATGCCCTTTTGTGGGGTTTGAAAGTGCAAGGAAAACCAGACCGCTCGTTGAGGTTGGCCTTGATTCACGGGGGCTTCGGCACCCCTTGCATCCAACCCTCGATGGCGGCCTTTCGCTACAACTGAACTGCCTTGGAAAACATATGCCAGACACGCTTGGCATATTTCGGTATATCATATCAGCATGTTGTACCCGCTATTTAGTGGTTGGGCGCCGATCATTTGCCCCGGTGCTGGCTTAGGGGTGGAAACCCGCTTCACTTGGAACGCCAAAGCTCTCTTGCTTGTGCATGAACATGAATGAACCTCATTATCGGCATGAACAACGAGAATGGACTGAACTCGAGTCGAAGAAAGATCAAGCAAGGAACCATCTACAACATGATTAAAGTTTATCTGACAAGTGCTTCTTACTTGTACCGACAAAGAGTTTTGAAGGGCAAGGAAGCAATGATCCGCATGTCAACACTGATCACAGCTTCGGCTTTGGATGTGTCATGGCGTGATCATCACTTCCTGTATTTGAAGCTGCAGCAATGATTCATGGCCCTTCACATCTCTCGCAATTTGGCCAATCTGGCCGAAATCGATAAAAACTCTCACTTGAGTCATAATCAAAACCCGGTACAAAAATGGTCTACCCAGAACCATGTAAAGAATTAAGAAGGCGGCCGCAGCTATTTATGGTCGGGTTTTGATTGTGGCTCACTTGCTCCTTTGGGACCTGGAAATGACGCCGGTTAGCCTCTTAAGTCCTAGGACCTTGCCAACCAGGAGCATCAGGTCCAAAGGTTGATTCGCTTTGGTCAAAGCAGAACACCGCACAAATAAATCAAAAGCAAACCGCCAGTAACGAGTCGCTGAGTGTCAGTGTAGGGATTTGGACCCCGGTAAAATGGCACTTTTCCGTTTGGCGTCCATTTAAACCAACCCGACCCAACCTGCCAGCTCCAAGAAAGACAAGCGCGCACGAACCCAACCCCTCTTAACTCGAGGCGCATGTACTCCAAGAAGCCCTGACGGGGGGAACGCGGGCGGGCACGGTGCGCGTGAGGGGAAGGCGCCGTTTGGGAACCCCAACCCCAACCCGTTGGACGATCCCGTTGGGAGATTCCCTTCCTCCAGGTTTCGTTTGGGTATTTTGACATCCCCAATCTGAATTTGGTTGGCCCCATGGAAAGCCATGTTGGTGCTGAACAAAAACCAGGAACCAAAAGGAGTGGCTACCAAAAAGGGAAAGGAGCGATTTAAACTAAGGAGATACAGTCAATGCGTTCTGTCGCAAAAAAAATAGGATCTTTGCCCTCAGAGCCAGCCGTGTTGAAATTTGAGGCCTCTCCAAGTAGGTGTGTCTCCAAACGGACGAAAGAAGTCGCGGTTCTGTGACTCTTGCCATTTGTCAGATCCACATCCGGTTCCCTAAACCGCCATCCATGTGTTGCTTTTGTTGTTCGATTCAAAGAAAAGCGGTTTCCCTCCGGCTTCCCATTGAAACCAACGCAAGGGCACCCTCCAAAAGCAAAACACAGCTCAACTCGCAGGGAAGTGGAGCGAATCGGGATGCTCAGCCGCTCGTGGCCCTGAGAAACATGAGGGGTGCTCGTGATTGCCTCAACAATAACTCCCCACGGCTTCCTGGGGTGGAACTCTTGTCAGCTCCAAATATCCGTATGGGGTTGATGACCATCCCTACGAAAACGTTCTCACTCAATTGGCATCGCCAAAATGAGCTCACCAACCCCGCCCCTTTTGCGACCCCCACCCCCCCCTTCTCGCTCCGGTTGCCTCGCTCTTGATCTCTGCGTCAGTGAAGATGAAAGTGACGCTCTCGCCCTTCACGCCAGCGCGGATGCACAAAGTCTTCAAGTCCTCGAAGAAGGCGTTGTCGTTGTATGTCTTGGTGATGGTGATCCTTGGCCGAAAACCCGTGAGATCCACACCCGACTGCTTGAAAAACCTGGGGGCTGATTGCCCCTCCATGTATGTCTTGGTTGTCCACAGAGGGAAACTTGTTGGGAAGGGTCCTTTGTCAAGGGTACCCCCCTCCATCCAATCCATTCCCTCTAACTCCCTTTCACCTCTGTATCTAGGATGTGATTAAGAGGTGAGAAAGGGAGAGAAAGGGATGGGGTGTGAGGTGATTGTTGGTGAGATTCCTTCATTGGCGGTTTCCTGGTGAATTGCTTCGTCTATAGGATTTCCTCGCATTTACCTCTCATTCTTTATCCACATCCATCTACAATTTACTTTAGGATGTGGAACAAGAATGAGAGAGATGAAAGGGAGGGATTTCCTGTAGACCAACCTTCATCTCCCATCATCTCTTTCCTTCCTGTGTCATTCCTATCATCGACGGCGTGGAGATGAGAGAGGGATGAGACACAGGAGATAGACGGTGAGAAGAGATGAATGGGTGAGTGAGTGAGGACAGAGGACGAGGCGAGCGGTGGGTGATTTCCTTCGTCCTTCATACATTTCGTCGGGGGTGGAGACACTGTGTGTGAGAGAGCCCGGTCTTTAGCGAAGACTGGAACGGCAGACTTCAACCCCTCCAACCCCAACTAAATACTCAACTACCCTCCTCCCCCTCCGCGATGAGGAAGAAGTACCACACATGAATACCTGCGCCAAAGTCACTGGAAGACATAGTGAGCCGAGGTGTAGCCTGCCAGCCTGGTGGGGACGTGTCAGACTTGTGTGAGAGGTGACAAGTTGACCCGCATACATAAACCACACGCGCAGGAGAGTTGCACCCCCGATCTATCCATCTGGTGGATTAACAACCAGTCATGGGGATAGAATCCTGAGTGCCACTTGCCTGACGCACCCTGCGCCTTTGTATTCCTTTTGCAGGTTGCATACACTCGCAGACCCCATCTGCAAGACAAGCCTCCCTGTTTGCGGGAAAATTGGACAGTCTCCCAAACGGACCATACACATTTTGCATGGGGCGACCCAAAAATCTTGGCTCTCCTTTTTAAACCAATCTGAAACACTTGGAGTTATCAAACAAGGCCAACCTCACATGGGGTCCATTCACCCCCATTCTGGTTGATGGCCGGTCCCAACCCAGGGGCTGCATGTCCCATGGGGGCATGGATCGTAGGAAGCCTTCTGGTTACTGGCATCCAACGTGCCTCCCCAAAACCACACCCTGAAACGAAAGGCTCCTTGCCACCTCGACAAGTCCAAACCGCAGTCGTTGCGGGCTAGCCAAAGCCCTAGTCCAGGTAGGAACTGGCGGCATACCCCGATGTCCCCACCGCTCTTATGGCGAACCATTTGGATCACAAACCGCGGCGGCTCCCCGCGCCTTGCCAAGCTCTGCTTGCCGCTGCCGCCCACACCCACCAGCATGGCACTGCCGCGCTTCTGCTGGATGGTGCCTCGCTCCGGCCAACCCCAATCCGCCCGGGCCACCCCCCTCCTTTTGTGGGGTCCTGCTGTTTTTTTGGGGGGAAGGTGGGGGTCTGCCGCAAGGAGACAAGGGTAGAAATTGGGCTCCTTAAGGGAGATCAGATGAAACCAAACCAGTTTTCACCAAGCCCAAACAGTATGTGAGCCTTGACTCTAAGAGGGATTCCAGTACCTCCAAGCCACTGCCCAAGTGAACATAGGCGTATCCAAGCACAAATAGCGTCAGCCTACAGTGTACATGCCAAAATGTTGCTGAGGGGATGAGCGGGTGCTGCCCAAATCAGGAAACAAGAAGTAAGGTCCCCGCATGTTGGTTCCATCCTGGTGAATAAGAGAAGCCCTCTTTGGGTTTAATTCCAACTGTCGTGATTGCCGAAGCCACCAACAAGGAGGCGTGTTGATACTAGGCCGTGGTGGTCTTTTAACTCCGGTGCCATTGCCGTTCCAGCGGCATCTCTCCTTGCTTCAAACAGAACCTGTTTTAGGTAATTCGCGTCCCTTGCCGCTTGCATTTCTTTCCTTGGCCTTGGCCTTGCCGATGGGTTTGGGGCAGAGAGAGACTCCACCAGCAACTCAGGAACCCCCCAAAGCGGCAAACCCCGTCCCTCCGCGTTTTTCCCCCGGACATCGAAGGCGTCCGGTCCGGACGCGGTCAAAACGGTCCCAGGCGCGGTTGATCTTCATGAGGTGCTGCATCGCCTCGTCGAAGAGCACCAGCTGCATGGCCTCAAAAGTTCCCAGCGGGGTGGCCGGGACCCGTTTGGAGCCGGTCACGGGCAGAGTCATTTAGTTGTGGTTGTCAAAACCAATGGGATCCCATTTTGGGGTAGGTGCACCTCCCACTTTAGTCGAGTTTAGTGGGGATTGGGATGTTCACTGGGGGTACGGGATTTTGACCCATGGCCATTTGGCTGGAAAAGCAACGGACAAGAACTACCAATGTTCCACACAAATGTGGGGTTGCTGGGCCATTGTTTTGGAGGTTCGGAACAGAATTCGAGGTATTGGACAGACCACATTGGACCGCAAAGTGTACAACGGCCGTAGGACGACCCAAGGGCATATTGGGATGAAATGGGTATAACAACCCCGCAGATCCGCAACATGTGACTTAAAATAAAGGACCCCTGACAAAGGTTTGTCTCCTGGGTCGCTATGGTGGACAAGAATTGCATGCTTGGAATTATTCTACCACCTTTGGAGGAGCCCTGCTTGAGTGTCTCATCTCCGTGTCAAAACAAGAGATACCGTGGTTCGGGTCGACCCTCTTTTGCCCTCAGCGTCTAAGTCAAGAGTTATTTTTGTCAACCTCCCATTTTGCTCTGCCTTGTTGTCATATCCCAAAACAGGGGAGGATCGCAGGTCAAAGACATGCTCGACCCAACCCCTGGCTGTCTGGATGTGAACGCTCAAACGAGGTCACTCGGTCGCCGAAACAGCGAGCACCGCCATTCAAGCTTGAAAACCTTTTCGAATCTGCCACGGTCAAAATATGAAAAGTGAGAGAGTCCAACTGAGCCCACCTTGATTTTCTCGGAATCTAGAAAGCTCCGAATTCCCCAATAATTTGGCAAAAATCAACAAGAACAGGACCGAATCCATGCCTTATTTGGTTGGGGGTCACAAGGGCCGCTCCTACGTAGTGCTTCTCAGATGTGCACTTCTTCCCCACAACAATTGCTTCGGGCCCAACACACTTCGCCCGAGTATTGTCACCAAAGGCGGCAGGTTGTGTTGGGGACGGGGGGGAGGCATCAGCAGACACATGAAAATGGACCATAGACCGAAACTTCTGACCCAACCTCGGATGGCCCTTGCGATGGACCCCTGTTGGAAGAGTCCCTAGTTTTCACGCCACCAAAAATCCCGGAAATGTCTACACCGTTTGCGCCGTTCAATATATGAATCACTCTTACAAGCATCTGAGGGCAATGCAACGACACTTCGCCGCACTTCCCCCGCCTTCGAAGGGTAGGCCTCGTTGTACTTGCCCAGGTAAAAGTAGGCCTGCATGCATGTTAATCGGACCTATAGATTTCCTCGGGAGAAAAGGACATCCACCTCTTTTTGGCAAGTGATTTGAAAGGGAACACCTTGTCCAAAACAGAAGCAAAAGCAGCACCTGGAGGGGGGGTCTTCATTGATCTAGCCGGTAGCTGCAAACAGCATGTTTTTTCTTTGTGTGGGCGAACTTGTTTTTTGGCATTTGCCCATGTAGCGGTTTTGCTGCTGCGCCGGCCTGCCCAACATGGCTTGGCAAGACAGCGCTGGGATCCTACCCTTTGCATTTAGTTCCAGGGAAATGATTGAATATAGGCTGACAGAAAGTGGGAAAGCAGAGGCCCACCAAAAGGGTTGGGTTTACATTTGAAACACTTTGAGTTGTTTTGAGACCTGGATAAGGCGAGTCCAAATGCGAGGAAAGCTGGTGGTGGGAGGATTCGAGGCGTTTCCAGAGCTTTTGTCTGTCCTCGCGCATTGGATCCAAGTGAAGTCTATTAATGTTAACGCTTGACTAATAGGGGATGGCGCATATTGGAGGTAATCGCTCCCTTGTGTCCCTATCAACGGATCTATGACCATTCCTAGTAACCCTAAGTATTCGAGTCTTTGACCATGGAAAACAATCTCATCTAGAAAATAGGTGATCCCTTGTTAGATGGCTTTTCTCGAACACAAAGGTTGCTCCACCTCAATAAGGGGGCTTGCGCTTGGGCACCTTCAAGAATTCACCCATCTTCCCTCACCGTCTTTTTCAAGGCCGAAGGAGCAACTGCGTGAGACTGGCAAACGAACACCGCGCCACTGCCAGTGCGAATCCTGGCTGCCGCCATCTGGCTGCCGAACCAAACGAGCAACGCCCGCGGCGCGGCGAGCCCGGCCTTGCCCTTCACCGTGTCCCACTCCGCAGGCTCGTAGATCTTGGGCGCGCCTGCGCGGACCAGAGGATACGAATAGGGACCTAGGTGCCTGGCATGGTAAGTGCTGCGAGCAATGGACAAAGTGGCAGTCAACCAGATACCTCAATGTCTGATTGGGGGGAAATACACCCCACAAGCGCGAAATCTCCTCAATGGGCCAGCCCCCGATGAACTTGGGTTCCCACTACCAAAGAGGGGGGGAGACTGATTAAGTGACTACTCCAATGAACAGGTAGCAATAGTGTCGCAGATCCGCTCAAAGGTGCCATCCCATGATCATTCATCGGCCGTTTGCTCCTGCATGCAATGGGTCGGTGGCAGGGCATGCACCGCAGGTGCACTGGCACTGGGCTGATTGGAAAATACACCTGCTCCCAAACAGCAGACAACCAGGTGCTCCAAATGTGTATCTTTACCGGCTTGCTGACGATTGGGAAAATACACCCCCACCCCGCCCCCCCCCCACCTGAAAGACATGACTGTATAACTGTTTGCCGGCAAGTGGGAACATTCACCTTCTCCCCAACAAACAGATACAGCAATACAGTAGATGGAGATTTCTCAAAATTATGGACCCCCACGTTTTGCCTGGTTTTGGACAGAAACCAAAAGGGAAGCAAGGACTCAACGGGCGGCACTGCCCGCGAGCCCGCGAGCCCGCGCCTTTCTCTTCGCCCGTCTCCTCGTCAAACTCGATCTCGCGCAGGAAGTCCGCGAACCACTCCTTTTGGAAGATCCAAACGCCGAAGGGGAAACCAGGTGTATGTCTGTCTAGCTCTGTCTACATGTATATACACATATGTCTTGTGGGTTGTTTGTATTTATATATATGTATACTCATATCGTGTATACATATATGCATATATATATATACATATGTATATATACACACATGCACATTTAGCTTGCACAAACACATACTTCACCACGACCGCCGCCACCGCCCCCCTCCCCCTCCAAGGAACATGTTATTCGCGCTCTTCGGAAACCACAAAGAACAAAGGCCAAACTGGTACTTGTTCCCACCAAGCCGGTTGCTGGCTTTGGGATTCTGACCCTGAAGATCCCCACCACTATCTGAAAAACATGAAAACCCGCTTGGCATACATGTTGTTGCTTTCACCTACCAAGGGTAACCATGGGGAAGTGGAGGTACACCCGGGCTCTCATGGACGATGAAGGTCTCAAAGGCCATCTGGTGGCCTCAAAATGAGCCAAACCTAATGCAAGTCCCACGGGGATTTGAACAACAGATTCCACCCTGGTGCCGCCTTGTGCCGCCTTTTGGAGGGAACAGTCCCCTGATCTTGACGGTGGCGCTCGCGCCGTTTCGATGGCTCAGGGTCTCAAGGGCCCATTGTGTGGATATGCGCCAAAATAGGGAGACCCCAAAATGGTTGTCTTCCTTTTGGGGTTCCCGTTAAACCAACCTGCAACCAAATTGCTTGGGATGCCGAAAGCAATCTGGTTGCACAGTTGCACAATGTATCTGGGCCGCTCGCACCCTCAGGCCCAGGCATTGCAAGGTTTAAGGCAAAACCCTTTTTGCATGGCAGCGAGCTGTGATGTTTAATCCTTCCGAACTTCAGGATGGTTCAAGCAAAAGCCCCTTGGAAGGTGTCTTCTCTCACCTCAGCACATAAATTTCATCAGTGTTCATGGAATTCGGAACCCCAAGTACCCGGCGCCCCTATGGAACTTGACCAGACCCCCAAAGCTTTTTGAGATGGAGGTGTTTTTTGAGGCTACCCTTTTGGTTTTCATGGAAACCAAGAGGAAACCACCATTCTCTGTTGCGTCCGAATCCTTAGAGCTGCCACATTCCCAGATCCGAGCTGCTGTGCTCTTGTTCTCCGCTGCCAGCTGCTCGCCGAAGTGCACGGGCATGAACCTCGCAAGCGCAAGAAGCGACAACTTGTCACTGGTTGAAAGGGAAAGTGAAGGAGACGCAAACGGGCAAAAGGGCAGGGCAAAAAGGTTGTGAAGGTTCCCACATGGAACCAAATCCCTTGAGGAAAATGGTCACCACTCCTTTCGTCACGTTCCAACGTGGGTGTTGGTCGCATTCTTCTACCATTCTCATCAAGCCCCAAGCAGGCTCAGGGCCAGGACCCCCTTCTGACCAGCTTTATTGGGACCAGTTTGGCATCCGAGAGGAACTCGTTTCCACTAGGGGCCATTGTTCTAAGGTACTTTAAGGGTCTGGATCGGTTTGTGGATTTGAAACCCCTCCTTGCTCAAAGGGGCAGGCTGCTTTGCAAGTGGTTGGCAACCCTGGTTATAACCCACCAGAGCTATATGGTTGCAAGTCCCCCAAAGCGGGTTCTAACCAGTTTACCAACCACTTACAATACCCTGCTGCAAGTAGGCAACACAGGAAGCTGAGCCAGGATGTCAACAAACGGGCTTGAGGAGGCGTTTTTAACTGCGGGCATCAATTGTTCTTCCCCCCGGTCTTCTGGAACTTTTCCAAAGAGTCCACAACCTGTGCCACTTCTATGGGTTTGGATGACAAGGATCTGCAACCCCGGAAACTGCCGGTTTTCAACCGTTGCGGCCAATGAGAACGAACATAACACGTGCACCGAGCCTCAAGAAACAGATTCATACCCACATGACGCCTGCACCAAAATGTCTCGCTGTCCCCCCACGGGCATGAGAAACTGGATGGTGTCCCTTTGGACTTTGCGGGGAATGGTGGGGATTGCCCGACGCAAAGAAGCCTTCGGGACAAAAACGCCAGCCCCTTTCTAGTAGTTCGTGGTTGAAAAGTGGACCCTGAAGGAAAGAAAGGCCACCACTGGAGGTCTGGGTAGAAGACTATGCAAGTCAAAGCTTCTTCCACGGGGCCAAAAGGGCACCATGCTTGGTCGTGAATTTACCAAGGAAAAGGGCTGATATCAAGGCTGCTGTTGGGTGAGTTTAGGGGCGGCTTTGGGTTGGCAAGGAGCTGATTTGTGCTTGGTGTGCAGATTTAGCAGTGGTTGCTTAGGGTGGCATTATGTGAGTTGTTGGGCTAGTTGGTGGCTTGGGGTAACGCTCCAAAACCAATCCCATACCAACCATTTCCCCGTGTTGGACCCTGGTGCCGCCTTACCGCCCTTTCAAGGGGCTACCAAAAAGGCCCCTGATCTTGCCCGCCCTGGCGCCAAAGGGCTTAGATCCCCTTCTGGAGTGATCAATGTGAACCCAGATTTTAAACCCTGGTTGCCTAATACCGTGGATGGACAAAATCTGCTTCGCACCAGTTGAGATCCATAGGGGGGTGCCCCTGCTTGAAGGGATGTCTCTGCTTTTGGAGTAAACTCAGTAAAGACCTCAGCAATCCGCAACGCTAAGATTTCCCTGGGTCGACCTTGCTCCCCTTCAGATATACATGGAACCCCAAAAAGGGGGTCCCACAAAAGAAGAGCCCTCTCATGGTGGCTTCTTGGGTTCCTTCTGTCGTGTAAGCTTACCCCAAATGGAACAGCTTTCCGCGCTGCTTCACTCACCCAGAGTTTGATGGCTCCTCTTCGCAAGCCAAGACACTCCGCAAGGGTCTTCCTTGGATGGAGGCGCTCTCGCGATGTGACTCACCCAGCCAAAGAGGCCCAGAGGATTCTTCCGATCAAAGGGGTCCGGAAGGGGCTCTCAGAGCATCTCTCTGGGGTAGGTCCGATTTTGTCTGTCCTGAACTTCTCACTAAAATTCAGAAACATACATCAAGGGATCTCGTACCACCAGCTCCGCTTTTGGACCCCTCCCTGCAGAAATGAAGGGTCCCCCAAAGGAGGTTCAAAAGGCAAACTCTGGCTGCGAACACAGGGAGGTGTGATCAGACCAAACTCGACGCAGCTGACAAGCTCAGTTGCCTGGATTCTCATTCAAACACTATGTCATATTGATGGAAATACCTTGGCGGCCTTGGACTGTTCGCGAGAAGCGCGCTTCGCATCCTCTCGCTCGGGTTCAGGTGGTCTCGCGGTCTCGCCAAGCGGCTCCACCAACATCTTGTCCACATCACGGCACAGCTTGTCTGCGAAGACGCGCTGGCCTTGGCCATGGCACTGCATCGCTTCCAACTTGTGAATCGACTGATTCACTGTGGCTCCCATATTCGACCCTGAAAAAGAGAAAAAGGTCACCAAGGAACGGCTCGGAGCAACCCCGAATCGCATTCCACTGCCACTGGCAAGAATCGAGGCCAACCCATGGGGATCCATCTGCGTTCCTTCCCACTACGCCTCCACAATGATTCCAACAGCTCGGCCAGGTTTCTGGGGTGCTTGGCCGTCTGTCAGAGTCCGATTGCGGCGGTGCTCGTGAAAGTCACCCACGCTCGTTCAGCCGGCTTCAACATTCTGTCTCAAATCTGTTTGCTACAGGGGCCAGCCATCTCAGCAAAACCCCCGGAATGGGCCCTGGGCAGCCCTGGGCTTCCTGGTGTCCCTGAAAATCAACTCCAAAAGCGCGGCTTTTTTCAGCTCAGGCGCACTCGTGCTTCCAGAGCCCCACCAGGGTGCTGGGAGTCTGCACGATGTTCACCGGGCACTCCATGATACCCTGGCAGGACCCGAAGTTGACTTCCTGTTCTTCAGATGAAAGCTACCTGTCAACCAGCTTCGCGTCATTTTGGAGCTGGCAAGAAGCTACATCACCTCGAGATGGAAGGTACTCTCACAAGCGGTGGTCGATTTGTGTTGATCACAATCTCCGGTTGATTGTGGCAATTTGCTTGACAAAAGTCGTCTGCAAAAAGGGTCACTTTCAATGTACCCAGGATCCAGAAAGATCGGATCGTCCGGCGCCCCGATTGCCTGACGTCCAGTCGCACAAGGCCTGAGGTTTCAGTTGAGACCGGCCAAACCCTGGCTTGCACTTTCTCCAGGTGAGCAGCGCCCAACACCCATTGGCTTCTGGCTCTACCAACAAAGCTTAAAACGGCTTATAGAGGCTTCCTACATTCGCATTCTCACAGACCTCAAGTTCGTTTTCTTGGCAGCTTTGTGTCGGCGCACAGCAGGCCGGATCGCATCAAACTCCATGTTTCGGGGGTTCCGGGCCACCCAGAAACGCGGAAGCCCTTAACCCCAATGGGAATGTCTCAGAAGGCACCCCACAATCAGGGCCGCTTTGGTTTCCCTTTCAAACCCCGCACCCAAACGAGCCCGGAACAAAATGACGAGGCCCAGTGTCACACGCAGTTGCCCTCATGGACAGGGGGAAGCTAGGATCTTGTCGCTAGCTCATGAGGGACATTGAGTGCTCGTCCCCCCTTTTTCTGAGCCCAAATGTCCTGCTAAGAGTGATTCGCTGCTTGCTGGTTCGTGGCTGGAAAGGGAAGTATCCTTTTTGAAGGAACCCTTTTTTGGGGTGTTCAAGGCAAACCGAAAAAAGGCAACCTTGTTTTGTGGGTTCCCCCGTTTTGAGACACACCCAAATACGCCTTCTTCCAAAGGTTGAAAGGTTTAATGTCGCGCTAAAGGGCCAACCAAGTGTTGGCGGGAGGCTCAGAAACCTTCGGCGGTTCAAAAAAAAAAACGATTGTCCATTTCGCCTGACTCTCCCCCTTGGGCGCCTGGAACACGCGGCTCAGGTCTCGCATGTTGAAGATGTAGTGGAAGCCTTGTGGCTGGATCAGCTAGAGCGGAAAAGCATCGTTGGGACTGGTTGCGACTTTGGACCAACAGAGCACACACCAACCACAGATAGTCTTGTTCAACCCCGACGCAAACATTCTTCGGTCAGGTGCACGCATCATGTCCCCCTAGTGTGGGGGAGTGATCACGAGGAAGGCACTTCGTCTTCTTTGCAAAACAGGAAAGGAACCTTGACCAGCAGACGTGATACTAGGAGTCGCAATCGACACCTGGGGAAAAAGGGTCTCACCCCAACCCTTTCAGACTAGCATGGAACCAGCCAAAATTGCACCTCTTAGAGAAGTCTTCGTTCGGGGGTCCTTTTGTTGATTTGCAGGGGGAGTACGCAGAATCCATGACAATGTGGCTTTGTCTCAAGTCGGCTTGTCTCCAATGACCTCCTGCCAAAGCCAAGATCCAATACGGGATGGCTAGATCTGGATGGAATGCTGCATAGATATTACACATTGGCATTCCTGCCCTCCTGGCCGATCATCATCACCATCATCGCCATCACCACCACCACCACCACCATCATCATCACCACCACCACCACAACTACCTCTATCTGGGAAAATATGTTGCAAACCTCAAATTCCAAGGGGTGGATCTCCCATCACCGTGGCAAAAACCGTTCGCCGCAAACTCGGCATTTCCAAGTGGACCTCCCCTTCCGAATGTCGCAGGGTGCCCGGGCGCAAGGGCGTGGGCAGCAGCTTGGACTTCACGCGGTCCCACACCTTGATCGTCGAGTGTCCCCACAAGGAGAGGTCCTGTTGGCTTCCTTTGAAGCAACCCCAAACGTGCACCCCGGACCGCGGAAACTGAAAACGGCCGGCCCAAGAAAATGCCGAACTGGAAGCTTGGGCGCGTGCTTGCCTTTGAGCTGGGCGCGGTGTTAGCTTGCTTAGCAAAAGCCTCATTTCGGGATGAGGGGGGCAAGGAGGTGGGAAACGAAGGGAAAGAGCAGAGTGACCCGCAAAGGAATGTCGTCTTTGGCAATCTTGCGCATGAACTGGAAGGTTTCTCGGGGACTACGGGAAGATCAGGCACAGACCCCAAGTGCATGAACAGCCCCCCCACCCGGTGGTTTCCGAGGGCTGCGGGAGCACCCGGGTAGACCTTTTCTGGGGAACGTCCCAAAGTATGATGGGGCCTGGGGGGAGGGAGGGGAGGGGGGAGAAAGCCGACAACAAGGCTTATTTAAGGGCTTAATGAGAGCTAATTTTTTGGCTCCCTCCCCCTCCCCATGAAAGTCGTATTGAGAACCCTTGATGAATGGACCCAAACAAACCCAAAGGCGTTGCAACCAGGTCACATCCACTGTGGCGCTGGTCAGCTTCTTGCTGAGGTCGATGACATCCGGCTTCGCGCCCGCCTGACTCATCCGGGCCAAACGTGGACCCCCTGCCAAGTAAAAACGGTTTAACTTTTAGCTGGTTGAAAGGAAAATGAAGGAAACCCAAAGGGCAGAAGCTGGAAACAGTTAGCGATGTCTGGCAATGCCATGATCCGTTTGGCTGAAATACATCCGCAGGGTTTCTCCAAAGATCAGATCGGCAGGGTTGAAGGCTCGGAGCAACCCTGCTGAGGAACCCGCCAAAGAACCGCTCGACTTCATGGGCCCTGGATTCGCTTGCGGCTTACCTCTTGTGATTTTCTGTTGTTTCCAATGCCCAACGCCGGTGGAAGACCCTTTCGATGGACCTCCCTGGGAGCCTCAAGCCGATGTGTTGCTTTTCGAACCCAAAGCCGGGCCTCCAAGGGCACCCCAACTTGTCTCCTGGAATCATCCCCTTCGCAGGGGATCTCCCTTGCGGGATCTCTGTGCCAGAGTCCAAAGCCCCACGGCTTTAGCCACGGTAAATCCTGAAATATCTCCCCGTCAAACATGACCCCACCTAAAAGAAACTCAATTCGAATTGGCCCAAAGGGTGATGTGTTTAACCACCGAAACCAAGTGTGCATAAGAACCCACAACAAAAGTGCACGAGGCTTTGCGTGTGACCATCTCCAATAAGCCTCCGCTACGAGAGTCGCACTCATTTGGCCAAGCCTGGCCATTGTGTGAGGAAGAATTGAAATGATCAAATCACGGCCCAGGCCACAAACACACAACTTCATCTGTTGAGACCGAGGCGTTTGTCGAGACCGAGGCGTTTGTCGAGACCGAGGCGTTTGTCGAGACCGAGGCCTTGTTGCTGAACTTCGACTTCATGATGCTGCCGAAGATGTTGTCCACGGAAACCGTGGACGGCAGAACCATGTTGAAGCACATGAACCTCGGATCTGGACCCCCCAACATCAAAGGTACCAAAAGAGAACCCCAACTGGTAATAGGCCATCTGAGTTGCTTTTAGCCCCCCAACCCCAAAACACCTCCAGCTTTGGTATGGCTTGTTTGGTTCACCTTTTACCCCTAGTTTGAGAACCGCCCTAGTCTTCCCGAAGGGTTTGTTGGGTACTTTGGTGTGTTTGGGATTGCAGACTTTTGGGCGTTGCAAGAGGCATCTGCAAATCGGAAGAAGCGCAAGCTGCCCGCGTGCATCAAGGTGGTCGGAATGCTGGAGTTGCTCATTCCCCAAAACAACGCACGTCTGGCAAGGAAAAGGACTCGCATCGAGTCACATCAACCCAAGGGAGAGGGAGAAGAGGCAGAGGGAGAGAGGGGGGGAACAAAAAACTCTTGAAGGGGGCATGAACTTTCATTGGGGACCTTGGATAAAATCATTTAGGCGGGGATTCATATCCAACAACCACTTGGTGGTTCCCTATTCAACTTCATAAACCAATCCGAAAGTCCTCCATTGGATTCATTTGAGCCGCCATAGGCACGTTGGGCACACCTCTGTGTCGCTCTGACTGGGTTTGTCTTTGACCTCCTGCAAAAAGTAGTCCACTTTCTGTTGGGGATCCTCATTTCCCACAAGTTAAAAAGGCGTTCCAAGACGCCAAGCCGACCTCATTGCTTGGCCAGACTCAGACCTGCCGAGTAAAAACCAGCTACTGTAACTTTTGGCTGAGCGAGAATGAAAGGAAACTCCAAAAGCCCAATGAACCAAAGAGATTTTGGCCCAAGTCTGGCATTGAGTCAAGGCGCTTGGACTTGTAGCGGTTGGGGATGTCGTTCTTGCCACCGCCTCTCTGAAAGAAATCACCGGGCAACCGTGCAAGCTCAACTGAAACGCACGGAAAGTACTGGTTCAAAACCACCCACTAGGGAAGTGGGGATGAGCCCCGAAAAGGTGCACGTCGAAGATCCGGGGAAAAAAAATGCGACGGATACCACAGGTCGTGCTGACCGGAGAGTGAACCCCAACTGCCCAGACTGCCGGCAAATCAACGCCGAACCCAACCAGGGATATACCACGCAGCACCTTGAGTCACATAAACGGTAATCAAACCATGTACATGACACTTGGGCCAAAATATGACTATGATTACATTACTGTTCACAATATCTATATGTATTGACGGGCCAGACTTGGACCCGCTGCCAAAAATTAGCTGCTGCTGGTAGAAAGGAAAGTTGAAGGCAACCCCCAAAACGACAAAGAATAAAAAGGCGAGCCATGTCTGGTAAAGTGTTCAGGTGTATTTGTATGAATATATATATATATATTATCATATATATACATACACAGACTGTGCGCCTGGATGTCCCATGGCACCGATGTACTGCAGACCCTCGATGCTCTTGAAGTCGCCGCCTCCGGATTGTGATATGGCTTGGACAGGGATCCTGAAATGGGATGTGTTTAAGGGTCCCATTCTGGGGCTGCTTAAAAGGAAACCATCCATTCAACGTCATGGTCACGATTCCTTTAATAGAAACTCTGACTCTTACAATGTCAAAGCTCCCGAAGGGGTCTATGACCATCCCCACCAACCCCAAGTCAAGGGGTCTCTTGACCATGACACATATGTCACCTTTCAACATCAGCCCAAAGAAACTCATTCCAACGTCTCCCAAAAGGTGACGTTTACCCCACAAAAGAGATATGCGGAAGTTGGACCCTACAAAAACTCGTTGTCCTTTGGCAAGTCGATGAGTCACGTCCTAAACGTGTCATAACTTGCTATGTCGTATGATTTTTCCTTCGGCCACTAGCTTACGCTACGTGCGTGGAGTTGTTCCTTATGCGACACATGTGGAGGTGTTGCTTACGCCACTAGCTTACGCCGCCAGCTTACGCGGGTAGTGTAGTGTTTGCTTACGCGCAGGTTGATATGACACAACTCTGACTACACATGTACACGGAGGTTTTGGACGCCACTTAGATGGATTCCACCGGCAAATGGAAAAGTGATCAAACTGTTTCACCAGATTAATTTGGAATCAGTTTCCACCAAACTGACCCAAGTGGCACCAACGCCGATGTATGGCGGCTGTTCAGGTTCGTTCGAACAACCTCGCAAATGTGTTCACCTTTTTGGATGTCCCTTTCATCCATTGGCCTTTGGATTTCTTTTCCTGTTGATTCGTTCATCTTTGCTAAGTTCAACCGGTAGTGGGATGTCATAAAACAAACTAAATTCAAAGCATCTAACAGTCTGAGGGTATTTTTGGAAGAGTTCCATTCAAACACCATGAGGCCCAAGATCCAGACATATGGAGGCAGGGGTCGATCCCTTCCCGACTACGAAACAGGACTTGTCTGGACACCAACGCTACTTGCAGCTCAGCAAAATATTTGAATATGTTGGTTGGTTCCCACTTGCCACAAGCGAAGCAAAATCACACCCAAACAACAAAACAGCACAGTGGAATGTGGATGCGCATGTTGCGCAGCCGCTGAAATTGCGTGAATCCCCTCCACCTTGAGCATCATGTCGTGCCTCGCACCACCAAAGTATATCCCTACTCTATCCACGGCAAATCTTCACTAAAACTCCAAACAATGCTTCGGGTTTGTTCGCAGCTGAGTATCGAGTCCTTGCGAAGAGTGTGCGTTTGATACTTGCATGTTCAAGAAAAGGGGTTATGATGCTGGAATTCTAACGTTCCAAGAACAACAGGGTGTCTCCTGTGTATGTCCCTTTTGAAGGCGTCCCACCAAGAAGAAACTCGCTTGTATTTGGCCCAAAAGGTGATGTGTGCACAGCCCCAAAGAGGGGGAGACCCCCACAAAAACGACCTCAGCTTAGAGCGTGAGTGGTTCAAAGCAGCATTCACCTCTCCTGAATGCATGTCGATGTGGGTTCTCTGAAGCTCATTCCGCGTTTTTTGGGAGTGTTTTCAAGGGAAGCCAAAGGGAAACCACCCATCTTGAAAGCTTCAAATGCTAGTTTGAGACAAACCCATGTGCACCCGGACAAAATGAACTGTTTGTGCGGGCAAATTCGGCGGGCCAATGCCCCTCAATTCCGTCACGTACTTCACATCTTATCTTAACCAAAACAGATGAGACAACTTAAAGACATCCGACCTTTCTGGATGTGAATGGGCCAGTCTTCAATTGACTGGATCCCTGCTTGCATAGGAAACCGAGGCCTGCTTTCGGGCTTCACCGCGACGTGCTAAACAAATCTCGCCGAGGGGCGCTTGTCCTTGTCCAGGAAGTAGAAGCCGCTCATCTCGATGAGTTGCCTCGCCAGCTCGTTGGTGACCTGGTCGCCCCACCTCGGCCAACGCTCGAAGCGCTGCCTGCCAAATGCGTCGCTTGCGTTGATTGCTTACGGGGGCAGGTTAGAAGAGGTAGATGGGTTAGGTGAGTTGGTTTGGGGTAGGTCACCTTGCAAATGAACATGGAACCAACAAACCATGTTCTCCTTTTGGGGGTCTCCTTTTGGGGCTCCTAATGTCAATTTGCAGTGCAATGCCACAGTAGCTTTTGAAGTTTGAGAATTTCCGGCCCTTGTTTTCACATGACGAACCTTGTGTTCAAACAAACTCTCCTGTTGGCTTCTATATACTAGGAAACCAGGGGCTGTTTGTTCAACATTTGCAGCCCGAAGCTGCAACCCGACAAATCAGAGGGCACCTATTCCCCCTTCCCAAGTCCCTTCTAAAGCGTTCCAACTGATTCTGAGGGAGGAGTCAAAATATCCCAGCTAGCCAGTGTCACGCACAGCCAAAAAATCAGTGCACTGTCGGCCTCGGATGAATACACCTGGCATGAGACATCCCCCTCTTGGCTAACGACGAGTTCATGAATCCTGGTTTCCTTTAACGGGCGGCCAGGGGAAGTCATCATCGCTCCACCATGGATCGCAACATGAGGAACGTCATGGAAAGCGCGTGACCACGGAAAACCAGCGGAACGACTGAAAAGCGCATCAACACATTTAAGCGCCGCGACGTCTAAACAGCGTCCGCGGGGGCCAGAGCCTGCCAGCCCTCCCTCACTTGCCGACCTGTCTAAAGAAACACAACCGAATTCAGACCCGCACAGAGCGCAATATGCGCGGCCATGCGTCAAATTCGCCTCGGCCCTCAGGGCCGGGAAGCGGTCAGACCCCTTCAGAACTCTTCGAAATCCTCCACTCAAAAATTGGCCCATCCAACCCCCCCCCCCTGATGCCATGTCACGCGGCCAAAACCCCTGCTCCAGCTGCCTCCAGTCCGCCTGAAGCGAGCCTAGCCCCAGGGCTGTGAAGCGGCCAGATCCCCCCCAAAGCCGATCCAACTCCGGTCAAATCCTTGTAGAAACCGATCAAATCCTCCTTAAAATGCTCAAATTCCCCTCTAGAATGTGATCAAATCCCCTTTAAAAACAGCAGAAACCGGTCAAGAACCAGTCACGTCACCCCTAGACATCCCTGGAAACCGGTCAAATTCTTCTCCAGAAACCAATCGAATCCCTTAAAAAACCTCCCAATCAAACTCCCCTCTAGAAACCTGTCAAGCCACCTCCAAAACATGTCCAACTTCGGTCAATTTCGCTCTCTCTTGAAGCCATGCGGAAACACACAGACATGCACCCACCCTCTACCTTGGAAACCAGCTCGCGCATTTTGGCGCCAACTCACTTAGTTTAACAAACACAGGACTTTAAGGTAAACTAAAGCACGGTGTATACCTCAAAGCCAGCCAAAAGCGGACTGGCCGAGGCGGGCAACGCGAAGCGTTTACAATTATAAACAGCTGCATTTTTTTTATGAAATACTGCAGCATCGCATGCCCATTGACTTCAAAACAAAGGTTGCTGTCTGCAAGGCCCCACCTAAGCGCAAGCGGGTGCGAGTTCTCACATTTGATCCCCGCACCTAACACCAACACTCACTGAGGGCGAAAGTTCGGGGTTCCTTGCAACTGATGTTGAAGCCGCACCTGTTCGGCACTTTTCGGGGTGCGATCCATCCATCGAAGCGGCTTGTTCACGATTGGCATGGAGGCATCATCGATGAATACCTGAGCGAGCATTGTACAATCTGATGGATGATGAAATCTGGCAGAATTCAAGAGCCCACATGTAATCTGGCCCCACATGAATTCAGGGTTGCTCCCCCAGAGTCCAATAGAATTTGCGTCAAGACGCAAGGGCAATCCGCCCACATCCAAAGGTTGGTTGCTCGTTTCGGATGTTTTCTCGAAAATGGATGCCGCTTTGCGTGAAACCAACGTGGTCGAGTCCCATCCCCATGGCTTCCATGACTACGCCATCAATTTCGGGGGTTTCATGAGTATCATGGAAAGTGGTTGGCGCCCGCAAGGCGTCGACTGCGCGGCCAGTGCAGGCTTGTCCCCACGCTTGAAAACCACTTCACGCCTAAATAGAGCGGGCGCCAGAACACCGGCCTGACGTTTGGTTCTGCCATGAGTACAAAGCCATTCCAGATGTGCAACTACCCTTGTTTGGGCGGACGAGAGGCCCGCAACAAACCGAATCAGCTTTGGGCTTTCAGACAAGGAGCAGTCATCTTCTTGCCACCCGGAGGGCAGAACGTCTTGCCGGTCTTCCTCTCAATCTCTCCCTCAATGCCTGGATGCAAGATTCCGTTTCCAAAAAGTGGTCCTCCAGGACACCCCCCACCGGATAGAACGTCCCTGGTAAGGGGAAATCAAAGCAACCCAAACCAATGTTATACCTTGTGTTCTGATTCAACCCTCAGTTTGCGAAAACAACAATGAGCTGGGACAGGTCGCGCAGCAATACGGCAGGCCCAGAAAAAGCCTGCAAACTCATTTCGTGCGCGATGCCGGCAAATGACAAAACAATCGCATCCAGCGACGGCCGGCCATGGCCATGGTCAGCTACCGCGACACGGTCTTCAGCCCCCCATGTCCGTTCAGAAACCGGCCAGTTTCCTCCCTGAATGAAATGGGCAGAGAGGAGTAGATCAACGGATTCATCTGGTCTACCCACTGCTGGCCAGTGAGTTGTCAGGAACCCACAGACTATAAAGGGAGGAAAGGGCGTTGCTTGTTTGCGCTGGGCTATGGTGACCCCAAGGGAAAAAAATCCCCGGAGAAGCTGCTAGGGCCGCTTAAAACCTAACAACCCTGCCCACACGGTCACAGGAATGGCGACCGGAGCAGGGTCAACGCAGGGTCAACAGTGGTACGCCAAGAGTGGTTTGGGAATTTAAACCCCTTTTCCAAAGCATGAATCCAGACCAATTAGTTGGAGGGGATGAGGTTTTCAAACAAAACTCGTGCTTTCTTGTTGGGAGAAAACATCCGTTGAGGGGGGCTGCCGACAGCAAAAAGTCACAAGACTCAACTGGACTCGACTTGGGAGTTTTCGGCTCAGCCGAGTCGCTCTTCTGGAATCCCAAGGGCTGGGTGGCACTGCTCAAGTTCAGGCGCTTGGACAGCATCACATCCTGGGAGAAGCGGCTGGTGTACCTAGGCGCTGAAAGTCCGCGGAGGCCGCGGCTTCGGAACAAGGGGGGAATTTGCGGGGCCCTAAAGGGATTCACACCAAGAAAGCAGATAGGTTTCACCCATCTTGAACCTAAGGCAATCCCGCCATTGCAAAGGGTTCCTCATTGAGAGACAACCTGTGCAGTGGTCTTCTATGCTGAAACAACTGCGTTGGAAAGGCTTGACCCGCCGGCACATGAGTTTCAAACAACTACTTGGAACGTAGGAAGGAAGTGCAGTTTCGCTGGCGTTTTGGGCGTCAAAGACGCCAAAGGTGCCTAAGCAATTGATTCCAGCTTTGATTCTGGTGACTTGTTTGTTTCGAGGATCCGAGTCGCACTGCCAAACAGGGGACAAAGCAGTGTCCAGATCTGCGATGTGCCAAGAAGTCAATCTTTTTGCTTCCCAGCTCCGGAGGGTCCCCATGTGGCTTGGGCTTTCAAAGCTTATGCCGAAGCCCTTTGCGAACTCATCTCATGTCCGAGCCGCATCAGTGCCGTAGACGTCTTCGCGGTGCCCGGAGCACCTGAAGCCGTCAGAGGTACTCTCAAGCCATCCATTCGGGGACGGAACGCTTGCAGGTTGAAACCCTCGTTTCGGGTGTGCCTTTTTGCATGGGAGGCTGCCACCCTCCAGTCTTCCCGTGGTTTTCCAGGTATCCGCAAAAGGACTTGAAGGGGGTGCCACGCCCCAAAACTGCCGAAAAAGATGGCACCCACTTGAGGTCCCGCCGGGCGGGAGCCCGGTCACCAAGCAAGGCTTCGCCGCATAGCGGCAAAGCTTCGTCAAGACATCAATTTGTTGGAACAACCAAGGTCATCTTTCAGCCAACGTCGGAAGGGCTTTCCCGCCCGCGGAAAGTGACCCAACCGGGGCTTCACGAGTGCCAACCAGTCGGCCAAATCCGGTCGGCCTTTTTAGTGGGAGGAGCGGCACGCTAAGTGTTCAGTCTTCCAGGGGCTCATTACATAACGAATTTCAATTCCATAAACCAGGCGTGGCCAACCCTTCCATGCAGCCCGAGCGCCCACCATCATGCAGGACTTGAAAGCAGGCGGTGTCCTTGTGACCTGAGCAATCGAGTCGCTGTCTTTGTCAGGTTTACTCAAACCCAAGTGTGGCTGTTTTCCTGAGAAGGGAGACCCCCAGGTTTATGTCTACTTGGGATTTGCTCGAGCAATGGAACCCTGTCACCAGGGAACCTTGCTGAGTTTCACTGTTTTCACTCAGGGAGAACTCAAGACACACCCACGTCTGGCCAATGCGTTATGCGTTGATGTGTAATAAAACGGCCATTAATGTCCTGCTCATGTTGCTCTGTTAAGGTGCAATATGCTGTCCTTCTTTACAGCCTGGCCCAACATGTCTTTACATGGACAGCAATGATCAGTGAATTTGAAAAGCAGCAATCGCAAGCTGGGACGAGGCCGAGAAATTATTCGAACACGGTTTGAGCCTCAACTCAGGGTGATCGACGTCCCACCAAGAGGAGCCAAATAGTGGTTTCAGGCTGGGGTTGCTCCGAATATGGCTCACACACATATCTATATATGGTCCCGTGTTCCGTGTTGCTACCCCCCCCCCCCCCATATGGTATGGTCCCCCAGGACCCCCCCCCCAGCCCGAGACCCCGAGCCCCCGCATCCTGGCACCTACGGTCCCACCCCCACCCCGACCCCCTGAACACGCACCCCGACAACCCGGCACCCCAACCCCCAGGACAAGCCAACCCGCAACCAACCATAAACCAACCCTAAACTAACCCTAAACCAACCCTAAATACACCCTAAACCAAACCCTAAACCGTAGACCTCTAAACCTAAACCAACCCTAAATCAACATAAACCAACCTAAATCAACCCTAAACCAACCCTAAACTAACCCCAAATACACCCTAAACCAATCCCTAAACAATAAACCCTAAACCTAAACCAACCCTAAACCAACCCTAAATACACCCTAAACCAAACCCTAAACCGTACACCTCTAAACCTAAACCAACCCTAAACCAACCCTAAATCAACATAAATCAACCTAAATCAACCCTGAACCAACCCTAAACTAACCCTAAATACACCCTAAATATACCCTAAATATACCCTAAACCAAACCCTAAACCGTAGACCTCTAAACCTAAACCAACCCTAAATCAACATAAACCAACCTAAATCAACCCTGAACCAACCCTAAACTAACCCCAAATACACCCTAAACCAATCCCTAAACAATAAACCCTAAACCTAAACCAACCCTAAACCAACCCTAAATACACCCTAAACCAAACCCTAAACCGTACACCTCTAAACCTAAACCAACCCTAAACCAACCCTAAATCAACATAAATCAACCTAAATCAACCCTGAACCAACCCTAAACTAACCCTAAATACACCCTAAATATACCCTAAATATACCCTAAACCAATTCTAAACCAACCCTAAACCACCACAACCCAACCACAGGACCACAACCACAGGGGGGGGGGGTACTTGTCTGACCCATGACCATTGGGGGGGGAGGGGGGGGGGGGCTGGCAACGCTGTACCATATATATATATATATAATGCACACAACGCGATGCATCATCCACTTCCCCTCTTCCACGAATGACAGGACAAAACACCTACTCAAGGCGCTGGGCAAGTGGTTAGTAACCAGGGTTGCAAGCCACCAAAGAGTGGGTCCTAACTTTATTCCCACACTTTCGGACCACTTACCTGACGTACCGAATCGCCTCTTGCAGTCTAAAGCAGCCAGGCACTACCCCTCCCTGTGTCTCTCCCTTCACACCATGGTGACATATCTTTGGTTGCATCAAGAGGTCGACTCCCCGGTTCCCACCGACCTCAACCACCAACGGGCTATTCGGAATTCAACCTATCTCTGGCCGAGGTCCGTTCCCAGCTTCTCTCTGCGCCTTCAGCAGGCTGGGACTTTTGGCCTTCAACGAATCAGTAGCACTGAAAAAGGACACTCCCCAAAAACGATTCCGTTGATCCCTAAATATTGAAAGACACCTCCCTAAAATGGTGTGTGTGTGTGTGTACCCTGCCATTCTCCACCGTTGCGCCAAGAGGCGTCGTGCCTGGCCATGATGTCCAAGATGTACTCCGCGCGCACGGAGTCCATGGTGGGAATCAGCAGGGCCGAGAAGTTCAGGATCTGGATCGCATGTATTGAGTCAGTACCATTTCAACAGTTGGTTCCAAGGGCCGGGACCACAGAAGTGGTGTGTTTTCCTTTTGAAAAGGTAAATCCACCTCTGACCCAGCCGACTTGCAAAAAAAGTTTTGCTACACGTGTTCACGCGCGCAGTGCCACACACACACACACTCTACTGGATACACACTGCAAGTACGTAGGGGAACAAGGGGGACCCTGCAATTCACCAGAGTTTGGCCAGGTATTGTGGATGATGTCAACTTCGGATAAATCTGGCGAACGGTATAAATCAAGGGCGGTTTCGCTTTCAGTAGGGACATGATCTATCTGAGAGCGCCCCTCTGATTGGTATCCCCCCTCCTGAGCAATCCGGCTCAACCAAAAAGCGTATCCCAACCTCCGGGTCCTCTCTCCTTCTTGATTGAGGGATCTCCGGATCCCCGGATCCCCCAGAGCCCTAAGGCCCTAGAAAAGATGTCAGCCCCCAAAAGGCCGGGCTTGAGCTCCTCCCACTCCGGCCTTGGGCGGCTTCCACTCCTCAGGCTCCCACTTCTTCCAGGGCCTTCGGTCGAAACTTCGGATGCGAAAGCTGCGCTCACATCTGCCTGGGCTGAAGCTCGAACGTCCCCCCCCCCCGCCGCCGCCGGCCGTTTTGAGATCAAGCTCGGGCCTGGTCTTGTCCGTCCAGTCGGGCACCCACTCGAAGATGGTCTGGCCCTCTTCGCAGGGCGGGATCGCATCCTGACGGACTGCGAAGCGGGCAATCGAAGCCCCAAGATCCGAGCTAACGCATAAGAAAATCTGCCGGGGTGTTTTTGTTTACTCCGCCACTTGCGGAAGTCAGTCAACAGCGGGAATGAGAAATGGGTAAGAGCAGCCAGTTACCTTGCCTTTTCTTTGCGCCCAAGAGACAAGCCTCGAAGCTGGAACCGCCTGGTACCCTTTAAGGGTCCCATGTTCTCCGAACAAAAAAAAAAAAAGAATCCGCAACAGCCCCAGAACCCCGCCTGAACCCGAAGCTCCCTCCAGGGCTTCGACCAAACTTGTCGATGTGCCAAAAAATGACGCCCACCAAGCCTTGGTGGGCCCCAAGAAATCGGAGCCCGACCCATCCTTCGTCCTACGTTGGTTTCCTTGGATGGCAACTGCCGGGATCCAACCCGGAGCGGTTCGGGAAGCGGTTCGCGCCTTGTGCTTGGCGTCCTCCAAGATCTCCTGGAACTTGGACCAGATCCTGAGCGAGCAAAATTCTCGGACTTCTGGCCAGCCGTGCCAGGCGTCGACTTTTTGTCAAACTCAAACCAAAAAAGGCAATCTCCTGAAGAAGGCGGTTGCGTGTCCCTTATGATGGGTGCTGCCCTCTTGGTTTTGGAAAAATCGAAATGAGGTGAGTTCGCTTGCTTCCGCGAAGGTCAGGTTTCATGTGCCTAGTTCTGATGATTGTTTGTTGTGGCTTGTTCCTGATTTGGGTAGACTTGTGCAACAAGTGTGGTTTCCTTTGACAGGGTAGCTCCGATTCGACCCGCTCGGCACAGTAGAAATGTGGTTTCCCTGGTACAGACAAACCGTGAAATTGAAAAAGAAAACAAATCGACAACTCGGAAATTCTGGCCACCCCCCCCTACCCCACCCCAGGTAACATTGGGGGTGCAGTGTCCCAACCCAAAAGCAATGCGGATCCCTGCAAAAGCTGGATGGCCCAGAATGAAGATCAACCAACGGGTAATAATTCCACGACAAGGTCAACATCAAAGGGAACGTGACCATGTTCAGCTGTGATCCGGTGCCAAATCTCGAGTCACACAGTGTTGTCGTCTTTCCCATTTTGTCAGCAACTAACACGGAACCTGACTGGAAGCCTGTGGAAGACAAATCATTTTTTCCAGAGACCTTCAACTTGGGAGCAGTCTCCATTTTCTTATCTCCGGGGAACTGGGGGGCATGGACGCTTGGAGACTGAAAGTCCGTACCTGCAGGTGGCCACGTCACATAGACTTCAACGTCCAACTATCCTTTGCGAGCGATACATTAAAAGAATTAAACATATGACAAACGACCAGCAAAACTGGAAAGCACAACAACCAACCAGCGCATGGCTAAACAGCTGAACAAAGCAATGTCAAGGAATTGCTACCCCCCCCCCCTAGCCAGAAAGCCAAACAAAACTAAAGAGAGAAGAAAGACAATCAAACAACAAAAAAGACTGAACTGCGAAAATAGCAAAACAAAACAAAACAACAAGATCGATCAAAGCCCCCGGGAAAACTCCAAAGAATGAGACAAAGACAAATGAGCACTATGATCGCCGACGTTTCCCAAGACAAAGGCAGCCACCCCCGGCAACAAACGAAACATTGTGTATGCAAGTTAACCAAACGGCACCACACACGAGCACGCGATAACTCTTTCATCCGAGCAGTGTGTTGGTGCCAGGGACTCATCTTCCCCTGTCAGATGACCAACGCTGGGTGGGCCCCATGGGCCACCCAACTCACAATTCTCAAAAACTGAAGAACGGGTGTGCAGACTGATAGCGCCCGCCCCTGAGCCGGGGCCCGTGGCACCCAGGCCACAGGGGGGTCTGCCACCAGGGGAAGTGAGTCACCCACCGGCTCCGGTCACGGGAGCATGGGTGGGCCCACGCTGAGATCAAATGCATCTCCATTCAGGAGACGCGGGAGAAAAACAAACTCCTCACAGAGTTCCTGCTTGGGGACCCTTTGCAAAGGGTCGAACCCAGAGAAATCTGGGTGCGTCAGCTCATCAGCCCATTGATTGAATTCACGGGGCACATGGTTGGCCGCCAGCGAGCAGCCATGGGTGTGGAGCAGGAAGACCAGCTCCATCAGGATCGCCGCCGTGTAGGGCTTCTTGGATCCAAGGTTGAGCATCGCCATGACGTTGCCCTGATTGTCACTGCCCACCGGGAGTCGGACCCGGGAGGACAGAGGGCCTTGGTGCGTGAGGATCATGTTACAGAGGAAGAGCGTGCCCAGCATCTCCAGAGCTGCAATCCTCCGCTTTGGATCCCCATTCTTGAAAGCCCAAGGGTACTCCTCCACGTGGATCTGCTCATGGAACCAGTACACCTCCTTCTTGTCCGGTTCCACCGTGTTGGAGCACCAACCTCCCACAAATGCCAGTCCGTCGTCCGAGGCGCTAGCGTCGCTGCAACCCCACCAAGAGGACTTCGGCAAGTAGGGGGAGTACTGGACGAAAGGCGTGTTGAAGAGGAACCGCAGCATGAACGCCAGCATCCTGACCACCTTAGGGGGTTTCCCCACCGTGGTGGTGGCCATCTTCCAGGCCCAAAGTGGCTGGAGCATCGACTTCGCCAGCGGACATGCGGCCGTTGCCCATTGGATGCGGCCCAGGGCCTTCTCGATGTCCTTTGAGTGCATCGCCTGCCCTTCCACCATGGTCTGCAAAACCTCCATAACCAGGATGTGTTTGTTGGCTGCCATGAGAACCTGCGGGATGTTCGGGTGGACCACGAAGCCCAGCCACGTGTTAACCTCCGCCAAGTGCGTCTTCTTCCAGCTAAGTGGGGTGCCCAATGCCAGGAGTGTGGCCAGCAGCGCCACCGCCAAGTTCACTGCCCCCTCGCTTCGAAGCAGTTACAGGAAGTCGTCGACGAAGACGAAGTTCCAATCCACTTGAGGGAAAAGCGCGTAGAGGACCCTGAGCAGAAGGGCTGCCAGGCGTCCCCAGTAGGATTGGGCACTGGCCATGCCATATGTGCCTACCTTGTTCACCCACCATTCTTCTCCCAGTGAGGCCACCTGGAACCGCCAGTCCTTCCTGAGGACCTTCACTCTCCGGTGGGCCTTGGTGACGTCCGCCTTGAGCAGCACCCACCTGGTGCCCGGCTCCGGCCATAGCCAGCCCCCACGTCGAGGTTTGACGATCCCCCCCTCGCGCCCTGAGAGGGGGGTCCCTCCTCAGCTGCCGCATGTAGCCAATGGAGAGCTTGGACCCCATCCAGCACCGTCGGAGCCGTCGTCCTCGGTTCCTGATGGTGTCATTGGCCCCTCCCACCGAGCCATCGTAGATCGTGTCTTGTCCCCCTCGTCGATGCCCGCCAGGGGGCCGGGACAAAGGTCCTCGCTGTCGCAGCCACATCGCGATGCTGCCTCCTCCTTACTGAAGGGGCCCTCCACCATGCCCATGGGGACCTCCTCCAGAAATGTGCCCCGGATGAGCTCGCTGACCTCCCAGCTCCTTCTTCTTGAGTGGCCAGATGCCCGGCGAGGTCAGGGGTGGGTCCGTGAGCCCCAAGTGGGACCCCTTGCTCCAGGTCCCGGGGAAACTGGTGGTCGGGGTCCTGAATGTTCAGAGCCACGCTGTGCAAGATGTCCAGGAAGAAGGGTTGGCCGTCCGCTGGTCGGCCTGCCCCGGCGCCAGAATCTCCCTGATGTCCTCCAGCAGGTCCTCCGGGAAGGGATGTGACCCATCCCCCAACGAGAGCGACTCCTGGAGCTTGTCCCCCCACGGCGAAGTGAGGACACAGATCTTGGCCCCCAGCGCTGCTGCTTTGGACAGCGGTCGGGCCCACGGGGCCAACCGTCCCAATGAGGGCTTTCCTCCACCGTCTCTTAAGGGACGCTGCTTGAAAGCCATCTGGAGGTACATGACCTTGTCGGAGATATTGGGGTCGTGCGTGATCGGCAGGATGGTGGGCCGATCCGAAATCTCCATGCCCTGGTGTGCCCATGGATCCAGGGGAAGAGATCCCCCCCCAAGTTCATCCACCTCGCCAGTCCTCTGTGTCGATGTCAGACCTGCCAACGCTTGTTGGCCCGCCTTCAGCCTCCGGGACTGGCGCTTGTTGTCCCCCGGCGTGCTGGGAGAAGGTTCCCTTGGACGCCTCGGGGGGGTCGTTGGGTTAGCCTGGGGCGCCATGCCCCCCGGCCTCAGCGCCTCCAGGACGGGTCCCGCCCGGCAAAGGATGGCCGCTGCTAGATCATCTGCTCCGGGTACCGGCTGAGGTCACTGGAGTTGAGCTTTTCTCCCCTGGGGTGAGACCCGTGGTTGCAACGCAGGTCATGCCAATGGTGGAGAGGAAGGTCCGTTGACAACGCCGGACTTCACAACCACCTGGCCCAGGCGGCACTCATCGAACTTGATGAGGGAGTGGTGGAGTGCACTCGCCCATTGAACGTAGGCCCGCGTGACCCAGATCGATGAGCACCTTGCTGCACTCCATCGGGTCCATCGGGCGCTCCAGGAAAGAGGAGCCAACCTGCGGGACCGTCAGCTGACCTAGCCCCTTGTAGGCCAGCGAGGTCAGGTACATCTGTCGGAGCATGAGCACGCTGTCATTGTCCGTGTCCTCCATAACCCGGGGCTCCAAGTCCTCTAAGCCCCACAAGGTCCGCTCTGCTCTGCCCCTCACCGGCGGCGGGCCACCCGGTTTGGGGAACCACCTGAGGATGCTCCACGTCCTGCAGTTGGGGCCACCTCCCACCAATGCGACCTTACCCGCCATGGCCATGGAGCACATCGTCGAGTAAGGCTCCTCGCCCAGCATGTCCTGGCCCAGGTCTCCACCCTTTCTCCTGATATCCACCGCCCAAATGTACTCCGAGAAGGCCGGGTTGTAGGCATGGAGGTAGGCATCCAGGGCCCCCGCATCATCCTTCCCAGCTTACAGCAGGATGAGGGACGGCTTTGAAGACCCCGGCACTGGCCGCGGCGTCCACCCCAGTCTGAGCCTCAGTCTTTCCGGGATGTCCTGCATCCATGGGAAGGTGGGGCTTGCCCCCCCTAGGGATTCCGTGTGACCTTCCCGTCATCTGTCCCCGGGCTTGATGCTTGCCCTGGCGGTTCTTCCCGCCCTTGGAACGCCCCTTGCTGGGCGGATCCTCACCTCTGGGTCTCTCTGGGGGGTCTTCCCACTGCCTCGGTGGGTGCGGGGGAAAGGGATGCTTCCGCCCTTCTGGAGTGCCCTGGCTGGGACCGCTCCTCTTCTTCGGTGGAGGGGCTTCGGTGGCACCCTGGAGAAGTCCCCCTTATGTGAGGCCGTCCTGGCCTCCCCCGCTCTGTCTGCCTTCCGCTGTGGCTCTGGTGGGGCTGGCTCTCCCCCTCTATGTGCACTCTCGCACTGGTGGCCTGTGATCCCAACTGAGACTGGGAAGCCACGGGGCCTATGGCACCCTGGGTGGCCTCCTGTCACTTGGGAAGGTGAGGGCATGCCTGTGGCGCATGCTTCGATGGGGGGGCATCACACACCCA